CCTGAATCCAACCTCCCTTTTAAAGTCGGCAATCAGGGTGCGCAAAGGGGTTGCTGGGAGTCCTGTTCTCTCCAGGAGTGCGTCCAGCAGCCTAATCGTCATGGGCCAGCTAGGGTCCCATTCTTCGGTCCCTTTGAGGAAGTCCTGACGAATCTTTGTGTCATTAATAGTCGAGACCGCTAGGTCTCTTGAATCCAGGATGACTTGGTCCAGTTGCTCTGCCCAGGCATTCCAGTCCCGGGTTCCTTTCTTGTTGATGATTTGATGATACCTTTCATCGATAAGGTTCTTTTCTTCCTCCGCTGAGGGGAGAACCTTCTGTTTGAGTTCTTTGATCTTGTCCCGGGCGTCAGCTGTATCAGGGTCTCGCCCTGGAGCCCCTCACTGATGGACTTCTTTATCACCTCCTCGATCTGCATCATGGCTTTTCTCTAGCCTTGAAGCGGTCCAATTGATCCTGGAAGGTCTTCTCTTTGTACCTAAAGAGGTCCTTGGCATCTTGAAGCTTCTCATTGAAGTCTTCCTTGCTGCCTTATACTTATTTTCTTCGTTGGGAAAGCTTCCTCGGTGGGGCCTCTGCCCTACCTTCTCGAGTAGCTCTTCCCAGCTAGGCCTCAGGGGCTCCTCGAGCACCACGGTCCCTTCTGGGTTAACGTACTCCCAGATGTGGTGCGTTTGAGCCCATGATTTGATACCCCTAATCCATGGGGTCCAGTCAAGGCTTTCCTTGAGTGTGGTGATGTACACCTCCCCCTTCTGATATTGGGGGCCTAGTGTCATCGTGTGTTTTACCTCCTGCGAGGGATGCACGCGTCACGTTGACTCTGCGTAGTTGTGGGTGTTGACCCTGAATTTTGCTCTCTTCCTCGCGTCAACCCCAAGGGTGAAGGATATATGGTGCGTTGAGATTCGTGATAGCCTCACAGTTGGTAGAGGAATGCGAAGGATAAAGAGCACCGCAAACTGGCTCATAACTCTCAGCAAGCTGAGAGCGCGGGCGGAAGGATAAGGGCAGGCACAATTGAGTCCAAACGATGATGCATGTTTTTATCTATCTGTGCGACATTGAGGGGGTATTTATACGAATAGATACCAATCTGGGACCCGTGGTGGCCCTGAATCAGTGCCAATTCCCGTGTATCCCGATTAGGGCAATGTTCCTCTACTGTATCGATACCTGACTCAAGTCCTTGTGTCTGACCTGCCTCTTTCACCGGAGTTTATACGTGTGCGGATTAGACCGTCAGTCTGCTCCCTCTGACAGCTACACATAGTAGTATTGGTCGTGGCGAGTGGGAGCCCATGCAATACGATTTATCCCCCCCGGAGGGATCACTCCTAGAGACCGCGACACCATTCTATATACGGACCCTCGATTTTCGACTTAAACACTCAATAAGCCTTACGATTTACTCTTGCCCTATACTCGAGCCTCCGCTTTTCGCATTATAAGTATGATGTAAACTGCCTAGTCTGTTTACTTATCGCGAGTCTACGTCTCCTGTCTTGACAACCGGTTACTATTATAAGTTCGAGTCTTACTATTTGCACAGACAAAATTCTCTATTTATATAGAGTTATATAGAGCACCTAAACTTAAAGTACCTTAAAGTTACTTTAAGGTACTGCCTATACTTCCCCTAGCTGCCTGCCTTACCTAGGTACCTACTAAGAAGGCCTCGATTACGAACAAGCGCACCCGAGCACCCGAGCTAGTAGGGGAGGGGTCCCCCTTGGGGAGGGGCCCTACTGTGGGGGTTTATCCCCCGCGCGAGGTGAGTGCGACGTGTAAGATCGCGACTTTTGAGAGATTAAAAAATACATAAGGTCGAGTACTAATTACTAAGCGGATCTACCCGCTAATTAAAAGAGAGGAATTTAAGAAATTCTATGTAAATAGAGAAATATGTCTATGCAAATAGTAAGACTCTATAAGTTTAATCGTAGCGTAGATTGCTAATATATTCAGATTTCATTATTCTCTGTCTGATCGTCACTTCTCTCGTAGAAAGAATAATAGGTTTCCTATCTTAAGTCGACTACACTTTACTACTCTTCCTTTAAGAGATCACTATCTTATATTAAAAGCGGAAGTACTTTACTACTTCTACTACCTGCTTCAGCTATACAGGTCGGTTTCAATAGCTTATATAGCAGCTACTAAGCCTTACATTGTATATATAAAGCTATATAAATAGCTTTACTTCTTTTTAATTAAGCGAGTTATAGACGGTCAATATATGCTTACTTGGTAAGTTTATATAAAGGGTTTCCAGGGAGTTTAACTAAGCAGTAGCATACTAGAGTCCCTAAGCCAGTATGGGAAGGGTCCCCCTTGGGATGGGGCCCTAATATAAGGGTTTATCCCCCGCGCGAGGTGAGCGCGATGTATAAGATGTGAACCTCAAATCGACTGATGAGGTATATAAACTTGACGTTAATTACAAATGCAGCACATCTACCAATTAAAAGAGGGAGAGTTGAAAGAGACTCTTAGCTGAACAGAGTTCTAGTCTTGGCCGAGTAACACTCTAGGGTATATACTCGATCTGTACTTAATCCATGTTTACGCTGTAGATGTAAGTCACCGGAGCTGCGTTACAGCTCAGGTACCGATCACTTATATACGGAGAAACAGCAAGTCAAAGACTGGAACTCATTCGAGAGTACGTGGGAAGATCGCATCCGCGTACTCTGTGATCTCGATCCTGGCCAGGCAAGTTAGCCGGCTGTGAAAGTGTAAGGCATCGTGGTTGCGACGAGCTCGTCCGATATACGAGGTAAAGTCGACATGGAAGTTCCGTGCGAGACACAAGAGTCAACAACAAGAATGAAACAATGACGAACTATTTCGCCACCCTACGGGCTCAAGACTACTAGAACTTATATATCGCAGAACTAGAGCCGATTGCCCTAACTCTTCGATGTATGCTAGTAAGGCTCAAGCACAGAGAGCCAGTCTTTATCGCAAGTAGTACGTTTGGCCCTGCACACCATTCAAGAGACATACAAGTATGCCAGGATCCTCCGGAGACGGGCGTTTCGGTCTATATGATATAGGCACAAGCAGGGCTAATATTTAATTCTAGGTGCGAAGGCGAAGGCAGCGGCCCGGTAAGCGACGCAGGCGGGAATATATCTAGGAAAGCCCGCCCTATAAAGCTCGATTAACAAGAATCAGACTAGTGCTTGCTAGACTATAAAGTTAAGGATAGGAGATTCATAGCAGAGTCGGAGAATAGTTGGAGCATGCTGGTACGCCATTAACATTGCAATAAAACTAAGAGGCAGTATGCACAGAGTACTAACGAGTGATACTAAGATACCCTAGGTTTTTGCAAGTGTAGGCTAAATAGAGATTTTGTCTTGGACAAATAGTAGTACTCATACATTCAAGAACGGGGCTTACATTGAATAGCTACGGTGGCCAGACAGAGCAGTTTTCACGTTGCACGCTGAGCACGCCCCCCCGCCTTGTGCCCATGGATGCGAACAAACCAAGTCCGACTGCTCGTAGAGCCATTGCCGCCCGTCTCTCGAGACTGTAGATATGCACTCTATGCCGGCACTCATAGATTGTCTAAATCGACTGTTAACGGGTCTACGACCGGCCCAAGGATGGGTATCAAGACTTACACATGGCTAGTAGCCGTAACCATGTCCTGGTACGCTAAACTCTTGCTTAATCATCGCGCGGGTTTACCTGCAAAATTCCTTGCCAATCTTGGGCCCAAGAAGCCACTCTCCGGGTTGTGAATCGGAACTCACAGCTACGCTCCCAACCAACAGGGCTGTTCCGCAGGCTGGCGAACTCGGGGGACCTCCCAGAAACTGCAGGACGTATACTAAAAGACTTTGACCAGCTCAGTCCTTGTGGTGCAACAGATGAACTCACTCGCATCCATCGATCCATACGGAGCTGCTAGGCCTGTCGCGTTGGATGCCATGGCGTTGATCTCGGCGGTGGGAAGCTGGATCCCAGTCACAAGCATGAGGGACGACGTAGCTCCGTCTGGCACCACAAGGCCGTTGATGTCAGAGCGAAGGATGCCCGTGTCGGGGTCAAGGGTAGGGCAGTCGACGGCGCGGAAGACATTGGCGGTGAAAAACAGTCAACTATCAGTTGACAGTTAGCTGTTTCAGTCACAGATCCAGAACCATGCCTACCCCCGGCTCAAATTGAAGGGTCGCCGCGATGACACGGCCTGCAATCAGCACTGCCCAGCTTTATCTGCCGTCCATCAGCCGAGTCAGGGAAAGGTGGCAGATTGTTGCACAGATGTTGAGATTGTGGCCTATGTACAGTCTGTTTGCCTGCGAAGAGTGGACATGCTGCCCACGTTGAGGAAAAGCGCCGGCTCTAGGGAGTTGAATGCGACCAATGTGTCAAGCTCGGAGTTTAGGTTTTAGGCAAGGTGCTACAGTATGCCGGACCAAATAGGCATGTGAAGCGATATACTCCCACTGAGCCAGAACCAGGGTTTGTCAGGTTCAGAATGTGGCATTGCGTCGCGATGCGATCAAGTGACTCACTACATGAAAGGCTACAGTCTCGATCCTGATTCGCGTGCCTAGATAGGCGACACGAAATATCAAGGCCTCGCAGGATAGTGGACTTGATATGCTTGGCGGGCTACATTGATATCTTGAGTCTTCCTGGATTCAGCGGCCTCGATGGATGCCTCAAGACTTGTGAACCGGGAGAGGACCGCTGGACCAGGCACGGGATGGGAAGTCCAGTAGATCCCTTTCTGGGCTCCCGTCTTTGCTCGGCCGGGTGTCTCAACGTAACCACTGATTTGAGTCTAGCAGCCCAGCCCCTAAGGAAAAAAGGTCATTGCATAAGCACACAAGTCCGTACATACACTGGACGGATAGTGGCTCGATGCTACTCACACATGTATGCATAGCGAATACATCATTTGCTCCTGTCAAGGACAAGGCGAATCATAGCGATGGGGGATCAGGATAGAGAATACAAGACCAGTGCCTGCAGAGTATCACACAGCTTCCTCCATTGTCAGCGGTTGCCTCTTGCTTCTTCCATTCCCCTCACCCCCGGTAGCCTCGTCTCCCACGCGTTGGGCCTCCCCACGCGGGTGAGCAAAAGCGCCGCTGCTCCTCGCACTGTCCATGCCCGGGCCCGGCCTCTCGCGCCTCGCCCCCCATCCCACGCTGCGTGTAAAGGTGTGCGCGGCGAGGTAGGCGTCTCCCTTGCCGCTGTATGGAAAGGCCTCCTTGGGCTGCAGTGGTATGTGATTGAAGCGCCAGTCCCAGACGGCCGCGTACGACGCGCGGTACGCGGCGAGGGCCATGACGGCGCCAATGACGGAGCCGGCGACAATGTCGTACCAGTTGTGGGCGGCATCAATGGTGAGGGAGCAGGCAATGCAGACGGACACGAGCACCGGCAGCAGTGTGAGGGAGAGCTTCCAAAAGGCGGGCCGGTGGTCGGCCCAGACCTTAAGCTTGGCGTTCATCCAGAGGAAGAGGAAGCCAAAGCCGGCCCAGGTGGCGGTGGAGTGGCCGCTAGGAAAGGACGTGATGGCCGTCTTGAGCTTCATTGCGTCGGGCTGCGTGCACACCTCTGTCGTGTACATGATCTTTTGGAAGCCGACGGCGTTGAGGCCCGTCTCGTTTCTCGAGGCGAGGGAGAGGTCGGGCATGCAAACATCGAGAAAGTAAGGCCGGAAGCCCCCAATAAGCTGCTTGACGATGACCTGGAAGAGCGATGCGAGCAGCACGGCCCAGATGGAGCCCATGATGGCGCAGCTGGCATCCCAGATCGACTTGATACGGACCTGCGCTGCGACATAGACGATGATGGGTCCGCCGATGGAGGCGACGCCCGACGCCCACGATGGGACGATCCAGCCACGATACGGATACGCCCATTCGGGAAAGATGATGTCCCCGGAGCCGTTGAAGGTGATGGGAAACGTCCGCGTCACGGGGACGGGCGAGTGGTAAACCTGGAAGCGTCAGATGTTAGGCCGCAACAGCAGTTGCAAGAGACGAACGCCAAAGGTGACGCCGGCAAGGACAAGCATGCAGAGGCAGTCAAGCCAGTTGAGAGCAACCCAGCGGACCACAAACGCCTTGACGGTCGGGACGAGCGGTTGTCTGGCGCGGGGCGGCGAGGCGTCGCGAGCGTCGGGCATCGGTGTGGGAGGCATACTCTGCTGCGGGTGCTACTGAGCAGGCTCGTCCCCCATGGCCAAGCAGCGGCGAGAATAAAAGAGCGTGGCCGCGGCGAGCGAGACAAGGGACCAGAAGAGGGAGCAGGCCGAGGGCGAGGTCGAGGGCGGGTAGTCAATTAATGTCTTTGTATCGTTGGGCGAGGGACGACGCTGAGGTGAGACGAGAGGAGAGGGCAGAACTGGTTGACGTCACGGGACCGCATCAGGGCAGTCATAGACGCCTCCTCTTGCCCGACTCCTGCTTGATGATGCCACAGGTCCCGCAACGCCATTCTCTTGCCACACTTGCATCGCCAGCCAGTCGTGCGTTTAGCCGTCGGCTGCCAACGCACCAGCTTTCCATTGCGGTCCTCGCCTCTCCTGGCTGCCCTGGGCCAGTCTTTTTGGGCTGCTGGGGCGCGTCTGTCATTCTGGAGGGCGGGTTTAGGAACGACTCGGGGCGGCAGCAGTTGGTGAGGTGCAAAATTCTGGTAGAATGCAAGTTGTAAACCTTGATGGACCACACGCTCAGTTCAAAGTTTATCCGCCACCTTGTTCAAACGTCTGCTAGACAAATGGACACACAGCTTCAGTTTCCACCAGGTCAATTAAATCCATGCATTTCTTTTCCATCTTAATATAACTGGCAAACCAGCACCTCGATGCACAGAATCGGCCCATAGAGCCGGGCCTCCCCAATGGACAGAGCAAAGGTATACACGTCGCCATCCCAGACACATCGGCAATGTTAATTGAAACAAACCCATCCCCACATCTACAGGGCAACCATTCCAGCACCCACGACGAGCGCAACCGCCATGTAGAGCCCCATGGCGTAGTCGCCGACGTTGAGGAGGCGGGCCATGGGGGCGCCGGGGGGGGCAAAGCTGTCAACCGTGGCCGAGGCAGCACCACCGCCGACAGGAGCCGTGGCCGTGGCGACCTGCCTGTTAATATCGCTCGCCTTGGCCAGTTTGTCGCTGCAAGAGGACTGCACGGAGCCGCTCTGGGGGCCAGCCTTGCCATTGAAGTCGCACGAGTCGGGCGCCTTCTTCATCTTGACGTAGTAGGCATCGAGGACGTAGTCGAGCTTGGCGCTGTCCGAACACATGCTGTAGGCACCATAGATGCCCGTCAATGCGTTGCCCTGGATGCCCTTGCAAATCTCGGGCGCCTCGCCGCAGATGAAGCCAAAAATGGAGCCGTAGTCCTTGGCCGTGATGCCCTTCTTCTGCACGCACGTGCGCGACTTGGACATGCAGTCGCACAGAGACTGGTCGGGCGTGGGCGGCAGGGCAGAGTTGGCCTTCCAACTCTCAGACTTAGCGTCGGGGCATTCCTGGGGCTTGCTGGTCGGGTTGTACGAGTCGCGCTCAACGCCCCGAGGAGAGGCCGACGTCGCCTGCTTCTTGAGCGCTTCAAAGTCCTTTTGCTTGGTGGCCTTGTCGCCGCTGACCTTGACGAGACCTAGGACCTGTTAGCGAGTGCGTGGGGATGCGAGATCCTAGACTCACCGTAATCATTGTCCTCTTGAAAGTACATGTAGACAATGCCGCCGGAGAAAACTTTGGTCATCTCGTCCTCATACAGCGCGCCAGTCTCCTGAAAGATGCGGCCAGAGGCACCGTTGGGCAGGTTGCAGCCGTACTCGGCAAAGAAGACGGGGACCGAGTAGTTTTCGAAAAACTTGGCCTGCTTAGAGTAACCAGACTTTTCCATGTCGCTTTTACCGCACCACGAGTAAATGTTGTAGCCCCAAAAGTCAATGGCATCCTCCGGCTTGCCGCAGTTGAAGTAGTCGGCAATGTCTTTGCGAATGTCGACATCGTCGTTGGCGGCATAGCCGACGCCCATCCAGCGAGAATTCTTCCTGTTCTTGATGTAGGCCTTTGTGTCGCGGACGGCGGCCTTGACAAAGGCCGAGGCGTCCGTGTTGGTCTTGTTGTTGCTGACCTCGTTGCCGGCAAAGAAGCCAATGACGTTGGAGTACTTGCCGAGCTCGTCGACAACCTTGGTGTAGCGCGTGTAGAGCTCCGTATTCCACTGGGGATTGTCGCGGTTAATGGACAGGCTGGGCTCGCCGAGGTCGGAAATGACGTAGATGCCGGCGTCCTGGAGCAGCTTCATGCAGGCCGAGTGGTCCGACTCGGGGTTGATGGCGTAGGTTCGGATGGTGTTGGTGCCAAGCTCAACAAGGAGAGGGACGTCGCGCTTGCACTTGTCCTCGTCGGCGAGGGGGTCGACGTATTTGGACGTCTGCTCGCTCGTTGCACCGGCGGCACCCGTGTCCTGCTGGTAGGCGACGCCCTTCATGAAGAACTGGGTGCCATTCTTGTAGAAGAATTTGGATCCCTGAAACAGGTCAGCCTCGCCGGCAAGCAGCAGTCGTCAGCGCTTACCTTCATCTCGATGGGATCCAGGTCGGCGGCGAGGACGCTGCCCGCCAGCGCGAGCAGCGACAGGGACAGCTTGGCGAAAGCCATGGCGATGGCTGTGGCACCGACAAGGATGCGGAGCGAGGTGTGTCAAGACACGAAGCCGTGATGGAATCTTGGTGGTTGCTTGACAAGGGGAACGTCCGTCGGTTGATTGGGCTGGGTAATGAGTGAGAATTCCGACAGGGCAATATCAAACGAGAATAGTGTCTTGAAGGAGCGACAAGAAGGACGACGCACACTGCGTCAAGGAGGCTGTTCAGATGGAACAAATTAAAAATGGAAAGAAAAGAAGATGAAGAGAACAGGCAGGTCGACAATCTTTGTCCCGACCGAAGGTGTGAAGGTCGAGGGCGCTGCGCGGACCGTCTGGAAGGGAGACGGGGGACGGCCTGGACGAGTACTGTGCAACAGGCCCGGACAGCACTGTACAATCCGCAGGATCCGCCGCGGCCCTCCAAACACTGTGCCAAGATGACCGGTTTAGGGGCAAGGGAGATCCACCGCCGGCCCGCCTGGAGACGTGATTTGCCCCCGCTGTCTGGCTCGGCGGGAGGCGGAGCCGTCCGTCTGAGAAATCCTTGTCCAATCACGAAGCGTCTTGTGCCATGAGCGACAGCGGCGATACGCTCACCACAGCCGCCCGAGGTCTCTGAAACGATTGTTTGGTGCCTGCAACAGCAAACCCGGGTCGGAGCTCATGGCCAACACACATGCCTCCAGGGCGGTACGAAAAGGGTCGTGTGCGGCGTGGGCGAGATGCTTGGTACAGCCACTTGGGATCCTTGTGGGATGCAGAGAGGACGTGCACAGGGATGGATGACAGTGCGCCTGGCACATGCGATCCCCTGCCGCTGGGGGAAATAGGGGCTTGATCCTTGTTGTGCGTTGGGCCTGTCCGGTGCTCGTATTTCGATGCGCGCCGACGAGGGAAGCGTGTGGCTGAGCACGTGGTGAATCTCACAGTGCAACACGAGGCTGCCACCATGTGGCAATGCTTACGGTCCATCTCCATGCCAGTTCCTTGCTCCAGTGTGTCATTGTGCAAGCAAGCAGGTTGATTGCCGATGCTGGAGGGGAGGCCCGGAATGGCAAGGTGTAAGATGTCGTCTCTTATGGGCCCTGTACGGTACAGACAGGACGCTAGTACTGTGCACTCGGCCCCACCGTTCAGCCGAGCTTCGGTCGAGACTAGCAGATAAGTAGGTAGGTACTGTACCTAGGTACTCACTAGTCCAGTGACCATGATGATTACTCGGGGGGTTGACTAGCAGGGGTCCGCAAGGCCCCCCCCTCTCCTACGGAGAGGGGGTCACAAAACTTGTTTCTTTGACGGTCGTGTTTCCCTCTATCGCAACTTCAATCTACCGCCACGCCGTCAATTGGGCTTCTTAGGGATTGAAACAAAGATACAGTGTCTATTAGGTACTATAGAATTTAGGTGTCAAGTCTCGTGAGAATTGGTTCAGTCGTTGGTGTTACTAGTAAATTACAAATCTAATGCTCTAGGCCTGACGCACGCGCGTCTTTGGTACAGCAATTCGTCTACCATATATAACAACCTCCGGCTCATCCTCTTCTTCATTATCCTCGTCGCTGTATACACCCACGATAACGCGTTCCTCCTTGAGCTCGGCCTGGATCGCCGCCTCGTCTTCTTCGTTCAATTGCACCGGCTGCCGTGGCGGAAGCTGCTCGAGTGGAAGCTGCGATAGTGGTGGTCTCGCAATACGCGGGCGTTGGCGCTGTGTTGTTATGATCTGAATGTCATCCTCATCATCGTCGCTATTAGGCGCGAGATCCGGCTCTGAAGAAAGCAGCATAGATATATAGTCATGATCGATATCAGAGTCTTCGTCGGCCACGTTGGCAGCAGCTTGTGCCCGCGCCTCCTCCTGAGCTTGTGACCAGGCCACGATATCAGGAAGAGCTGTGAGATCGCCTTTAGGGTGTGTTGCCCATAGGAAATACCGGTAGCCCTCCGTAGCCGTAGTCCAGCGCTCTTGAAGAGCCTCGCGAGCGACAGCTTCTTCCGGGGTCACGAGTTGTTGAATGTATGTCCTGTACTTGGCCTCTTCTACTGCTTTCGCCGCCACGGCGGCTCCACCGCGTAGACGAGGCTGTGACGCTGTTTGTGCGGCATCCATAGCACGGAGATGTCGAAATTGAGTCTCGCTATCCTTAAGAGCACGCTTGGCACTAGCCTCTTGGTCTTCTTGCTGCCGGGCGGCCGCTTTCTCTCGTAGTTGCTGTATCGTAAAGGCGCCATCGTCAACGCCTCGGATTCGGCGTAGGGTCTTGGTTCTGCGCCTCTCTCGCTGGATACGGTCTTGCTGATGCTGTATAAACTGTGTATGAGCCGATTGTGTTAAAATCGCAAGATCAAGACAGGCTGACGCGTTATTAACGATCTCTCTCGTCGGGCTGCTTAGGATACCGAGTTTTTTCCGACTGGCTTCAAGATCACTCTTTACCTTACGTGGTGTCACCAAATTCCTCGCTAAAAGCTGTGGGAAAATAGGCTCCTGTCGGTCTTTAGAGGCAGCTCGTAATGGACCTAGCACCACTTCAGGATCAGGAGGCCATAGCCCGGACTGTTCAAAGCCCACAAAGATATAACAAGCCTTAAACGCGGCGCTGAATAGCTCATTCCATTGGCAGAGAAAGTCGAATCTCGAGATGCGTGTGCCGCCACCGATAACGAACTTCTTTAAGGCTCCTTGTTGTGCACGTTTGAGATGTTGATAGACGCCAACGTCAAGAGGTTGTAGGAGGTGGCTTGTATGCGATGGTAGCTTGAACGGTACGATCTCGAACATCTCGCAATACCAGATAAATTCAGGGTCCTCGTGTGCAGCAAATCCATCCATAACGAGCAGCCGGAAGACCGTCTTCGTCTTCTGAGTGTAGAATGTACGCCGTTCCCCATTGCTCTTATCCCAGCCTTCCCGTGTGATTGTAGCCGGGTAGCCGAACCAGTTCTCGATAGTATGGCCTTTAAAGGAGCTACTCCTAGCAAAGGAGTAGCGGTTGAAGTGCTGAAGCCACTGGAACGCCCGCTGGCTATTGTTATATCCTGTTGTTGTATATGTAACGACAACGTCGTCGCTAATTGTAGCCATCGTGTATTCTTCAAGGAGGGACTTTGCACTAAGGATAAGGAAAGAAGGAATGGCTTTCCGGCGGCACTGATGGCATCCACTGATGTTAACGACTCCTTATTCCCAGGCTGGAAGAAGACGGGCCTTCTGCTCCTCTTCATCCGTAATGACACTAGCTTTAGGAGCCCTTCATCCACCCAAGCTGAAGAGGGTTTCGTCGAAATTCCATAGATTTTCTGGCGTTATTCTGAGCTCCTTGATAACGGCCTGATATTCGTGGAACCAAGCCTCAAGCTCGTCAACCTCAAGCTCGGCGCCGGCGCGAGTGATCTCCTGGATCCTAGCCCTCCTGATGGCAAGCTCTGGATGCCGCCGTTTAAAGCGAGTAAGCCACGATCTCGACACCTGAGAAGTTAAGCCCTGACGGCGATGATGGCGGATAAAGTTGGCCTTATTGATGAGGCATGCCTCCGTGAGTGCGAAAGTGCCGCCTTCGACGAGTCTTGCGTATGAGAGTAGACTCTTCTCTTCAGCATCGGTAAGAGCAGTAGGGGCGCCTCCCTTTCCCCCGCTTGGAAGAGCCAGATTGGCGCGAAGAAGCCTGATATACTTCTTTACGAGGCCTTCATTGGTCTTGTGTATCACTGCGAGCTCGTTGATTGTCAAGACGCGCGGAGGCGCGGATTTGCGCGTGTTGTACGCGTTAGCGAGTCGCCGTCAAGATATTCTCGCGCCGCATTCGCCGCACGCAAGCTCTGATCAGGCTGAAAATTTGGCATCATGGAAATGAAGTATGGTTAACGATATTGCGAAAGTTTTGAGACTTGATAGCATCAATTGACGGCGTGGCGGTAGATTGAAGTTGCGATAGAGGGAAACACGACCGTCAAAGAAACAAGTTTTGTGACCCCCTCTCCGTAGGAGAGGGGGGGGCCTTGCGGACCCCTGCTAGTCAACCCCCCGAGTAACGAGGGGATGCACTATCGAGAATTCAATTTGTCGTTTGATATCCCAGTCGCCCAATTAATTTACATGATCGAATGCCGCGCTTTGACGCGCCTTGGCCTGAGCAGGCCACCCCCATACAAAAGTCTTACTGGCCTTCCTTGTTGTTTCCGTGTCTGCGCTTGTGTGAAGGGGACAGGCTCTCTCGGTGCCTCCTCCTGCTGATCTGCTGCGTCATCTTGTTTGATCCGCACGCAGTACGCGCACCTCCTTTCTCCATCGATATCCTCGGCGCCGAAACCTGACTCCTCACTCGCCGTCTCCCGAGGGAGGCCGTGATTAGTCCCTGTCTAATATTTGCTACGTGTGTTCATCCCATGTACCAAGTCGCTTAATGAATCAGGTGGGCCAGAGCCTGGGAAATCACCTCATATCGCGGGTCCTGCTTGCGACATCGTCGGACTTCCACTCAAGGGCCCCCATTTGCTTGTTGCATCAACTCTCAGCCGATTGGCAACGAGACGTCATTCTCCATTCTGCACTGCTTGTGCCTGCCGCATTCAGACTGTCGCTCCACATGCAAGACTGGTTGACAGTTGTCTGGCTGCGCCACAGTTCCGACCAAGTGACAATGCCCGCAGGAAGAATGGTCTGCAGCACGTACCGTACTGTGCAGGTATTTCCCCCCACATTTACAGCATATCTGCGTCCCGAGACCTTGGAGGACGTCGGCAGTGATGCTGCAGGAGCCAACAGTCACAGGATAGCTATTCGCACCGCTGTCATCCGGAGGCGAGGACGGACAGAAAAGACGGTTGAAAAGTATTCAGCGGGCCATTCTATCCCTTGATGCGGCTCGATTCTGGAAACCCAATATGGCGCACAATAGTTGCTGCTAGGCCGCCAGGCTTTGGAAGCTCCGGGGTAGCGCTGAAGGCGACGCTGAGGATCGGTCCGGAGTCCGGACTGTAACAAAGATAGCCTGCGCCTTCTGTAACACCGGTAGAGTCGCCTAAAGCCAATTACCGCCGACAATTCAAACTTGCTTGGCAAATTCAGGCGCATCCTCGCTTCTCCTTCAGCAGGCCACGCTTGTGCATGCTACCATTGGCAGCCCCTGTCCTGGACAGGAATCGAGTCTGGAAGCAACCTGTATGCGGCCGCGGGATCGTGGCAGATTCTGCACTCGCCTTGTGTGCCAGCGGTGCGACACCACGATTGTTTCCGGCTTTCAACAGGCAGCTCTAGAAGCCCATCATGATCGCCAACTTGACGAGACTTTCGGTTACGTGGACGTTGTGCACAATTGTTCGAATAGTAGGCTCCCATCGAGATCCTGCTATCTGCTCGGGCGTCTTGCTCCCCACTCGACGACTATGAGCATCTCCCCTCCATTCTTCCCATCATGCTGTCATATCTTTCCTGGGGTTGAGATGCTAAATTGGGACAAACGCTAAAAATGCTCTCGGTGACGGTTCGGCGAGGTTCGGTGGGGGCTTCGGTGAGGGGATCGAGATCCCCCTCTCAACCCCTCCTCAACAAAGCGATCGGCCAAGCCCTCTCGCAGATCCAGTGCTTCCCTCCCAAACCTCTGGGATGATGTCATTGCTCGCACCCGTCAATCGTTTCGAATGGCCGGGCTGTGGGATCTGAGCAGGATGATCCGGTCCGCCTTGAGTCTCGACAACACGTCAGATATCCAGCATGATGTCATACTTGCATCTGCTGCAGACATATATCAGAGGCGTATGAGAAACTAGTCTTCTCAGTCTCATCATCGGCCCTTGCTTTACATGAACATATCAAAATTTTATCACCTTTGAAGACTTAGCACCCGAGTCAAGACATCCACCATGGCTTCAGTACAAGACCGCAAGCCCCCCAGCGCCGGCACCAAGGTAATACGCCGATCTGCAGCCCTTGCTTATCGTGCTGTACTGACAGTGACCCAAGGTGTCCCCCGGCCAAGACGCTCCCGTTACCCGTGAGGGAGCAGGATTCGTAGCTCCCGAGTCGCTTGCCGCAGCGTCCTACAGAGAGGATGGAGACTTCGGTGCGAACCGCAGTCCCAAGCCTGACCAAGGCTCTTCACAATCTGGAATGGAGTCATCGAACTACACCACCAGCTCCGGCGCCAAATTGGGCAGTGCGGCGCAAAAGTCGAGTTCCAAGGGCGGCACGGCGCCCGGCTACGTCGCTAACCAACACCACTCCAACAACGGTCCTCATGGCAAGAAGTCGACGGAAGGGGGCTTCGAAGACTCCAGGCTGAAAGACGGTCTCCAGATGGCGCTCAACTCGGAGCCGGGGTCCACCAACGATCCTAGTAGACTTGCCGAGGCGCAATTCATGCAAGGCGAAGCGGCACAGCCCGGCGTGACTGGCCACAGAGAGGGCAGCCTCAACACCAAAACGGCTTATGAAAACTTGGATCGGGAGACTTCGTCGTAGGTAGGCCCGGCGTCGGATTCTCGGATGCGAGACATCACCCGTGGCATGTTCAACTTATGACGACGGCCGCCAATAGCATCACAGCAAAGCTTCTAGAATAAAGTGGGTACTGCTCACCTTCAGGCGCAGTCGAACGACTGAGGCCTACAAGCACATACTGTACGTGCGTGACTCGTGAATGGATGACCAAATTTTCCATCTCTTGTTAGAAGCCTGCTGCCTGCGTCCGTGTAACACTTGGTCAGCACGGAGAGCCCAACAAACCTGCCAGGGGAGCAGCAACGCATGGCCTCTGTTTAGGCATCAGCTTTCAGTTTTGGTGGATGGAGCTCATATATATCCATGAACTGCAAGCCTATCCCACAGAGCTGGTCATAAGCCCCACGCTTAAACCCGGCTCCAAGCAGGACACGCCACAGCGATGATCTCAGGCCTGCAGTGAGCACTCACCACGTCGCAGACACGGGCGCCGGCTAATGTGTGGTGCAGTTGCACGCATCTGCTATATCTAGGCGTGTGTCGACCAACACGACGTCGGACTCGGTCCTCAGCGACAAAACCTACCGAGGGCAAAGTCGTCGCCATGACGCCCCGAAATGGCCACGTTGAACCGCCAGGACAGCCTGACAGCTGGTCGTCGTCGTCCACGACAAGACTGAATGAGGCTTTTGTGCGCAGTGAGCAAGCTACAGCGTCAACGTCGGTGCCGCATCCGGACTACGTCCCCGACGAGGAGGAGCTCGAGCGACGGAGGCTCGGCGAGGCGCAACCGCAGTTGGTGCCGACAGAGGTGATATTGCATAAATCCCGGGCTGCGCAGACGCGCACGGGCAAGGAGCCGCTCGAAGCAGTTGCACCATGTTCGTGGAACGGCGAGAGGGTGCGGCCAAAGCAGAGTTGGACAAGAATCCGATGTGTGGTGCAGGGCTGGTTGGCGTGACGACTGGCGGAATTTTGTCTGGCCATATTGCGTGTGTGGCACATTTACAGATTTTTCGAGGTTTTCAAAGACATGTCGGCTTCTCCGCTCTTCTCACGCTCGCCGAGTTTGGCGGTGGCGATTTCATCTAGCGGCGCCTTACTGGCTGATTTCATGCCTTAGGCTCTTATCGTACAAAATTTCCACTCGATACCGAGCCCCACTAAAGCGAAAATTCACCCCGCCTCCGTGCCGTCTCACCCTCTGTCGTCCATCACCATCAGCCTCCCAGCCAACACCAATTGATTGCCTGGGTGTCGCTCCTCGCTCCCTCTACTGGCGTCTGTTCCTGTCGTCGCCTCAAATCCAGCGCTTACAGAGTCGTGTTCAAGACTTTGTTCTTCTGCCCACCCGTGACGGGCCTCTCTCTCCCATTTCCGCTCTTTGTGTGCATCGCCCCAGACCGCCAAAATGCCTTCCGCCTCCAAGGAGAAGAGACTCGCCAAGAAGGCCGCCGAGGGCAAGCTCGACAAAAAGACCGGCAAGGCGTCCAAGGGCAAGAAGGAGGACGTACAGCTCGACGCCCACGGGAAACCCATCGAGGACGATGCACCGGCTACGTCGGGCGAGAAGATGGATGAGGTTAAGCGCCTGGCAGAACAGATGGACAAGCACGGCATCTCGGACCGCGTCACCACCGGCGTACTGGCCTCGACCGCCACTAGCAAGGACGTCAAGATTACCAGCACCAGTCTTGTGTTCCACGGCCGAGTCCTCATCACCGATTCGACTCTTGAACTGTCCTACAGCCGACGATACGGCTTGCTGGGCGAGAACGGATGCGGCAAGAGTACGCTGCTCAAGGCCATCGCCGCTCGCGAGTTCCCCATCCCCAACCACATTGACATCTATCTGCTCAACCAGGGTGCTCCCCCGTCGGAACTCGGTGCCTTGGAATGGGTCGTCACCGAGGCAGAGAACGAGATGGAACGCCTCGACAAGCTGGCCGAGAAGCTCCTCGAAGAAGAGGGCCCCGAGAGCCCCGTTCTCATTGATCTCTATGACGTGGGTTCCCAACACTCCCTCGTTCTGATTGTTGAGTCGGATAATGCTTTGTTTGAGAAAGAATGCTGACGTGCCCGCAGCACATGGACAAGATGGACCCCACGACCTTTTCCACCCGCGCTTCGCTGATTCTCACCGGTCTCGGCTTCAACAAGAAGACGATACACAAGAAGACCAAGGATATGTCTGGTGGCTGGAGGATGCGAGTCGCTCTGGCCAAGGCCCTGTTCGTCAAACCCTCACTGCTCCTGCTTGACGATCCCACCGCCCATTTGGATCTCGAGGCCTGCGTGTGGTTAGAAGAGTATCTTAAGAAGTGGGACCGCTCGCTCGTTCTCGTTTCCCACTCCATGGACTTCCTCAACGGCGTCTGCACAAGCATGATTGACATGCGCTCGCGCCAGCTGCAGTACTATGGTGGCAACTACGACTCGTACCACAAGACAAAGGCCGAAAACGATACCAACCAAATGAAGGCTTATCACAAGCAGCAGGAGGAAATCGTCCACATCAAAAAGTTCATTGCCAGCGCCGGCACGTACGCCAACCTGGTTAGGCAGGCCAAGTCTCGGCAGAAGATCCTCGACAAGATGGAGGCCGATGGCTTCATCGAGCCCGTTGCCGCCGACAGGGTCTTTACTTTTCGCTTCGCCGATGTCGATAAGCTGCCGCCCCCAGTTCTGTCATTCGACGACGTCACCTTCTCCTACTCCGGGAAACCCGAGGACGACCTGTACCGCAACCTGGAACTCGGCTTCGACATGGACTCGCGAACGGCCTTGGTCGGCCCCAACGGTGTGGGCAAGTCGACGCTCCTTCGCCTGATGACGGGAAAGCTTTCGCCGACCGGCGGTTCCGTCACCCGCCACACCCACCTGAAGCTCGGCCTCTACTCCCAGCACAGTGCCGAGCAGCTGGACCTGACCAAGTCGGCGCTCGACTTTGTCCGAGACAAGTACAAGACAAAGTCCCAGGACTACCAGTACTGGCGCCAGCAGCTCGGCCGATACGGTCTCACTGGTGAAGCCCAGACTGCACTGATGGGCACGCTGTCAGAAGGCCAGAAGAGCCGTATCGTCTTCGCGCTGCTTGCCATCGAAAGCCCCAACATGCTGCTGCTCGACGAGCCGACCAACGGTCTGGACATCCCCACCATTGACAGTCTGGCCGATGCCATCAATGCCTTTAACGGAGGTGTGGTCGTCGTCTCGCACGACTTCAGGTAAGAAAGAGTCCCCGACAGAGCAAGACGAGCACGTGAGTCTTAACGCCAATGACAGGTTGCTGGACAAGATCGCCAAACAGATTCTGGTGTGCGAGAACAAGACCATCCAAACTTGGGATGGCACCATCGGCGACTACAAGAACTACCTGCGCAAGAAGATGATTTCGGCCGGCGCAGTGTAAAACGAAAAGTCGAATCCGGGTTGAATATGCATCATAGAGAAGAGGTTACGACAAACTGGGACAGATAGGGGTGGACTACAGGGACAATGGAACACTACGTGGCGAGTCGTCAGGGATGACTGTGCAGGTTAGGCCTCATGACGCACTGGCATGGCCGCGATATACTTAGAGGTGCGGATCTATGCACCCATGAGGTTTCGTTTTACGGGATAGACTTGGTTGCTACGAATGAGTATTGATGTTTCTTTACGCTGGGTGCGGTACGGGGATGCCGCAACTGAATCGATTGAAACGCAAATGGCCGAAACGAGTGCCTTGTTGAAGTTTCCATCCGAGCGCAAATGCAGTCTTGATGCAGTGCGGGGTCCGAGAAGCAGCAGGAGACGCACAGCGAGCAACAACGAAGCCTGTAAAAGGAATTCACACATGGCTGCAGGACGTAAGCCTGATACTCATGCCCATTCGGCCTGGCCGGCTACCGTGTGTGAGTCACTCGGCGACGCCACTTTGATGCGGAGTACTTTCTTGATCTTTGCTTTGCTTGGGAGGAAGGGAGAAGGCCGATGCTTTTCGAGATTTCGTCGCTTTCACAAACAGGTGAGTGCCGGCGAGAAGGGTGTCGAGTGCAAGATCGAGACTCAGGTGGAGGAACGCGAAGGACTGGGCGAATCAGCATTCAAGTTTCAACACCAACTCGCGGGCAACCTCGGATCAACTGCAAGAATCATCTAATTATCCCGTCCATCGTCGAGCGAACAGAGCTCAATACTGGCATTTGCCACAGTAGCCGCAATCCCTGTCGCAGGCCGTGAGATCCTTGGCCCCCCCATCATCGCTCCACCCGTCACTAAACCCATCATCGTCAACCGCCTCCTTTTTGCGTCCCTCGTCCAGCCAGTCCTCCCACTGCGCTCTCACGGACCGGGAAAACGCAGTGCCGGCGTCGGGCAGTCGGCGTCGAAGCTCCAGCTCGCCACCCTCCCTCCCAAGCAGCTCCAGCTTCCCGTCCTCGTCAGCCAGCGCGTCGCGAGCGAGGTTGCGCAGCAGAGCGACGAGCTGCCGAATCGCAGCCTGGTTGTCGGCTTCCCAGTCTTTGATGGCGGTGCTGATGTCCTGGACGTGCACGTCCTCGAAGACGCCTTGCGTGTGGTACGTGAGGACGAGCTTGGGTGACTGCCGGGCCCAGAGGCGTGGCATCTGTTCGCCCAAGTTGTCTTTGTGCCGGGCGTTGATGGAGCGAGTCTTGATGCCAAGGATGGGATTCTGAGGCGTCGAGCTCCCGGCGTTGCCCACTTCAAGGCCCCCGTCCTTGGACTCTGTCACTACGTCGTCTTGATGGAGACGCAGGCCCCCCATCTGGCCCAGAGCATCGGCCGTGTCCTCCCCGGCTGAAGCCCGCGGCTGCTCAGATCCTACATAGCCGTCGACCTCGTACCGCACGAGCACGTCGAGCCCCCCGAGGCAGAACTTGACGATGCGCTGGTGGGACAGGGACCGCCCCAAGCCCGGCTCCCAGCTAGTATACGCCTCAAGAAATCTGTGGCCGTAGCCCCTCACGTTTGGGATACTCTCATTTGGCGAGTTCTCTCGTCGTATGAGGTGGACCGTTTGGCCGACAACCTCGACGAGCATCCTGAAGGACTGGCCTGCCCCTCGCACGTGGCGCAGCAGGTTGCCGAGCGTGCTTGCGCAGGCAACGAAGTCGACCGAGAGCGGCTCGGGATGCATCCTCATGATGGAGATGACGGCCGGCTCCATGGGGTGGCTCGGATACGACGCAGCATTGCGATCGCGGTAGAAGACGCCACTATCCTCGCGAAGCTTCTGGGGACCCTTGGGGGGCGTCCACAATGGAGGTTTGCCTGCTCACGTCTTAGCTGGGCTTCCTCGACGGCTCACTGGCCCGGGCACGTTGCTCACCAGGCACGACAATCTTGGCACCGGGGCCGTTCATCCAGCTGTAGGACGCCACGAGCCTGGTATTCGAGATGCCGCAGTCCTCTTCGCCGTCTGAAACCACCGATCCGGTGTCGTTGAGGGGAAGCGTCTTGATCAGTTCTCCAAGGGGAGGGGGCGGCGAAGGCTGGTAGTCAGTGCCCGATCTGGCCCCGCGGTCCCTACTGGTGCCCCATCGGCCATAGTTTCCCCATCGACCATAGGTGCTTTTTCGAAAGGCCATGATCGTTGGAAGAGGGCGTTGGAAAGAGGTGTGTTTGGGTCAGGATGAAAAGGCTAGGACGTGGTATGTGGAGAATGAGCGACCGGAAGCTCTCCGTATGACGAGGAGACCAACGGCCCGATGACAGCTGTGCAGGAGACAAGTGAATGTTCAGACAAGACGTTGACGGACACGCCACCTGACATGTCATGCAGCTTTCCGACTGGAGCAGATGCGCCGGCAGGGGGAGTTTTGATACAGCCGTCTCGCGTTTGTCGATTGTCCAATATACCAGCACATCAACATGGCTCGCCGCCTGAGCAAAGGGCACAGGCGGATGCAGATGGAATCCAGTGGATGCCATGGATGCACCTTAAGACATCATTCACCGAGTATTCACTCTTTGTGTCCCGTTCGTTACCTCCTGGTTGTCTATCTTCAGCAATATGTTGGGCTCAGCCTCTGTGACAAGCATGTTGGCCAAACCAACGACAATTTCACTGTATTTTCACATCGCCGTGCTTCAGTAATTTCAAAACATATTGTGGAAATATTGATTTTGCACAAGCCTTCCCCCTTTATCCGACATCAAGGCTACACCATCGCCATACTCCCTCCAAGCTCTCTTCAACCACCGTACCCTCAAGCCTGCATCGCCTTCTGGTGCAGAAAACAAGAATGGATCATAGATCCGAGCGATTTCGCAAGCTTTTCTATGATCACATTGCGGGGAAGCGCCGAATCAAGGGCTCCCAAGACGCGAAGCTCTTTCTCGAAGCCGCAGACATCATCTGCAAGCAAAAGAGCCCGTCGACCTGTATCGAGAATATTGTCTGCAGCCCCAAGGGGGTCGAGGCGGTCGGGATCGCAGTCAGAAGTGGCCTCTCGACAGACTCGGTGAAAGCGGCGCTTGGCCTTTTCATCAAGCATCTTCTTTCTCAGCGGGTCAGGGCCATTGGTGACGGACAGTTCCTTCGGCAGCTGTTGATTGCGATTCTGTCGCCGCCGACCTTCTGGACCGCCCTCTTAGATGCCCATAGGAGCGATGCTATCCAGGACCAGGACCTCGAGACTTTTGCTCAGCTCTGTCTCGAAATCGTGACTACTCAGCACTCTGCTCTCGAGATGCCAGGCGGCGATGTCCAGCAACTGATGAAGGGCAAGACTTTGACCGAAGCGTCATCGTACGAAGTCAGGGTACTGGCCTACCGGATCCAGAGAGTCCTCCAGCTCAGTTCGGCCGCCGGGCCGGTCGGCCTCGGCGACAGCCCGGGAGGGCGCCACGACAATGGCTTTGCCGACTTTCGACAAATCGAAATCTATCCTACCACAGACGAGATTCGGTCCGCCGAGGAGCCTTTTCTCCAGCGCCTGGACGACGTGTTTAGCGGCCCGAAGGAGTCGCGGGTGAGAAATCATCGCGATTGGCTGTATCGCCTGCTCCGGGAGGACATGTTGGCAGAGCTGAGAGAAGATCTTCTCGCTGCCTTGGGACAGAAAAAGACCAGTCGAGCTGTCAAAACCTTCAAGGATCTTTCTTTGGCCGAGGCTAGTCCCACTGGTTTCCTTTCTACAGTGCCCATGACGCTCACCATCAGTTGCGGCGATGGAGTCACGTTTCCTCGCCAAGCGTCTACCGGCGAAGACAAGAAAAAGTTCCTGTATGACAACAGGGCCTTTATGCAGCATCGTTCGTTCGGCGCCTTCTGCTGCGGTATGGACGTTGTTGCATTCGGCTCGCTGCTCAGAGACGTCGACCTGCTATGCAAGTCACCCCCCGTCCTCGTCGTCCAGTTCACGGACGCAGCCGGGCTACGCAACACTCTCGAGGCTCTACTAGGAGCGAAGAGGCAAGAACTCAATTTCGTTGTCGTAAACACGCCAACGTTTGCCTATGAACCTATTCTGCAGCGCCTCAAGGGGGTTGTGGATGTGCCGATTGTGGACTCGCTGCTCGATCTGGCAGACGCAGCCTTGGCTAAATACCAGCCTCCGACAAGGCTAGAGACCGTCCTGACAAGCCTCGAGGCAGCCTTGCTGAAGGGCACGGAGGTTGACCTGTCTTCACTTATGGCTATGACGAAACCCGTTCGAGTACGTGGTGCGCAGCTCGAGTCCCTAATCAACGGTCTGCGAAGCTCTATCGGCCAGATTCAGGGCCCGCCTGGTACTGGAAAATCCTTCATTGGGGCGCTGATTGTGCTGCTGATCCTGAAACTCACGGACCATCGGGTGCTCGTGTTAAGCTATACGAACCATGCACTGGATCAGTTCCTCGCCGACTTGATGGATATTGGCATCGAGGAGGGAGACATGGTTAGGCTTGGATCCAAGTCCTCTACACAAACGCAATCGCTGGCGCTGGCTGATTGTACGAGACAACAAGCGTTTCGGCTGGCCCATGCCGTGTGGACTGCCCTCACAAAGCTCAGACAAGAGGCCAGCGAGCTGAAGGAACAGCTCGCAACTATGAAGAACAAACTGAAGAATCCCATCACCAACCGGGAAATCCTTACGATGCTGGAGTTCTCCGAGAAGGAATCTTCTTTTCAGATGGCTTTTAAGGTCCCGGAGGCGGATAACGGTTTCCACATTGTAGGGAAAAAGAACCAGCGTCTTGAGTCAATCGATCTATATCAATTGTGGCTGCAGGACAGGAAACTCGACAGCCCGAGTGGATTGAAAAATTGCATCGCCCCCGAAGCTTGTTTCGCGTGGGACATTCCACACGAAGCCAGACGTCAGCTTCACGACAAGTGGTCGAACCAGGTCCGCCAAGACCTCATTGGGGATTACATGGAGCTTGCAGAGACCAACAACCAGCTCCAACGTCAGATTGACAACCTCTTCGACGAGAGCAAGCGCAACGTGCTGCGCAGCAAGAGAGTGATTGGTTGCACGACTACTGGCGCTGCCATGAACCAGTCAATCATCAGTGCTGCCGAGCCGGACGTCGTGTTGGTCGAGGAGGCCGGAGAGATCCTCGAGGCCCACGTCATTGTTGCCCTCAGTCCCTCGGTCAAGCAACTTTGTCTGATTGGCGATCATAAACAGCTTCGGCCCAAGGTCAACAACTTCAAGCTGACTGTGGAAAAAGGTGACGGATACGACCTTAATGTGTCACTCTTCGAGCGGCTGATTCGGCAAGGCCATTCTTACTCCGCTCTCCGGCAGCAGCATCGGAGCCACCCCGATATTTCGCACTTTACCAGGCTGCTGGCGTATGAGAACCTCGAGGACAGCTCCCGGACGCTGAACCGGCCAAAGGTGCGAGGTCTGCAAAAGAGGGTCATCTTTGTCCATCACGAGAACAGCGAAGATCAACTGCCCAATGTCCAGGACCAACGCGAGCCAGCACTCAAGACCAGCAAGAGTAACCTCTTCGAGGCCGACATGGTTCTAAAAATGGTCAAGTATCTGGGCCAGCAGGGTTATGGCCCGCAACAGCTGGTCGTTCTCGTGCCATACCTGGGTCAGCTTTCGCTCCTGAAGCGCAAACTCAGCGAGAGTCACGACCCGTATCTTAATGACCTCGACTGTGCCGAGCTCGTGCGCGCCGGCTTGATGGCGCCGGCTGCGGCTGGCGTCAGCAAAACACCCCTCCGGTTGTCCACCATCGGTGAGTCTCGCCCCGTTTCATGGAGCGACGTGCGCCGCTAATAGATGCAGACAACTATCAAGGAGAGGAGAGCGACATCGTCATTGTCTCCTTGACAAGAAGCAACCCTGGAGGTGACATTGGGTTTATGTGTTCTCGTGAGCGTCTCGTGGTCCTCATGTCACGAGCACGAGATGGCATTGTGCTATTTGGAAACATGCATACTTTGATGAAGAGCAAGAGAGGGGGTGAGCTCTGGAGGGAGTACTTCGAGGCGCTCAAGGACAAGGAATGCCTATTCGATGGGGTTCCGGTTCACTGCGAGAGGCACCCTCAGCGATCCTTGCTGCTCAAAACGCCAAAAGACTTTGACCAGCATTGTCCCGAAGGAGACTGTGCCGCACCCTGGTGAGCGCCAATCCCGACCCAGAGTTCGTAACCAAGACTGACGATATAGCGGCGCGATGCTTCCGTGCGGCAAACATGCCTGCGCTCGTCGGTGTCATAGGATCCAAGATCACTCCAAGATTGCTTGCCCCAACTTGGTGGAAGGGACGTGTGACAGGGGCCACAAGACATCGGTGCCGTGCGGGAAAAGCAGCGAAGGTTGCGAGATCTGTGCCGACGAAGATGAGGACGTCCGCCGACGGGCCAAGAGGGACCTTGACTTGGAGCGCAAAAGGCAAACGAGCCAAGATGAGTATCGTCGTAAGCGGAAACGGATTGAAGACGAGATTGATCTCCATCAACGTACAATCAAGTACGAGGCAGAGAAAGAAGAACAGGGAAAGACCTTGTCCCAGAAACAGGCGGTACTGCAGAGACTTAAGGCCACGAGAGAAAGGATTTCTGCAGCGAAAGAAAAGTGCTGCAGCAGCCGCGAAGCCTCTGCCATCAAGAATGCCGCAGTCGACAAGAATGAAGACGACGAGTTGGCCAGCTCTGCCAACCAAGAATGGGGGTCAATGAAGAGCCACGAAGGGGCACTCAACCCTGCTTTGGATGACCTGATGGGCTTGATTGGCCTGGATGCGGTCAAAGACGAGTTTCTTTCTGTCAAATCGAGAATTGACACCAAGATTCGACAGGGCGTGTCGCTGACTGAAGAGAGGTTCAGCTGCGCCCTGTTGGGCAACCCCGGCACGGGTATGTAATCGTACCAGAAATGGTCCGAGAGCAGGCAAAACTGTCAGACACAGGGAAAACCACGGTGGCCCGCCTATGGGGTAAATTCCTTACAAGTGTCGGGGCCATCCCTGGCGAGGTCTTCAAGGAAACGACAGGAGCCAAGCTGGCCAACGACGGAGTATCTGCAACCGAGGCGATGCTCGAGGAGATCAAGGACGGTGGCGGAGGCGTGCTATTCATCGACGAAGCGTACCAGCTTTCGTCAGGGAACAGCCCGGGCGGCCGTGCCATCATGGACTACCTGCTCGCCGAGGTGGAGAATCTTCGAGGAAAGGTCGTCTTTGTCCTCGCCGGATATCGCAAACAGATGGAATCTTTCTTTGCACACAACCCGGGGCTGCCTGGCCGGTTCCCCGTCGAAATGGCATTTGAAGACTACGATGATGCTCAACTGCTTAAGATACTCCAGCGCAAGATAAACCGGATATGGAGCGGCAAGATGGCTGCGGAGGGAGGGGTTGACGGGTTGTTCCCGAGAATCGCCGCCCGCCGTGTCGGCCGCGGACGGGGCACAGAAGGATTCGGCAACGCTCGTGCGATTGAGGGTGCCCTGGCCAAGATTTAGAAGCGCCAAGCAAGACGATTGCGTCTCGAGCGGCGTGCTGGCCGCTCTCCCGACGATTTCATGCTCACCAAGGGAGACATGATCGGACCAGAACCGACGGCAACGCTGGAGAAATGCAAAGCATGGAAACAGCTGGATGGCATGATAGGACTAGGCAAGGTCAAACAGGAGGTCAAGGTTCTGCTGGACTCATTGACGACCAACTACCAGCGAGAGCTCGCGGAAGAGCCGCTGATGCAGTTTGCTCTGAACAGGGTGTTTCTCGGGTCGCCCGGGACAGGGAAAACGACGGTGGCCAAGCTATATGGGGAGATCCTGGCCGACCTGGGGCTCTTGTCCAGCGGCGAGGTGGTTGTCAAGACGCCGGCAGACTTTGTCGGTGCAGCCATTGGCCAATCCGAAGCACAAACCAAGGGTATCCTAGCGGCGACTATCGGAAAGGTTCTTGTCATTGACGAAGCATACGGGCTGTACGGCGGCGGAGGTGGACTAGGCTCCGTGACCGATCCGTACAGAGTCGCCGTCGTGGACACCATTGTCGCCGAGGTGCAGAACGTGCCCGGCGAGGATCGCTGCGTCATCCTCCTCGGGTATCAGGAACAGATGGAAAAGATGTTTCAACACGTCAACCCCGGTCTCAGTCGCAGGTTCGCCATCGATTCGCCCTTTACCTTTGAGGACTTTGACGACGAGGAGCTCCGGTGCATCTTGGACCTGAAGCTAAAGGCTTCCGGCTTCGTCACCACTGGTCAGGGCAAGCGAGCTGCCGTCGAGGTGCTTGGCCGAGAGCGCAACCGGCCCAGTTTTGGCAACGGCGGTGCAGTGGAAAACCTGCTGTCCAAGGCAAAGGCGAATTTCCAGAAGCGAGCGTCACAGGGCACGGCACGAAAGAACGTGCTCGAGGCAACCGACTTTGACGAAAAGTACAATCGTGCCGACAAGGCTGAAACCGACGTGGCCATGCTCTTCAAAGGCGAAGTCGGTCGCGACAAGATCATTACGTTCCTTGAGGAACTCCAGAAGCGCGTCAAGCAGCTCAGGAGCATAGGCTTTGACCCGAAAGAGGAGATTCCCTTCAACTTCCTGTTCCGAGGGCCACCGGGAACTGGAAAGACGACGACGGCGCGGAAAATGGGAAAGGTGTACTTCGACATGGACATACTGGCCGAAGCCAAGGTGATTGAGTGCTCCGCGACAGAGTTGGTTGGCCAGTACGTCGGCCAGACAGGACCCAAGGTGCAGCAAGTGCTCGATCGGGCACTCGGACGCATCTTGTTCATCGATGAGGCTTACCGCCTTGCAGGAGGCGGCGGCTTCGCCAAGGAGGCGATGGACGAGCTGGTGGACTCGATGACCAAGCCCAAGTACCAAGGCAAGATGATTCTTATCCTCGCCGGCTATGTGGACTACATCAACCACCTCCTGTCGGTCAATCCTGGAATGTCCAGCCGCTTCCCAGAATCGATAGATTTCGATGCACTTGGGGCTCAAGACTGTGCCAAGCTGCTTGCGAGCCTGCTGGGCCAGAAGAAGGCGGAGCTGCGACGAAGAGGAAAAGACGTCGACATGGCTTGCCTTGAAGCGCCGTCCAATGCGTTCAACGCGGAAATGCTTGACAGATTCCACTCTCTCGCTAGGACCAAAGGCTGGGGCAACGCGAGAGATGTCAAGCAGCTGGCCAAGTTTGTGTTTCGCCGCATCAACCTGATGTCCAAAGTAATCAGGCTGGAGGAAGAGCAGGTGGGTGCAGAGCTTGACAAGATGCTGGACGACAGGCTGGCGAGAGAGGGCGCGAAGATGGCGTCATGTCCAGTTGCTGCGCCAATGACGGAGCCCGATGGGGGTTCTCAGCGACGGCCGAGTGCCAATGTTTCTTGGAGCGTGGTCGAAAGCAGTCGAGCCGAGGATTCGACCACCGAAGCTCCCCCCAAGAGAAGGTGGAAGCTGCACGACAAGACACATGTCAGGCAGTGCGCGATGCCGGTGTCAGCGACAAGGTCTGGAACCAGCTCCAGCTTGACCGAGCCGAGGCAGTGCGCAAGGAGACAGAGTACGGCAAGCTCAAGAAGGCGCAAAAGTCGGCAAGGGGGGCGGACCGAGAGAGAATCGTGCGTCAAGTGCTGGAGGAAGAAGAGCGACGGAAGCGAGAAGCTTCTGCCAAGGCGCGGCTCAAGGCGTTTGGAGTCTGTCCCGTCGGCTACAAGTGGATCAGGCAGGAGGGAGGATATCGCTGCGCGGGCGGCTCGCATTGGATGTCGGATGGCGACTTGAAGGGGATGAAGTGAGTGGTTAGGTGTTTTAGTCTGTAGCAACGACGAGGTGGCGTGTCTGAGACGGCGACATTTGGTAGAGGCTTTTGGGTGAATGATGCAGGGAAGAGGTGATGGCAGTGGTCACGTGGGGAGGCCAGGCGTTCCGGGGACAAGGTTCCGTCATTCCGGCCTGCGATGCAGCATTGCTCTCTCGGAATGGAAATGACGTCTCCGGGTATACATAGACAGACGTGCACTGCAGCAGGTACTCCGTAAGAGTGCTGTTTTTGAACAGGCACTTCGCAATAGGTAGGCTGGACGAGGACGCCCCAACATATACACCCGTGCATGACGGCTGTCCAGAAGTCATCCAACCCTGAGAGGTGAAGGGCGGCTTGAACTTCTCGATGCGGGGAGAGTTGTCGATTCTGGTTGCGTAACTTACCGTACTCCGTCAAGCTGCTGTTGGCCGACGGATGATTGTTTTGCGACGTCTCGTCTCGGCTGTACGCGTGGATAACCAAGTAACTTAGTGACATTTACCATGGTTCAATGACGGGGGCGCTGATTGGCTGCAGCTGGGGAAAGCATCGTTTTCGGCTCAAACCACGAGCGGCGTCAACCAACACGTCCAAGCAACGTCGCCAGCTGGAGAGGGCGTGGATGCTTATCAGAAGAAGCCTCTGCCGCCGGGGAGGACTCGTGTCTTTCAGCTTTTAACGCGTGGCCGCCGTGTCCCGCAGTTGCTCCGTAGCTGCAGCGGAGATACAGTCGGACGCACACGCACAGACAATGGGTATGCGTGGTCGTTTGCCGAGGGCTGGGACGAGGGAGTCAGCATCGTGAGCGGTACGTGGTTTGGAGGTACTCGGAGCCCCATGTTGAGGTAGCCGCCGCTAGTCCAGGGTCTTGATGGGGAGCGCTGGGGTGCTCGAGGTACCGCCAGATACTTGAGGCTGTCCGACACTGGTACACGCGCCACGTGTAGTGTCAGCTCGTCGACGGTGGATGCAGATGTGGAGAGACGGAGAGGGAAAGGTGAAGAAGACGGGATTGACAATACACATGCGAATGGCGAAAAACAGCTCTTTCCAAGACAAAACAAAAAGAATGAGCATCGTGAACAGAACGAGGGGGAAGAAAGACTGAGGCTCTCGATTTCTTGGCCCGCCCGTTCTCGTGTATTGTTGGACGTCTGTGGGGACCCCTGGTGAAAAACGCCCTGCTGCGACATCATCACCACCTTTCGCCGCTGCATCACCGCAGGCGGCCGCGGTCCTTTTTTTCCCGCTCTCTTGTCCATCCATGCTTTCCGATGCGCGATCCCCGGTTAGCCCATCTCCATCATCACCACCCACTTGGCCGTCGACGTTTCAACCAGCCTCTGGCCACCTCCCCAAACACCAAACAGACACATCGCCATCGCCAAACAGAGGGGATCCTTTGCCTTGGCACGGATCCGAAAAGGGTCAACTCTCTTTTCCCTCCTCCCTAACCCAAAACCTGCATCGGCTCTGTCCCGCCCCCGGTTCCCTTTCTTCTCTGGACCCTCATTCCCCTCTCTCATCCATCCGCCGCCACCATCATCGCCTTTGCCATCATCGCACCATAATCGGCCGACCGGGCGCGCGCGCGTAAGCATTGCACATGGGTTCGCCTTGCTGAAGCCTCCCCAGGCCTCATCATGGACAACAGCTTCCGCTCCACGGTGCTGCACGGCCCCGACGACGGCGACGAGCGCGACAGGCTGCCGCGCCGCGACGTGGTCAAGGCCGACGCACACCACCACCACCGCCAGTCGCCCTACGTTGGCCTGCGCTCGCCCACGCGCGACTTCCATGCTCCTCCGCAGCCTCCCTACGAGTACTCGCCGCCAAACCACAACGCCAATCGCACCTCGCTGCTCCACTCGCCGCTGCACAGTCACAGTCACAACCACAGCCCCTACATGGCATCGTCGTCGGCTGCCCGCCCCGACGCTGACGCTGCCACGGTCCATGCGCTGCCTCCAGGGCTCGCCTCGTCGTCGGCCTCGTCGGCCAACCACCACCACACCCACGGCCAAGGCCTGTCGCCGCGTCACAGCAGCACCTACTTCGCACCCTCGTCCGAGGCGTCCTCGCAAAAGCCTGCGTCTGGCAGCTACTACGACCCCACGACCGATACCACAAACCAGCGTCGGGTCTCAGACTCCTGGCGCGCCTCCACGCCAAAGGTAAGCCCACCCGGGCCCAGTCCACTTCTTTTTTTCTCCTCCACCTGGGCTTTTCGCTCGTCCACCCACCGACCGTTCCCCCTTGCTCTTCCCGTCGCCCTTCATCATCATCCGGCTTGTCTATCCTTGCTCGACTTTTTTTTCCTTTTGACTCAAATCTCCACTTCCCACGCATCGCTTGTCCATCATCATCATGGCTGCATCCTCCCTTGCAGCCATTCCATCTCTGACCTGACCTGTTCCCTCCCCCGGCTTACTCGTCTCACTCGCAGCCGCCCGACCAGCATCCGTCCTACTACAACGGCTCCTACGCATCACCCAGAGCCTCCTCATACAGTCGGCCGCGCAGCCCGCTGTCCCACTCGCACCCAAAGCTGCCTGCCGGTTCCCTTAGCCCGCCTAGCCACCGGCCTCAAATGCGCTCGCCTACACGCCGCATCACCCCCTCGGCAGCCCCGGTAACGGCACCCAACGGCTCCGTCCTGCCGCCCGCCATGAAGCCCGACCCTTCGGCCGCTTCGTCTCCGAAGCCTGCCGCTGCTTCAAGCGTACGTCGCCCTCCACGGCTGTTGTCAATCGTCCCCTGCATGCTAACAATGACTCTCCGCAGACACCTAGCCGTACTGCCGACCCCATGTCCTTTTCCAACATCTTGTCTAGCTCCGAGCCAGCCCCAAAGCCGGCATCTCGGCAGCTTGTCGTCCCCCAGGTCTCGGAACCCGAGCCCGAGCCTGAAGCCGACGCTGATGCCGAAGCGGACAAAGAGCTTGATACCGAGCCCGAGCCCATCACGGCCAAAAAGATGGAAATCGTCGTCAAGAAAAAGGCGGCCCGGAGGTCCACCAAGGGCCGTGCCTCCGACATCAGAGATGCCGAAGCACCCAAGAGCAAACGCAGATCGGTGAAGAAGGAGTCGCCTACGCCTCGCCCCTCGTCCAAGCGCCAGGCCAACGGCCTGCCGAAGCCCAAGACCTGGTCGACTGAGATGGAAAAGAAGATTCAAAACTCGGAGCTTGTCATCGACAATGACGCCTCGAAGCTGGATCCGACCGAGTTCGACGAGGAGCAATACAAGGAGCGAGCCACAAAGCGCCGGCGCATCATGGCCGACCTTGACAACGACCAGAGCCGCCTTCGCCGCGACGACTTCGCCGACAAGGCCTGCAAGAAGCTGACGTCCCATTCAGAGCTTGGCAAGCGACGGTACGACGATGTCTTTTACGACGAGGCACTGCACGAGGTTCGCGAACAGGAACTGTTTGCCGAAAAAGAACGCAAGAAAGACATGCAACGCAAGCGGCGGCGCGAAAAGTCCATGGCCGTCACCATTGAGCAAAAGGAGGCAGCCCTGGCCCGCGCCGTCGCCGCCATCGACGAGGCCGAGCGTCAGAAGCATCTCCGCGATGCTGAGCGGGCCAACAAAAAGGCCGAGCAGACCAAGCTCATCCTGCAAAAGGGCATCAAGGGCCCGGCCCGCAACATTGAGCTCAGCCTCGACGGAGGAGCAATGTCGAGCTTCCTGGCCTCGGACGCCGAGACCCCCAAGGCCAAGTCCAAGTCCAAGGGCTCCCGGCCCAAGAAGTCCAAGGAACAGAAGCAGGCGGAGAAGGACTCGGCCGAGGCCGCCCAAGCCGCACTAGATGCCGGCAAGGAGCTGCCGCCCAAGGAAGAGGGCAAAGTCCGCATCAAGATCAAGGGCCGGTCCAAGGACAAGGACAAGGATAAAGACTTGGACAAAGACAAGGAAAAAGACAAGGACAAGGTCAAGGAAAAGGGAAGAGGCAAGGACAAGGCCAGGGCTAAGGACAAGGACAGGCCGGACCTGGAAAATGACTCGAAAGATGCCGAGCAGGAAGCCAAGGACGAGGCTGCTGAGCTGGAGAAAAAGTTCACGTCCAAGGGCTACAACCAAATCTACGAGCAAATCTGGCGCGACATGGCCCGCAAGGATGTCAACAAAACTTTCAAGCTCGCCGTCGACTCCTTCGCCACAAAGGGCTCCAATCTCAAGAAGACGGCCATTCTGGCGTCCAAGGAGGCCAAACGATGGCAGCTGCGGACCAACAAGGGCACCAAGGACCTGCAGGCTCGCGCCAAGCGTGTCATGCGCGATATGATGAGCTTCTGGAAACGCAATGAGCGCGAGGAGCGAGACCTCCGTAAGGCCGCCGAGAAGCAGGAAATCGAGAACGCGCGTCGAGAGGAAGCCGACCGCGAGGCGGCCCGTCAGAAGAGAAAGCTCAACTTCCTCATTTCCCAGACAGAGCTATACTCGCACTTTATCGGCAAGAAGATCAAGACGGACGAAGTGGAGCGAAGCACCGACCACCCAGATGTCGCTAAGGACGGCCACGAGGCCTCGGGGAAGAAGCTCGACATCGCGGAACCTACCGGGCCTCTTGGCGGCAAGGTTACAAGATTTGAGAACCTGGATTTTGATGACGAAGACGAGACTAATCTCAAGGCCGCGGCCATGGCAAATGCCCAGAATGCCATCGCTGAGGCCCAGAAGAAGGCCCGCGACTTCAACAACCAGGGCCTGGACATGGACGAAGAGGGAGAGATGAACTTTCAGAATCCGACGGGTCTTGGCGACGTGGAGATTGAGCAGCCCAAGCTCATCAACACACAGCTCAAGGAATACCAGCTCAAGGGCCTCAACTGGCTCGTCAACCTGTACGAGCAGGGTATCAACGGCATCCTGGCCGACGAGATGGGTCTCGGCAAGACGGTCCAGTCCATCTCTGTCATGGCGTACCTTGCTGAGAAGCACGACATCTGGGGCCCCTTCTTGGTCGTCGCGCCGGCGTCGACGCTGCACAACTGGCAGCAAGAAATTGCCAAGTTTGTGCCCGAGTTCAAGATCCTGCCGTACTGGGGCAGCGCTGGCGACCGCAAGGTGCTGCGAAAGTTCTGGGACAGGAAGCACTCGACCTACCGCAAAGACGCAGCCTTCCACGTGTGTGTGACCTCGTATCAGCTGGTCGTGTCCGATGTCGCCTACTTCCAGAAGATGCGATGGCAGTACATGATCCTCGATGAGGCACAGGCCATCAAGAGCTCGTCCAGCTCGCGTTGGAAGTCGTTGCTGGGCTTCCACTGCCGCAACCGGCTGCTGCTCACCGGAACGCCCATCCAGAACAACATGCAGGAGCTGTGGGCGCTGCTCCATTTCATTATGCCTTCGCTCTTCGACTCGCATGACGAGTTTAGCGAGTGGTTCTCCAAGGACATTGAGTCGCACGCCCAGAGCAACACGAAACTCAACGAGGACCAGCTCAAGCGCCTCCACATGATCCTGAAGCCCTTTATGCTTCGCCGCGTCAAGAAGCATGTGCAAAAGGAGCTTGGCGACAAGATTGAGCTGGACGTTTTCTGCGACCTCACTTATCGACAGCGGGCCTTTTATAGTAACCTGAGGAACCAGATCAACATCATGGATCTTGTCGAAAAGGCCACCATGGGCGACGACCAGGACTCGGGGACCCTCATGAACCTGGTCATGCAGTTCCGAAAGGTGTGCAACCACCCCGACCTGTTCGAACGTGCCGAAGTTCGCTCGCCGTTCTCGTGCGGCTACTTCGCCGAGACTGCGTCGTTTGTACGCGAGGGCAACAACGTGCCCGTCGGCTACTCGACCCGCAGCTTGATCAACTATGCGCTGCCCAGGCTTGTCTGGGCTCAAGGCGGTCGGCTCTACAAGGCCGGCAGCGACAACCAACAGGCTGGATGGAGGAACAAGGCTCTGGGCCACATGATGAACATTTGGGCCCCTGAAAACGTACGTCAAAGTGCCGACGGCTCCCAAGCCTTTTCCTGGCTTCGCTTCGCCGACTCGGCCCCCGGCGACGTGTACAAGGCGGCCCACGAGGGCCTGTTCACGCGAGCCGTGCACGAGCTGCAACGCCACAACCGCCTAGGCCACTTGAAGATTGTGTACGACGAGGCCGAGGACAACAGCGTCACCCCCGCGCATGCACTGTTTCAGATTCGAGCTCGAGCGGACCGCAAGCCTCTGGCGGACGTGACCAAGGAAGGCGTTCTCGACAGCCTGATGAACATTGCGCGCCAAGCCTACCGCGACTCGGGCATGAGCCGGCTCGAGATGGCTGGAAGACCGCGCGCCTCGGCTCCCCCCGTTGACGTCTCGTGCAACAGCGTAAGTGCGGTCACGGAACGCGAGACCATCATGTTCAACGTCGACATTCGCAAGGCGCTATACGGCCCGACCCTGGAGGAAGAAAAGTCTCTGGTGGAGAAGAAGGTGCCACTGGCGCTGTGGCCGCCAAACAGCCTCCTCCCGAAGCCGGACAGCGACAAGAACCGGTTCACCAACATTGTCGTCCCCTCGATGCAGCGGTTTGTCACCGACAGCGGCAAGCTGGCCAAGCTCGACGAGCTGCTCTCCAAGCTCAAGAATGAGGGCCATCGCGTGCTGCTGTACTTTCAAATGACGCGCATGATTGACATGATGGAGGAGTACCTGACATACCGCAACTACAAGTACTGCCGCCTTGACGGCTCGACCAAGCTGGAGGACAGACGTGACACGGTTCACGATTTCCAGACGCGACCCGAGATCTTCATCTTCCTCTTGTCGACGCGAGCGGGTGGTCTGGGCATCAACCTCACGACGGCGGACACGGTCATATTCTACGACTCTGACTGGAATCCGACGATTGACTCGCAGGCCATGGACCGAGCGCACAGACTGGGGCAGACGAAGCAGGTGACGGTGTACCGCCTCATCACAAAGGGCACAATCGAGGAGCGGATCCGCAAGCGAGCACTACAGAAGGAGGAGGTGCAGCGTGTGGTCATCCAAGGTGGAGGCGCCAGCGTCGACTTTTCTGGCCGTCGCGCTCCCGAGAACCGCAATCGCGACATCGCCATGTGGCTAGCCGACGACGAGCAGGCAGAGATGATTGAGCGCCGCGAAAAGGAAATGCTCGAGTCTGGGGAGCTGGACAAGCAGAAGAAGAAGGGCGGCAAGCGAAAGAAGGCGGAAGCTGCCGCCAGCCTCGATGACATGTATCATGAAGGTGAGTTGCTTTGCTATTCGAATTCGGAAAGACTAGTTGCTAACGAGGAGACAGGCGAGGGCAACTTTGATGACGGCAGCAAGGGCGGCGCGTCTGGCACTGCGACACCGGCTGAGAGCGATGTCAAGGGTAAGAAGGGCAAGGTCAAGGGCGGCAAGAGGGCCAAGACGACGAAGCAGCGCCTCGCCATTGCAGACGGCAAGGTTGACTTTTGAGCCGCCCAATTACACAACAGGGCCCATGAGCAAGAAGGATGAAGCATGTGATCTGCGACTCGTTTGTATCAACATTTAAAGACGGAATACATGGGAAGGCTAGGGAGTGACGGGGCGCAAAGCTGGTTCTTTTGTCGAGTGGCGGGCACAAGGTGCTTGTTTGCTGTTGGGACCGCGGACGAGATGGTGACCCGAAGCAAGAGCTGGGCTCGCTGAAAAGAATATGAGCCTCGCTGGTAACTGGGACATGACAAAAAGGCACGCTCGCAGCACGGGAGTGTTGTACTATAATAGACTGGTATACACTAGATTCCTCGGCCGTTGCTCGTTTGCCGTGCAATGTCGGGCGGGGCAGATGCATGCGTCCGGTGATCTCGCGAGTCTCTCTGACTTGAATCGGCTGGACTTTATGCCGTCCCTCAGCTGGCCCGGCTGTGTCGTCTTCTTTCTTCCGTGTCTTGACACATTTGCGGATGCCATTGGCCGCAGCGTGCCTCGGAGAGTGAGGGCGAACGGGCCGTATTTGATATTCCGGCTCTCCGTGGCAACTTGAGCAAAGAATGGCAAAGAATAACGACTAAAGGCCAGGTCTGGACTGAAGAGCGAAACTCTCGGGCCTCGAAACAACATGAGCAACTAGCCTGTGAGTAAGGGGGAGTTGAATCGACTCGGAACAGGAGTCGGAAGAGCTCAGGCTCTGCCCACAAGAGCAACGACGCTCGACTGGAACCCAGACAAGTAAAAAATGGATTGATGCCTTGACCTCGCAGTTGTCTGAGGTCTCCACTTGAGCGGTATTCAAACAAGAAAGCTGGGACCCCTCGATAGGAAGAGCAAGGGAGAAACGTAAAGACAAGAGTTCAACTCGGGCAACCTGGAGAAACTCGTACACAAGGAATGAGAAACACGGAAGCGGTGCTGAAGCTTAAAATGGCAGCTTCAAACCTGTTTGTGTCAAAAGGCTCAGGACGCGGCGCCTTCATGTTGGCATTACGTGCCGCGTTGCCGCGCCGACACCCACGCGACGTGAACCGCGTTCAAGGTTCTGCCAACGCCTCTCATATGGCGAGTGACCAGACCGAATGGTTTTGAATTCCGTCGCGCAAGTCCCAGTAGCCGGCCGATACAAAGCAACCTTGCCCTTGTTTCGCGAGGCTGCCAGCTGCCCGCCCCCCGTTTCGGCCATTGGTTTCTTTCCCAGATTTCGTCTCGCATCTCTGCCGAGATAGGCCGACAGAGGTGCTTGCAAGGTGTGCGAGGGAATCCCTGGCTCCTTTTTCGAGGGAAAGAACTCAACGTTGCAAGCCGGCGGTGAACTCTCCTCCTCCACCGTGGGCTTTTCTATCCTTCTTGATCTTCTCCAGCTTCAGACGACTTTCGAACAAGGCCAAGAGAGTCTAGGTTATGGAGACATGAGCTCGGTCAACGACAAGCAAGCTTTCGTCTCACCGAAAACAGACAAGATGGATGTCACGGGTGGCTGCACCGATCCGCCCCCCGACTTTCTGTTGCTCGATTCGCCCAACGAGGGCGAGGCAGGCACCTTTGCCTGCCCATTCGACGGATGCGACGGCGTCGTGTGTGGCTCGGCTCAAGAGTGTCACATTCATCTGAAGGAATGGCACTCACCACCCTATGCCTGCGCCGGTTGCGAAGCCTACTTTGCGGCGCAGCCGGCGCTTGCCCGTCATGTCAAGGCGACGGGCCATCAGAAATGGGTCTGCGCGAAGAACGGGTGCGAATTGAAGGGGTTCGAGTTTGAGAGTCACCTGGAATATCGGAAACATGTTATCGTTTCCACCTCGCACCGCAGCCTCGGGCAGCGAGACGGTACCCGATACCCGGACAAAGTCACCGACCCTGATGAGACGCTGTCTGAAGGGTCGGCTGAAGACTACTTTCTATGCATCGAGCCTTGCTGCTGCCGATATCTGCAGCAGTGGACCGAGCGCATGTACGAGGTCCACGTCAAGAGCCACTGCCACGTTGCCGCCATCCAGGAAGAGGAGGCTCTGAGGAGGAAGCATCTCTCGGTGGAAGAGTTGGAACAGAAGCGGGAAGCTCGTCGCACGTTTCTCTGTGACGTCCGAGGATGCCCTCAGTTCGGCAAGTGTCTGGCCACGAGCCACTCATACTACTACCATATTCAGACATGGAGCCACCTCTTTCCTGTCGAGGCTTCCGTCCCCAAGAAGGACGACGACGACGATTTCTGGCTGCAGCCCGAGGCGCGTCACTGTACCGTCCACGGCTGCCTCCAGTTCGGCCGTCGCTTCACGACTGAAACCATATACCAACGGCATATCAAGTCGGTGCAGCATCTCCGGGCGGCGTGCAGGCAGCCGACGCGCAGCTCCCCCCGGATACAGAGGGTCAACCGTCGTCTGTTTGTGACTGTCCAGCCGGCCGACGAGGGGGACATTGGAGAAGACGCAGACGACGAGATGGGCGATTACGACGAAGCGCGGCAGCAACAACCAGGAAGCGCCTCGACCGCGGCTTGCAGCTCCTCGACGGAACCGTCTTCGCTGCCCAACACGCCGAGCTGCATGCCGCCACTGACGCCCGACCCGGGACTCGCTTCGCCGTCGCCGTCGAGACCGCGGCACGAGCTCTTCCTGGAGCGGCGCAACCGCCAGCTCGAGGAGGAGGTGCAGCGGCTGCAGGCACAGATGGACTGGCTCTGCCGCCAGAACTGATGGAGCACATCGGGATATACCGAGAGGAGGGGACGCGTGTTGCTTGTATCGGGATCTACCTGCATATTGGACGAGGGGGAAGATCCTCGAATGGCTCATGTTTGTGCTCTTACCCTTCCTCGCTCACAGCCCAGGGTTGAGGTTTGCGGCCTGATTCGCTGCTGTCGAGGTGTCGTTGCTCATTTTTGTCTTGACTCGTGGCAACTCACATGTTGCCATGTGGCTTGCTTGTCAGCTCTGACAACCATATACTGGCCTCGGATGACGCTGGGCTATACTCTTGTACAAGTGCTTTTGCTCGCAGAGTTTTCCAGGCCGTAACTAGAATCAACTTGATTAATGCAAAGACGAAACATCTATATATATTTGAATGTCTCTCGGGGGTTGCATTATGAACCGGAACGCGGCCCTCTGGCCCGGCAGAAAGACGCACAGAGACCATGGAGCCACGTAGGAGTCAGCCTCGCCTTTTTGGGCTACATGTGCACGCCGAGAGTGCTGTTACACCACGTTAACGCCGATGCAATTGACAGTTGACAGCCGCTGTTTGTTGGGGGGTATCTGCCTCTTTCGCCTTCTCTTTCCCTTCTAAGCGTCTGGCTGACGATAAATACTGGGATTGTCTGCGGAACCCCTTGGCCCACTCCGCGTCTAGGGGACCAGGGGGAACGGGGGGAGATGGTCGAGCTGTCAGCCTCCTTGCAGACTCCAATCGGCATCGTCGAAGTGCCATGCCTGACAGGGGTTGCTTGACGTGTCTGAAAGCATTCAGCTCTTACAATCCAAGCCAGGTTGTGCCCTCAGCCTCTTTACGTTGACGCACCTCGAGTCAGGTCACGACGAATTTTTGTTCACGGTTTGGGACTCATCTCATGTTCCGTTTCGATCACATGCGCCTCCTCCCGAACGGCAGCGTGAACGCCATTCGAGCTGCAGGTTGATGAAGCAGGTGGACAAATAGGGAGGGGAAGATTGATGATATTGAGCCCTCCGCATACGTGACAGACGGGCCTCGAATCAACGGCGCACGCTGCCGCGAGAAACATGACGTTGCGTGTCGTAGCCGAGTCTGAGCCAGACCGTGGTGGGAGGAGCTTTTGCTTATAGGGGTCGCCCAAGCCAATGGTTCGTCTTTTCCCTTTGCACATCCCCTTCCTCGCATGTAGCCCATGACGTCTCTGATCTGAGCTGGCGCACCTGGTGCTGCCGGTGCAGTCATGCTCACAGACATTGTCCCGGGAGGTAAACCACACGCTACACAGACTATCTCACAGAGATAGGCAAGACAAGAACTGGTGGTGAGTGAATCTCTGCAGCCGTCCTGAGAGAGCGAAGGCCACCAATCCGCCGACATGCCACCCCGTCTAACCGGACCAATATCAGGGCCTTCTACACGGCACAGTCCATGACGGATAACCTTGGCTTCACCCTCACACCAGACAACATGGCCCCCTTCCGCGACGCCGTCTGGCCGCTGCTGCTCATGAGCTTCCTCGGCTTCGCGGGCGAGACGCTCTACCCGGTCTTCCTGCGCCTCATCTTCTGGACCACGTCAAAGCTGGCGCCGCGCGACTCCCCGATGCGAGAGTCGTGTGCCTTTCTGCTCAACCACCCGCGTCGCTGCTACACGCTCCTCTTCCCCGGCGGCACAACCTGGGCGCTTTTCGGCATCATCTTTGCGCTTAGCTTTGTCGACACGCTGCTCATTGTCGTCCTGGACTGGCATAACCCCGAGGTCGCGAGCCTCTCCGTCGGGAAGCGCGTCGTCGCGGCTCTCTTCCAGGCGGTGGCGTCTCGTCACGCCGGCATGACGCCTTATACGTTGTCCAAAGTGCACCCTGCCGTGCAGTTCAGCTTGCTGGTCATGATGTACATATCCATCTACCCCGTTGCCCTGAGCGTTCGGACGTCGAACACATACGAAGAGAGGTCCGTCAGCCTATACGCATCAGAGGCCCAATATGATGAGAAGAAGGGATTCTCCTACCTGCTGCGGCACATGCAACAGCAGCTCAGCTTTGACTTGTGGTACATCTTTCTCGGGATCTTCCTTCTGGCGGTGTCGGAGTCATCCAAGATTCAAGATCGAAACGAACCGGCAAGTCCCCAGACAGAATCCAGCCGCTCCAAGGCACGGACACGATGAACTAACAAATAATATCAGTCGTTTGAAATCTTCCCCATCTTCTTCGAGGTTGTCTCGGCGTAGTAAGTCTTCAAGTCCAGTCATACTTGAGGCAATGTCTCTAACGTCCCGGAAGTGCCAACGTGGGTATAAGCCTTGGCCATCCCAGCACCACAGCGTCGCTCAGCGCAAAGTTTTCCGTGGTTGGGAAGCTCATCATCTGCGCCATGATGATCCGCGGCCGCCACCGCGCCCTGCCGTCTAAGCTCGACCGCGCCGTCATGTTGCCGGACGAGTATCTCTTGGAAAATCCGGAGGAAGAACCCTTATGACTATCGCATGAAACGAATTACGGCTCAATAAGCCTTAATTGGATCAGAATAACTCTCGGACCTTGATACAGGCATAGGGTGTGAAAGGATAAAATCCGTATGGGATTAGAAAGAGGGCGGCTTCAGTTTGGGAGTTGAGGAGCTGGAAAGGTTCTACGGACTAATTCGTTCTTTGATGGCAAGCTTGAGCCACCGGCTATATTCTGTGTTGGCATCTCGCGGAGTCAAGGAACGGGGAGTGGCCTTGAATGGGACTGGGATGCAGCAGGCTGAAACCGTTGAGTATTGAATTGCCGACTGCACGGGAGAATATACTATGGATCACGCTCTTTTGGGCCCATGGGCCATGCCAAGATGATATTCATACTGTCTGTACCCATCAACTTTTTTGAGCACCTGTGAAGGCTTTAAACCTTCCAAGAGCGGCTGAACAGGTAATTGTCGCTAGCAGTCGTCAACAGCAAGGCTACTTTATGCGTTGTGAAGCCACTGAAGTGACCGAATGTAGATCTACGTCTTGTCGACCTCTCGGGAAGAAGTCGATAGATTGATACTGGCACGTCGAAGGAGCTGAAATAGTAATACTGCCGTAATGAGACTCTGGATTCATAAGCTCAATTTGGATCAAGGGCAGTTTTATAGTAAAAGCGTAATAAACTAGAGAGCAAGTATCGCTACAACAGATGCAATTCTAAGTGCTCGCCCTACTGACAGTACTATAACCGTTAAGCTGAGAGAAACCGCTTGACCAGGCAAAGGATGGGACGCCTCAGTAGATGCATCGTGGGCGCGTTTTACATGATATTCTTCCCGCCGACAGCACCCAGTACCAGTTTCTCGATTCGAGCAACACCACTCTTCAAGAACCCGACAAGCGTACACTTGTGTCGCGGCTTGGACATCCCCGCCCGTCTTGAACAACATTGCTTTAGCCCTGCCCCGAGGACGTGCTTGTCAGTTCGTCGAGTGGATGAGCATCTCCACTGGCGCCTTCGTCATTCGTAGCCGGGTTACCAGAGTCGCTCCATCGCTCGTCGTACCAACCAGGCTCGCGAGTATCGCAGACTGGCGCACACAAGCCCGCGACGCTGAGCCCACCACAAAGGGCCAAAGTCTACGGCCTCGACGTCAGAGTCAGGTGCTTCGAAGAAATTAGCATCCAAACAGTTGAACACTCTGGTTGCGAGGCGTCTCGGGACGAGCCGGTTTCAGGTGTAGGTCTTCTCAAGTCATTCGCGTGGTTGTTGAAGGCCTCGCTGCCGACTCGCGTGCTGCTCCATTTATATGGAATCAAAACAACGTCTCCTTCGGGTCGGCGGTGTAGGGTGGTGGTGAGCTTGTGCATGGCTGAGACGCGGTGAGTAAAGCCAAGATCTTGCTGAAGAATGAAAGGCGAGGCACTCCAGCTCCGGGGTTGACATGCCTCACTTCAGTCGCCATGTCTCTCTGCCAGCGCCCACTAAAACCTGACAAACGACTCAAAGGAGTCATGGAACCTCCATGACTGCGCCACGACAAGGCCGAGACCCAGCACAGGTTTGGACTCGTACTGGTAAAGACGTTGTCGGTATATTGACAACAAGTACTAAGACTTTCCTGTCGTGCCTGGAGCAATCGTTGGTCGAGGCACACGGATGGAAACACATGTGAACGTTGCTCGCAGCAGTCTCTTGAGTGTGATTCGAAAGGGGGGTGAATACCGAGTGAAAAGAGAGCATAGATAACCAAACAAGATGCGACCTCATTGTGCCTTGTCCCCAAGGGGATGCTTGGTTATTCCGTTATTCCCAATGGAATCTCGAGCAGGTCTCAAGACTGTATGCCTGGACCTCTCTACTGCCTCCAGCAATATGTATTGGATGGATAGCTTTCAACAAACGCCGTACGCAGACTCTCGCCATCGATATTCGAGGAGAGAATCGTAAAAAGGCGAGACTGATAAATTTCTTCCAAACGCCCTCGACTCTCAATGCTATATCCCCGAGTTCCTTCTTGATAAAAGCAAATACCAACCTCTCAGAAGTATGCATCCCCTGGAAGAAGCGACCATCGTGCTCATCGTGTAAACACGCACGCCGCCCAAAGTCCCAAGCCGCCTTTGAAGCCGCCGCCGGTCTGCTCGGCCTTTGCCTCTTTCCTGAATCAGTATATCCGCATGTGTCCCGTATGCCCCCCTCCCTCGTAAAGGAAAAAAAAAGCGGTTCAAAGATCCCTGAAGCAGCCTGCAAATAGCTCTCGTAATTATATATCAATGCGCCCCATGTTTGTCGTCCCTTCGTCACTGCTAAATGTTGCCGAGCTCGTCTTCGTTATGGTGATGCTGGTCATTGCCTAGATCGCCACCTTCTTGACTGGCTTCGCTGTCATCGTCATTATCTGTGGCCTCTTCAGAATGATCAAGTGACTCCAGGTCTTCGACCTCAAGCCCCAAAGAGGAGTCCACCGGCGTCGGCCCACGATCGTCGTCCTCAGTGGCCTCTTCAGAATGATCAAGGGACTCCAGTTCGTCAAGCCCGAGTCCCAAAGAGGAGTCCGCCTGCAACGACACATGGTTCTCGAGGTCATCAGTGTCGCTCACGGCCTCGTCCACGCAATTGAAGCAGAACAATTCCGTTCCCGGAATCTCAATGTCGATAGCCTCATCGTCTCCAAAAAGGCACTCGTAAACCTCTCGGTCAATGGCAAGCTCGACTTCGGACAGGTCGGCGACGTCGTCGTCACCCTCGACGAGATAGACCTCCAGGTCAACTTCTGACACGCCTTCCGGGCCACCGACAAGCTGCACGTCGTGCAAAATGTTGACAGCATCGCCGTATTCGTAGACTGGCAGCGCCGAGACGTAGTTTTCCAACGTGATTACGTCGTCAAACTCATCGCCGCCGCCGTCCCTATCGTCGCTGTCGCAGTCGCTCCCACTAGGGGAGGGCAGACTGCTCCGCCGAGGAGTGGACAAGGAATGGCTGTCAAAGACATCCGTCACGGGCGTGATGAGGATGGCATCCGACGGAAGCGCAACCGAAAAGTTATCCGCTTGCGACGCCGTCGCCTCAGAGTCGAGAGCCGACTCATCATCATCGATAATGACGACCGGTCCGTCCTCGACATCACTCTGTGCAGGGTCCCAGGTGGGCAAGAGGTTGAAGCCAATCGAGAGGTTCTTGATGCCGACGCCAAGCTCCCGGGCTTGCGATAGCTTCAAGTTCCCCTTTATCACGATTTCCTCGCGGATCAGGTCTCCCAGGTCCTGTGAGACCTGGAAATCGACAAGGCGGTTCTGTATGACTGCATGAAGCGACTCGGTGTCCGGGTCCCAGTGCAGGTCGGGCCAAGTCGGCAGGCAGTCGTCGCCAATGCTGAGCTCGCCAAGCTCAACGCCAGCGGCCTTTGCCATTTCCAGGCGAGCGTTGGATTCTCGAACCATGTAGCAGTGGAGGTTTCGCGGGATAAGCTCCGTGGGGACGGCACTGCGCAGGAGCTCGACAAAGCTGTCCACCGTGGTCGAGCGGCTCGACGAGTCCCCGTCTTTTGAGCACATCGAGTTGACTTGAGGGAATTCAAAACGGTCGTGGCTGAGGGGGGAAACTTGTTTACCAGCAGAAAGCCGCGCGTCCGGCGTGGGAAGCTGAGAGTGCGCAAGGCCCGAGGCGGGCTCCTCGTCCGAGGACATCTCGCAGAGTTGTCCGGGCTGGCCCATCGATGTGTCGTGCGAAACGGCCCTGCTCTACCTTGACCCGATGCTTGATTCTTCGAACAGTGCAGAGATAGATGCGTGGCTAGGAACGAGTCGTTGGATCAAAAGTAAGAGCGTTTGGACACGAAAGGAGCATGAGAGAACGACGGTGGATGAGCTGGGAGGATGGCGATGACGCTTGCGCCCGCCTGCAGAGGACCCTGGCAACTCGGAACTCTTAAATCGAGGCCTGGCAACTGCCAGAGAGAAGTGCCAGTGTTGCCCCGAAATGCGAACACCAATTGGGTGTCAAGGATACACATGGGAACCAATCCCGCATTCACAAGACAATAGCAACAATAGCTCCAGCATCCATTGGCAACGCTCTTTTTCCTATTGCCGGCCAAGGAGAAAGCCCAGCTCGAATAGACATTCGCACCCTCCAGGCAGGCTACGCGTAAGATGGCCGTCAAGCAGAGCGGAGGAGATGCGGCCATCCGAATCGCCATTGTTGATCATCCACGTGGCTCGCCCATTGGGTCGTCGGTTACACATGGCTCGGGCATGTGCTGGCCACGCCCTTGCCCCGTGGTCTGTGCCTTTGGTTTGGACGCGGGCGCGCAGCCGGAGACGAGATGCCGCGAGTGCATCTCAGCTCAGCAACCACAAATTCGTCGCTTGTGAACCTGATGCAGCGCCTCGTTCAAGCAGGCTCTGCCCGCTCTGCAGCCCGGAGAAGCCTTTTCGACCCCCACCTTTTATTCGAGGGACAAGAATTGCCAAAAGCCGCCAGCCGAAGCATTGTGGAGGCCACATGCCCTACTTTCGCGTGCACTCATTACAGCCTTGCTCCGCACCACCCGAGAATTATTTCGTCAGTCTGTGACGTTGCCTGTCGTCTGCGGCCAGTTAGCAGTGAAGGCACGGCTTGGACGAGCAAGACTCATCTCACAACTCTTCCACGTCCCCTTGGTCGCTGCTCTCGGGACTCCCGTCGCGCGGCACGAAATCACTGAATCCCCTTCATTTCCTCCTCTCCGCCGTCATGCTTCTCCTCCCCATCAATCTCTGGCGCGTCTGCTCTGCAAGTCAGTGGCGGTCGCCCTCAACCTTGCCCGGTGCTGTCACCCACCTTTCATCTCTGCCTCGCCCTCGGCCTCCATTTTCCTCTTCATGGCGTAATTCATTTTCTTGTCCAGCTTCCGGGCCTTCTTGGCGCTGAGCTTGGCCCGAGGACCGCTCGTTGGCAGCAGCCCAGGCCTCGCACCGCGCGTGATGTCGGCCTTGCTGATCTTGTTCTTGCCAAAGGCGCACTGTTTTTGCCTCAACTTCTTGACCTTGGCCGCCCGCGCCGCAAGGCGGTTCTTGGACGGGCCGTTGGGGTTCTTGACGGACGGCATGAGGAGCAACGGCGGTATCTCGGTGACTGATGCAACTGGAGAGACAGTTTTGAAGTTTCGGCGGGTTGGAGAAGAAAAAAGATGCCCCGCCAGCCGTCCCCGCTACAGCCACCAAAGGCGGAAGAGGGACATGAAATCTTTGTAAGCGTCGACGCGTCATGTGTACGGCAACTTCATCCAACGTCATCAACGTCTTGTTAAAAGAGAGTTGCCATAAGAGTACATGAAGTGAATGGGAAAGTCTCTGATACCGCTTCACGACTTTAGAGCGCCCTAATCAAGGTTCCCGAATATCCCTTATTGCCGCAACGCCTTGAATATGCAAGTACCGTAGCCATTTTCCTCGCCATGTGCAGCCGCTATACCGACGACTCATTATTCTTGCCGAGGGTGCTTGGAGTGTCGAGGCTCGAACGGTCCTCACTACTCCTCAGCATCCGCCGTCTCTCGTCACCCTCGTCGTCGCTCGTCAATCCGTCCAGCTCAAACTCTTCGGCGTCTCGAAGCCGACCTTGTTCTGCAACTGCGTGCCGGTTGGCGTAGTCCTTGGTGGGGTCATCGGCATTCGCAAGGCGATCGTAGAGATGGACGAGCATGTTGGTGAACAAGAAGACGAGAAAGGCGAGAGAGTAGAGAATTAGGATGTACGACACGCCGTCCAGAGCCGACGCGTCTACGAGGGCCATCTGCTCCTCCGTTGCCCCCATGAACAGGAAACCCGCGGCATACAAAAGCTAGACGTCGTCAGCATCGATTATGAACTCGAGTCAGGCGCAAGACAGCACTCACGAATACGGGCATGTACTGAAAGCTGTTCCAGGAGCGGCCATCGTCCGCGACGGACTGCTTGTCCCCGAGGACAAAGGCAATCTCGATGATACGGGTCAGGCCGGCTGCCATGAGCGTCTTGCCGAACATGCCGTGCGTCATTGCGCTAACCATGAGCTCCTGAGGGTGCGCCGACATGGCCCAGCCAGTCATGAAGATGACAAATCCTGGAACAAAGTTGCGCTTCGGGTTCCCATCGCGGTCCCTGCTGAGGAATATGCCGGCCAAGCCCGCACACCACCAGATGATGCCCATGGTGGTATGCTGCCAGTCGTTCTTGACCCAGGCCGTGCCCCAGCGGTGCTCGGTAAAAGTGTTGACGCAGCCCCAGGCGGCGATGACGGCACTGTCGAAGAATTCCTGCGAGCGCCCAGAGCGCCGCATCCAGACCTGGCCGACGACGAGGATGATGGTCAAGAGGACGGCGTAGGCGACAAAGGCACTGCCCATGATGAAGTGGGCCAGGCACTGCCCCAGGTGATCGCCCTGGCAGAAGCCGAGGGTGGTGATTCCGCCAAAGATCATCTGGGTCCAGGAAAGAACGGGCATGGCTTTGCCGATGATGGAGTGGCACGGGCGGATGAGCTTGCGGATCCTGCCATTGACCCCTCTCTCCCAGTGGCCCTTGAGGTAGAGCCCCAGGACGACCTGGGCGACGAGGAGCAGCTGCAGGATGTTGGCGAAGCCAGAGTGGACGTTGCCGCCGACGAATTCACGGCCGCCATGGAGATGGCCGAGGAAAAAGCCGAGGAGGGCGAGAGAAGAACCGAATATTTGTGTCGGGACGTGCCAACGCGATTTGGTAATCTGTCCAGAAGTTGTCAGTGATGATGATGAGCCGAGGCAGGGTCAACGTACGCCCAGTATCATCCCGACGGGGAAGATGACGCCGTAGGCAAACATCTGGATGAAGATGTGGATCCATAGTACCGTATCCTGAGGAACTTTGTTAGCAGCAGTTGCTGTCGGATGGGAGCCGTCGACGGCCACGAACGATGGGGTCCGGAGACACGGTGTCTCCGGCGACAATCTTGCTGTTGCCCATGTGGTGTTCGTGTGCCGTGGAAGTGCTTGCGAGAAACAACGTGTAGAAGAGGAGAGCGGAGGGCGAAGCCCCTGGGACTCGATGGCGAGCCATGACGGCGGCTTCTCGTATGGGGACTCGGGCCTCCTGAGCGCGTGGAGGCTGGCCGTCACAGAGTACGGGTGTTTCGGGCGAATGACAGGCAACCACCAAGGTGCGGTAGCAATTTAAGCTCAATGCAACAGAGCAAGAAGAGGATGAAGGCCGCCGGAAGAGAGTGTCGGAGCAGGGGCGCCGACCTTTCCTTTACATTTGCCAAGAGTAACAACGAAGCCGTGCCCGAATCGTTGTCGGTTCAAGGGAGTCAGCAGAGGAGGGAAAAGGGATGCGGAGAGGCAAATGCGCACGTTATGATTGGACGGCATGCCTAGTGGGGCACTGCCTGACTGCCTACCAGGACTTTTCCCCTCTTGCACCAACGCGCCTTGCGGCCAAATTAAGTACAGTAGGTAATTAGGTAATTACAGTACGTAGTCACGAATGCAGAGCAGAGAGCCATGCGCCCTATTGACTTGACTTTGAAGAGAAAAGACGGATCATCATCGTCCCCGTCGTCACCTCCATTTTCATCACCACCATCACAGCACCAGCCATCGTCCTGTTCCGTCACCTCATCCCCGCGGCCCTTTGCCATGGTCAGATGCTGTCACGGCCTCGGAACTTTTGCTGCTTGCTTACTGTTGACAAACCCAAACCCCTCTCTTGCCGGATCACCACGTCCACAAGCAGCGACAAGCAGCGACAACAGCTACAAGAACCGATTCCAAAAGCTCCACCTCGCGCAACAAAGCCCCTTTGCCGTTCCATTCATTAACCTCGTGGCCTCCCTCCCTGCCTCGCCCCCCCCCTCTCCCACGCCCGAGGTACAGTAATATGTATTGGATGGTTTCAGCTACATCCGCCCCGCCTCGGCGCTTTCGGAGCTTGGAAATAGACTGCCTGGAACATTGGCTGCTCTTTATGCGTCATGTGTTGCCACGTCCATTTATCCTCCACGTCTACGTCACGCGCCGGTTTGCTTGTACGCGCTCCATAACCGCCAGAAATGATGAAACATGGACAATCACCTTCACAGAATCATCGCGCCCAATGTTCACCAGGCGTCACCCACCGATGCCTCTTATCCGAGCCTTGAGGCGCACCAGTGTCGAATCAGTGCAATGTGCCTTGTTTGCCCATCAAGATGACTGAGGTAGGTAGCAAACAGACGGCATCCTTCAACGGTCGCCTCCAAGTCCTTGATCAGCGTTCGACGCCCACGATAAATACCCCGGGTAATCTCGCGACCGTCCAGCTCGACCCTTTGCCCAGGTCCTCTTGCAAGCCGCTTTGCATGTGTGCACGAAGCATATGCTCTTCCTGTACCATTTTCTGCGAGCAACAGTCATGACATATGAAAGTAGCACGCCCAGTCACAACCCGAACATCGCCGTCCATGGCTTGCTACAGGCTCGCGCGACTGAGTCGGACCAGGGTGGCACAGGGTCCACCATCGCTCTGGCTCTCACATGCGGTGCGCTATTCATAACGACAGTCGGCTTTGCATACGCCATGTGCCGCTGGCGGATCAAGTACATGGCGATGCGGAGGAAGGTTGACAGCCACGGCGTTATTGAGCTGAAGCCCGGCCAAAAGCAAGACGCGGTCCCGAGAGCCCAAGAAGCGGATGGAGACCCGGCTCCAGGAACCCCAGGGCTGGATGGCGAAGCCGCCGTGTCTGGGGCACTGTAGCCCGGTCGAGCTGGAATAGAGGGCAAGGGACCGGTTCATTGGCAAGCCCGCGTTTGTAGTAGACTACAAAAGCCTCCACCTGGTTCTTCCGTAATGGCGGTACAGAGAAAGCTCGGGTGGGCGATACACCGCGACTTGTCATGTTGCCGTCGTCTCCCACACGGACGCAGTCATTCTGTCGCTATCTTCATATCTCGTGGGCTGCGTCGCGCTCACAAGCACTGGCTGGCCGCGGCCATTATCTGCCACTCTGACGACTCTTTGCCGCCGCTCACGACATCTTGTCTCTTCACGACACCACATGGGCGCAGTCTCGTCTCAGGTTCAGGCAGGTTGACGAGATGTCTAAGCTGCGGCCAAAAGATGCTTAGGACGATTACCATAAGGGGGTTGAAGCAAACGCGTAGTCGGTCTCGCCACCAGTAAGAAACTGGGAGGGTCCCTTGGCTCCCTAGATGAGCACGCTCAGCACCGCTCCGATCACCGGTCTCCAGTACCGAAAGCGTGAAGCTACCATTTTCTTTTGTTTCGGCTTCGTGCGTCGAGGAATGAGAAGACGCAGGTTGAGGGTGGCATGTGATGTGCGGTGCGATCTGCGCTCGCTTTGAGGGGCATCTACATACCAAGTGATGCTGAGCATCGTCCTACAAGAACGGTGGAACAAAGAGCTCGACCTCGACCTTGCTATTTTTCGTTTATTCTCCTTCCCGTGTTGAAATCGTCGAAATACAGACAGAGAAATATACACAGCATGGTCCCCCTCCCGCTACTCATCCTGCTGCTGGCCGCCGTGGTCATAGGCGCGCCTGCGCTTCAACCTGCGCCTGGCATCCGTGTTAGTGAAAGCAAATGCGTCCACGGATCGCCGACAAAGACGGAGAACTACGACATCCAGTACCAGGAGGTCAAGCCGCCATCCGGCAACGGCAGCCATGACTTCATCGTCGACCCGTCTTGGCGCAAGCGTCACTCCACCCTCGGAAGCAGCGTTGTATGTGACGTCTGATTGCCAGCCTGGAGAGCAAGGCTGATTGACTTGGAAGCAAATGTCGATGGGAAATCCCTCTCTATCGTATGGAGAGTTCAAGTGCCAGTACTCCTGCGGCGGCATACCAGGCTGCGTCTCCTTTGCGGGATACGAAAGTGGGATCCCCATCATTCCCCCACGACGCGGCGCATCTTTGCTGACCCAGGGCATAGGCACGGTGACTGGCTCAAAAAAGTTTGAGTGCTATGTCTTCGACTCTCTGTAAGACAAAGGCGACCGACAACGCTCCAGCCACTACAGCCTGGCTAACCACACCGTTGCAGCATCAAGCCCAGAAACCTCGTTCTGGCACCCGACCCTAAAGATGGCGTGATGACGCACGCGTACAACAGACTTTGCGACGACAAGTAGGCTGGACAGGTGCATTGGGGAAAACACCAGCAAGGGCTGCCATTGCTGGCTCGGTAACGGCACGTAGGTAGTTTAGTTGAGGACATATGACTCTGCGCGTGTGCCGGCCACTTCCCGGGACGCCCAAACGCCTTGGCACGAAACTTGGAAATTGCTGCCCTTTACTCTGAAATCGCAGCAAGTGAGCCTTGGGCTAGCTCATCTTGAGACTTTCGTCATGCTTCTCCAGAAAGTCGCGGGCCTCCTGCCATAGCTCCGCCTCCATGTCCCGCTCCACGCGCCAGCTTCGGCTGTTGAGCCAGCCGACGTCCAGGTTTCCGACGGTTCCCACGCCATTGGGCTTGAGCGACGCCTTGGCCGCGGCGCTGTTGGGGCCCTGTCGCGGGGCGTTGGACAGATTCACGATGCCTGCCTCCTCGAGGGCCAGCACCTGGCGCTTCATGCGCACGTCGATGCTGTGCAGTGTGGTGAGGAAGGAGTCGGTGGCCGAGCGGAACGCCTCCTTTTGCGACGGCGGGTCCAGGGCCGGCTGGTTGGCGCCGTCTGCTACGGGCTCGGCGCTGGCGGGTGTAGTGAGGGCGTTGAGCGCCGTGGCGGTGTGGCTCATGAGTTGAGCGATGGAGCGGCCGATGGCATTCAGGTGGTCAATGTTTTCCTCAGCCGTGAAGGGCTGGTGGGTTTGGAAGTCGCCGGGGTCTTGGCTTTGGCCCATGACGATGTCGTTGGGCGAAGTCATTGTGAGGATGGAGGCCGCTTTGATGCCGTGAAGTGCGTGCGGCTGCTGCTCAGAGCTGGGAGTGAGAAGTACTACCCGGTAGCCTTTTCGCCGACGCGCGGCACACTATACGTGGGGCGTTGCTGGTGAAAGGGACTCGGGGGTGTTGAAGAGTCGATACTGTGGCTGCAATTGTGTCCGTTGCGGGCGTATGATGTCGCGCTCCTCTATCATGAACAGGGGAAAGCTAGCGGACGTCAATAGATGGAATGTGGATTCATCACGTCTCTTTCAATGGTTTGTGTTGAGTCAGCTCGAGGACTGTGACAGTAAATACACTTTCAAGACTTCTGTTTCCGAGTCTCTCAATCGATATAGAACGGAGTCGTTCAAACAAGGTTGAGAGATGGACCTCTGTGCATGTACCTGTCTGGTCGCTTAAACCCCGGCAAACTGTCTCCGCCGCCCGCCCAGCCTCCATGTCCTACCGTACAACACCTGCAGCGGTAGCGTCACGACTCTTGTACAGCTTCATTCAAGTTCCACCTGCTTTCCCGCTTTGCACCCCCAGCCCGCTCCATATCAGGACCGTCGTCTCACTTCCACAACGCACTTGACGTTGTATCCGGAGGCTTCTACGAGCCCTGCACTATTTGTACGTGGATTATTGGCTGTCGCTCCGCTTTGCCGCTCCAGTCTCCGACTTCATTATGGTCTAAACGAAGCGCCCCGAAAACGTGTGCTCGTTCAGGCCGCCGTATCCCCCCCGTGGAGCCTCGCGCTTACTCTCCGTATAGCTTATTTCCATAGGCTTCCTGCCCAGAGCAGGCAAGGGCGAGTCCTTTGCCGTCATGTCTGGCCAGACCCCAGCCCATGGGGCTGCGCCAGCATCAAACTATGGAGGTCAACCAGTCACCTCTCCAGTGGGCGTCGCTCCGGCCGCGAGCGCTGCTGCTGGGTCGACTACTGGCGCCATGTCAAACCAGAACTTGAACCAAATCGTACGTCTTCTCTGTTGACCTATGCTGTCTTTCTCTGCTGCCGGTTGCGCGGTGACGCGCGCTCGAAAAATCTTGGAAAAGGCCTGCACACCAAGACGCGTCACTCCTGCCAGGCATCAGGCATCCGTTTTTAATCTCTCTATTCACCTCCCTGCTGCACACTCGTGAACTCCTCAATACAACACACCGCTGCACCCCGTCGTGAGCCACCGGCCTGCCAACTCGGTTGCAGTCCCAGGCGCTTGAGCTCGATTCCAGGGTGCAGCAGCAGAATATGTTGAGATAACTAGTTCGAGAGGCTCGCATCATTGCTCTTCTCTGCTATGCTTCGCTTCCACGACGTGCTGAGTATCTGGTCTGTGGACCTCGGACTAACCAACTCATGTCGCAGGTCACCGACTATCTGCTCAAGCGGGGATTCAACCGCACAGAAGAGGTCTTTCGTCAAGAATCCAAGTACCTTGGCTCGGACGGAAAGCCCATCCAGCAGCTGGCCAACATGGGTCCCAAGAAATACCAGAAGGCTTTCAAGCTCGTCAAGGATTGGGTCGAGAACAACCTCGATCTGTACAAGGTAAGCTTCAAGCCCCTCAACGTGCGAGTCCCCGAAGCTAAGCATCATGTCCCAGTTTGAGCTGTCAAAACTTCTCTGGCCAATCTTTGTCTACTCCTTCTTTGAGCTAGTCGGAAACGGGTACGCCGAAGATTCCAAGGCGTTTCTCAAGGACCTCGGGCACCATTTCCAGCCCGCCCATGACGATGATCTCAGAAACTTTTCCACCATTACGCTGCCACAGCACATTGCGGACAACTCCACGGCGAAGCTGTACAGGGACAACAAGTACCGCATCCCGCTCAACCAGCACGCGACAGGTGACTTGTTCAACTTTCTCGAGCGAGAGTCTGAGCAGGGCGGTGCTGTGATTCGGCAGCTGCTCGTCACGTACTGCCAAGTTGACTCTACTGCCCGCGGGCCCATCACCCCTTTCAGCTTCGAGGCCGTCTTTCGTCGATCGAAAAACGCTGATATCGACGAGGTCGATGCCAGAGAGGGCATTCCCGGCATCAACATTGGACTCTCCAATAGGGACGTGCTTGATCCCACAGCCCCACTCAAGCTCGGCCCCCTGCCCATGGAGAGTGATCTCCGCGAAGATGTTCGCGCTGAACTTGAGGATGAAGAGCGCAAGAACCCGCCTCCCGACGGAGTCTCAAGCCTCTTGGAAGAGTTCGACCAGAAGATTAAGCGGGAGGAAAGTGCCGATGCGCCAAGCCGGGCCGACCTCCCGTTGCCCCCCTCAAGACCGCGGGACATTATGCTCGAGATGCAGAAGGTGCGAGAGAACCGCGATCGATTCAAGATTGAGGGTCGAACCGGCGGAGTGGGCACGGCTGTCAGCGCGTGCATGTTTACATTTCACAACACCCTGGGAAGGTGAGTTTTCGCGGCTGTGGAACTGAAGGACTCTAGCTGACATGTCTGCAGCGTAACAAGCATGGATTTCTCGGCCGACGGCAAGCTTGTCGCTGTCGGCACTAGCGAGTCGTATATCCGGGTCTGGTCTCTCGACGGCAAGGAGCTCCCGTCCATGAACGCCCATGAAAAGGAGGGCAAGTTCAATAGCCGCAAGTTGATCGGCCACTCGGGACCTGTTTACGACGTGTCGTTTTCCGACTCGGCATCCGGGCCTCCCCAGAGGCTGTTCGGCGAGGAGGGGCGCAACAACCCCCCTCTTGACGGCAGGCCGAAGCTGCTGCTGTCTTGCGCCGCAGACGGCCAAGTACGGCTGTGGTCCTTGGAGGCCTGGGCTTGTCTGTGCATATACAAGTCGCACGATGGCCCCGTGCACCGCGCACTGTGGGGTCCTCACGGCCATTACTTTGTGAGCGGAGGATACGACAAGGTGGCCCGCGTCTGGATGCAGGATCATGCCTCGCCCCAGCGCTTGCTGGTGGGACACGACACGGCCATATCGGCCCTCACCTGGCACCCCAACGGGTCCTATGTCTTCTCTGCCTCTGACGAAACGGACAAGTCGATCCGCATGTGGTCTGTGGTGACGGGGCAGTGCGTTCGAGTCTTCTCGGGCCATACCGACTATATCAGCGCGCTCGAGTGCGCGCCCAACGGCAATATCCTGGCCAGCGCCGACTGCGCCGGCAACATTTTCTTCTGGGACATCAACAAGGGCACCCGCATCAAGCGCTCGCGCGGCCACGGACGCGGCGGCATCTGGTCCCTCAGTTTCAGCGTCGAGTCCACCGTCCTGGTGTCCGGCGGGCAGGATGGGACGATACGGATATGGGACGTCGAAACCCCGGCGGATCCTCAGAAAGTGGCGCAGCAAGTCGGGCTGGAAGCCGTCGCCTCTGGTGTTGAGGGAGCGAATGCCGGCGGCGCGGCTACGGATGCCTCGCGGGTGAACTCGGGGGCCGTAGGGCAAGCCGGGGCAAGCGCAGCCAGCGGCGGGACGCACAAGAAGAAGAGCAAGGAGGTGATGGTGACTCCCGACCAAATCAGCGCGTTCCCGACCAAGAAGACGCCAGTCATGAAGGTCATGTTCACGCGGATGAATCTCATCGTTGCGGGAGGCTGCTACGACCCCGAGCGCTAGGAGCGCGACGAGGTCGAGCAACTGGACCAGATGTTGCAGTCGTTGGCATGGAACAAGCTTCTCAAGGAGGGCCAGAAGCGGCAGGCGACTGCTCCTGCAAAGCCTCCCAAGGGAAGTGGCAAAAGAAAGAAGAATTCAAGCGAGTAGGATAGGCTCGCAATATGCAAGGAGAATTTCCATTTCGGGGAAAGGGGAGTTTGGTTTAGGGTTCTCCCGGAACGGTCTGGCGTTGAGCATTGGAGGGCTCGGAGGTCGGCTGAGAGAACGAATGTATCATAGGATGGCGATTGCACCAGAAAATCGTCTGGACTGGAGGAGTAATGAACATATTGAAGCTACCAAGATCTCGGTTTACTACTCGTTTGCCTATAATGGTAGGCTCTCGCGGCGCGGAGAGAGGCGCATACGACGGGAGGTTTAGGCGGAGAGGTGCTAATAATTACCCCGCTGCCCTCGTCATCTGCAGCGCCATCAGCCAGCAGTCGCCTGGGGGCTGTGCGCTAGCAGTCCCCCGTCGAGCTCCCTCCCCCCACAAGCGTAACTTACCATGGAACCTGGCCTCTGCGGTTCCGAGATCATCATCATCGTAACCCCACGTGCGCATGACATGGACGATTGATATGTTGAGCGATATTTAGTCCTTTCCACGGAGATGCACCAGAGAATTTTGCAGAAGAGTAAGTTCGCAGTTGCTCGATCTCCCAAATCCAACCAGGAAGCATAAAAGGGTACTCCGTACAAGATATCCGTAGCGTAACGCAACGTCGATGGGCGGGCAGTCTTACCTCATCAGGGTAGGTTTAGACGCCTCGCTGCCACCTGCTCCGTCGACCCTCGATCCTCCAGCAACCCCTCCAAAACCATACATCTCCCAGCTGCGCAACCCCGTCCAGCCGCCGGCTTTCTCGTACGGCCACCGTTGATCGCAGCCATGGACGTCGAGGAGTCGCCATGGGCCGACTCGTCAAAAACGTCGCAGAACGATGCGCCGAGCTCCCAGCCCTCGTCGTCGTCGCAGCCGGCCGCGTCGCCCTCCCCTCGCCCCTCGCGCGGGCCCCGTCGCCTCGTCGCTCAGCCCACCCGCCTCGAAGCTGTCGAGGATCCTCTCGGCCCTCTGAGCGGCGCCCGCGACGCAGCCCCGCCCGTGCCGCCCCAGAAGGAGCAGATGGTGATTCGCACCACCATGCCTCACCAGCAGCCTGCCCGCCGCCCAACCGACCCCCATGACGTCGACGATGCAGACTTTGCGTCGCCCAAGGGTCCTCGAGCTCCGCCGCCCGTCGATGCCGCGAGGCCGAGCAGCGTCAGAAGCAATACCCACCCCAGCGTCAGCATCGAGCAGGCAGCCAAGCCGACGTTCCAGATCACCGTCGGCGATCCCGTCAAGATTGGCGACCTCACGAGCTCCCACATTGTCTATTCCGTGCGTACAAAGGTCAGTCTTTGATGCCAATCTTCGGCCGCATTCGCTGGCTTTGCTGGTGGAGCGTGGCTGACAAGGAGCTCGATTGCCCCTCCAGACCACGTCTAGAGCCTACAAACAGCCCGAGTTCGAGGTGAAGCGGCGGTACCGGGACTTTCTCTGGCTTTACAACACCCTTCACGGCAACAACCCCGGATACGTCGTTCCACCCCCGCCCGAGAAACAAGCCGTCGGCCGATTCAACAGCAACTTTGTCGAAGGCCGGCGAGCCGCTCTTGAGAAAATGCTCAACAAAACTGCGGCCCACCCAACGCTGCAACACGATGCAGACCTCAAGCTCTTCCTGGAGAGCGAAGCCTTCAACGTCGACATCAAGCACAAGGAGCGGAGGGACCCCCTCCCCCCCGAAAGCAAGGGCGTCCTCGGCTCGCTGGGCATCAATGTGGGGGGCGGAAGCAAGTTTGTGGAACAGGACGACTGGTTCCACGACCGCAAGGTTTATCTCGATGCCCTCGAGAACCAGCTGCGCGGCCTTCTCAAGGTCATGGACGTCATGGTCAGCCAGCGCAAGATGATGGCCGATGCAGCCGCAGACTTTTCCGCCTCCCTCCATGCCCTGTCCACAGTCGAGTTGTCTCCCTCGCTCTCGGGGCCTCTCGACGCCCTCTCCGACCTCCAGCTCACCATCCGCGACGTGTACGACCGCCAGGCTCAACAAGATGTCCTGACTTTTGGCATCATCATCGAGGAGTACATCCGTCTCATCGGCTCCGTCAAGCAAGCCTTTATGCAGCGCCAAAAGGGGTTCTACGCCTGGCACTCGGCCGAGTCGGAGCTGCACAAGAAAAAGGCGACGCAGGACAAGCTTCTCCGGCAGGGCAAGAGCCAGCAGGACCGACTAAACCAGGTCAACGCCGAGGTTGGTGAGGCGGAGAGAAAGGTGCACCAGGCGAGGCTGCTCTTTGAGGAAATGGGCCGGTCTATCCGGTCGGAGCTCGATCGGTTCGAGAAGGAAAAGGTTGAGGACTTTAAGAGCGGCGTGGAAACGTTTCTGGAGAGCGCCGTCGAGGCACAAAAAGAGGTACGGCTGTCTGGTGCCATGCCCTCACCCTTTCTACATAATGAACTTGACTAACAGCAGCCGTGACGCGCAGCTGATTGAGAAGTGGGAGACGTTCCTGATGCAACTGGACGCCGAGGATGATGAATCCGCCTTTTACCGACCACCCGTCTACCAACAGAATAAGCCGCCCGGCGACACTGCAATTGACCGTGCCAGGGCGAACATGGACGACTCGGACTAGGGAAGGTTGGTTTGCGAGAAGGGGGCGCGTCGGAGCTGCGTCATAATGTAGCATGCATTTGCGGTAACGCTGGCCGACGAGCAGAGGCTTCTGAGTCGACAATTCAGATACGCGTCTATTCAGATCTTACAAGCCGCATTCTGCACAGGTGGCGCAAGCTTCCTCTTGCCACCACCTCATACATGGGCCCTGTGTTGTGCTCAGCTTTTGCTTGATTTGTACAAGTCGATTGAGTGCTTGCTCCAGTTGGGGTCGATTCGTCAAGTTCTCATGATCCCAAGACCCTCATTTTCTTCTCGTAGGATTCTTCTTCTTTCCCGTATCCTTCATGGCGCCCGCATCCTGCGGCGCATAGCCCGCAATCAAGTCGGCAAAGTCATTGTCGGCGTCCTTCTCCTCGGCGCCTTCCTCCCCACTAGCCGCGGAAGCGTCAAAGCCGCGGCCAAAACGTTCTCGGAAAGCAGCCAGCTTGCCGGCCTCGTCAAGCTCGACGTTGCGCAGGGATTTCTCGCTGGGCTGCCAGAGCAGGGTGTTGCGCGTGTCCTTTGCGGCGCGATAGATGGGCGCGGGTGAGGTGGTGCGCATGGTGTAGGTGGAGCCGTCGGTCAGCTGGACGAGCTGGGTGAAGGTGTAGGGGCGACGGGGCCGCGGGATGAAGGTTGCGTGACGGATCTGCTGGGCGGATGTGGATTTGGGGGTGAATGAGCACGGTGTCGTGGTGCTCAGGGGTCCGGTCCGGGATGGCGCGAAGGCCAGGGGGAGGTGGGGGAATTTCCCCATCGTGTTGAACTTGACGCTATGCACAGGGATTTCTCGTAGAGACGGATTGAAGTTTCTGGCAGCAGAGGGAAGGTCGAGAGGAGAGGTGGTCTGGTAGTTGACTGAGGTCAAGCCGGCTGGATAGGTACCCAGTGAACGTCGCAAACTTTCCGAGCTGATCTCTTTCTTATCGATAAGCATTCCACCTTTTCGCCCGGGATTTCGCTACGGAGAGCTTCTCTCCAAGCACGGCGGCCCACCGTCCCAGCTACAACATTCTTCCACCACCGCCGCCGCCGCGCTGCTTGGCGAGATCGACCGGTGTCTTGTCACGGAACACAATGATCTGGGCGGTGCGATGATGCTTTGCAAGGCGACGTGCAATGCTTCGCTCGGGACTTTGCGGGCAGGGCTGCCGAGGCGGCTTGTCGTGGTGCAAGCGCCGCAGAGGAGATTGTGCTTCATGAGAGCGATCAGAGGCTTCCACAATGGGCTTTTCGGTGCTCCTTGGCTTGGGTCATTCTTGCGAAGGCAGGGATTCTTCCAATGGGCGCCAATGCTTCCCCGACCGTTGACGCAGCCCTCATCTGCCGCAGAGACGCAAGGTTGGCATTGCCTACACCAATCTCGTCTGAGTTACGAGCCACCTGTGCTAACCCCAGGCCACCCAGCCCAGTCGGCGAGAGCTTTATTCCGCAGATCATCCTCCTACGTCTCTTCGCCATCGCCGTCAACAGCTGAGCCCGACGCGGAGACATCTCTCCCCGAACAACTCCGCTCCGTCATGCGCCTCCTCGCCAGCCCCGTCGTCGTCTGTACCTCTACCCACGACGGCGTCCCACGCGCCATGACAATGTCGTCGTTTACGTCCCTCGCCCTCAGACCTACGCCGCTCGTCACGTTCAACGTCTTGACGCCAAGCCGGACGCTGGACGCGATCGCAGCAAGCCGAGAATTCAACATTCACATCCTCGCGGGGGACGCAGCGGGTGCAGCAGTCGCAGACCACTTTGCGCGGGGAAACTCGGAGGGCGCGTTTGAAGGGCTCAGGGGAGTGACGACCAACATGGCAAGCCACAGACCGCCTTTGATGAGCGGGAACGGGGTGCTGAGAGCACTGAGGTGCAGGGTCTTCCAGCAGGGACTCCAGGGGGGGCTGGTGAAGGTGAGGGACCACGTGCTCGTGGTGGGAGAGGTGGTTGAGATGATACCCGGCAAGGACGCGAGGGAATTCGGGCTGGCCTACGCGGACCGGAAGTACAGGCAAATCGGGGGCGTGATTGCCAAGGGGGGCATGCGTCTGCAGGAGGAGGACCAATGAGACAGGACGGGCGCCGTTTGCGTGCAACTGCCCGTGCAGTGGCCGTATACATGCACTTGAATGATGCTCGGACCAGGCCTTTGGTGCAGAGCAGATGGAGAAGAGTCGGGCACAGCGGGACTTTTTCCGATATCCTGCGAGGCTCTCCCAGACTCTATTCAGTAGAGGCAAGCTAGATCCTTATCCATGGACGGTAGATACAGCACAGCACGTATACATGGACGAGAAGCAAGGCATCATGGGCGCGACGCAGTTCACTGCGTGATCCATCCTCTGCACCTGCGCTGATAAGATAAGCCTTGCCTTGGCATAACCCACAGCAGAGCCGGGCCGGGGAAATCCCGCGGCAGCAAGGAAGAGTTTCTCAGCCTCGCCAAAGGGTTCACGCCTCTTGGCAAAGACTCGGGCGCCGCAAACAGTCAATTCGTGACACAGATGTACAGTATGGCCTGTAGAACACACGGGAACATTCCAAACCATGCCGAGGTGGAATAGCGAGAGGCGTGCAAACCGGAACACGGTTTTCCAAAAAAAAAATTGCAGTGGAGGCTACAATTTTTTGCCCTTTCCAAGGTTCCCACCTGGCCGCCAGTAGCGGGCGCCTTTTTCGCTGAGCTCTAGAAGGCTCCATAAGGCTCCAGCACCAGCTAGGGACCAATCAGCGTGCGGCAAGCTGGTTGCTGGGGAAAAGGCACAAGCCATAGAATCTCATGGAATCTCGACTTTCGAGAGAAGACAGGCACAGCTCTCGCTCGAGACCCTTATTTTATTACGCGGCTGCCTTCCCTTCCCATCCGTCCTTCTCTTCTCTTTCTTTCTCAACACTATCCCATCTCCGTCCGCACGCCTTCCTCCGTCTCTCTCACGCATCCCCTCTGCACTTCTGTCATATCCAGAGAAGCTCTGCCGCCTAGAGCCTGTTCTCTCCATCGCCATCCCCACTGTCTATAGGTAAGCCTGCCGACCACACCCAGTACTCTTCTGCCCTTGATATCCCTTGGGGACGGGGCGAACTCGCTGCACTCTCGTAAGGGACGAGCCCTGCTGCACCGCCGTGGCTGCTTGCGGAACACCTCGCTTCGTCTTCTTGCCTCTGGCCATTCCACCCTTGATCATCCTCGTACTGACTCGCCCTCAAGATCCCCAGGCCGTCTTTTGATACCCGCCACAATGGCCGAGACTTTCGAGTTCCAGGCTGAGATCTCTCAGCTTCTCTCCCTCATCATCAACACCGTCTACTCCAACAAGGAGATTTTCCTCCGTGAAATTGTCTCCAATGCCTCCGATGCCTTGGACAAGATCCGCTACAAGTCGCTGTCCGACCCCACCCAGCTCGACTCTGGCAAGGACCTGCGCATCGACATCATCCCCGACAAGGAGAACAAGACCTTGACCATCCGCGATACCGGTATTGGCATGACCAAGGCCGATCTCGTCAACAACCTGGGTACCATTGCCCGCTCCGGCACCAAGCAGTTCATGGAGGCTCTGACTGCTGGCGCCGATGTTTCCATGATCGGCCAGTTTGGTGTCGGCTTCTACTCTGCCTACCTCGTCGCCGACCGCGTCAGCGTCGTCTCCAAGCACAACGACGACGAGCAGTATGTCTGGGAGTCCAGCGCCGGTGGCACCTTCAGCATCACTGCCGACACCGAGGGCCACCAGCTCGGCCGCGGCACTGCCATCATCCTGCATCTCAAGGACGAGCAGGCCGACTACCTCAACGAGAGTAAGATCAAGGAGGTCATCAAGAAGCACTCCGAGTTCATCTCCTATCCCATCTACCTCCACGTCAAGAAGGAGACCGAGACCGAGGTCCCCGACGAGGACGCCGTGGAGGAGGTCAAGGAGGAGGAGGAGGGCGACGACAAGAAGCCCCGTATCGAGGAGGTTGACGACGAGGAAGAGGAGAAAGAAAAGAAGAAGAAGACCAAGAAGGTCAAGGAGACCAAAATCGAGGAGGAGGAGCTCAACAAGCAGAAGCCCATCTGGACTCGTAACCCTCAGGACATCACCCAGGAGGAGTACGCTTCCTTCTACAAGTCGCTCTCCAACGACTGGGAGGACCACCTGGCCGTCAAGCACTTCTCCGTCGAGGGTCAGCTCGAGTTCCGCGCCATCCTCTTCGTCCCCAAGCGTGCTCCCTTTGATCTCTTTGAGACCAAGAAGACCAAGAACAACATCAAGCTCTACGTTCGCCGCGTCTTCATTACCGATGACGCTACCGACCTCATCCCCGAGTGGCTTGGCTTCGTCAAGGGTGTCGTCGACTCCGAGGATCTTCCCCTCAACCTGTCTCGTGAGACTCTTCAGCAGAACAAGATCATGAAGGTCATCAAGAAGAACATTGTCAAGAAGTCTCTTGAGCTCTTCCAGGAGATTGCCGAGGACAAGGAGCAGTTCGACAAGTTCTACAGCGCCTTCTCCAAGAACTTGAAGCTGGGCATCCATGAGGATTCGCAGAACCGCCAGCTCTTGGCCAAGCTGCTGCGCTTTAACTCGACCAAGTCTGGCGACGAGCTCACTTCGCTGTCCGACTACGTCACCCGCATGCCCGAGCACCAGAAGAACATGTACTACATCACGGGCGAGTCCATCAAGGCCGTCTCCAAGTCTCCCTTCCTCGACACCCTCAGGGAGAAGAACTTCGAGGTGCTCTTCCTCGTCGACCCCATTGACGAGTACGCCATGACCCAGCTCAAGGAGTTTGAGGGCAAGAAGTTGGTGGACATCACCAAGGACTTTGAGCTTGAGGAGACCGATGAGGAGAAGAAGGCTCGCGAGGAGGAGGAAAAGGAGTACGAGAGTCTGGCTAAGAGTCTCAAGAACGTGCTGGGCGACAAGGTCGAGAAGGTTGTCGTCAGCCAGAAGCTTGGTCTCTCCCCTTGCGCCATCCGCACCGGTCAATTTGGCTGGTCTGCCAACATGGAGCGCATCATGAAGGCCCAGGCCCTCCGCGACACGTCCATGAGCAGCTACATGTCTTCCAAGAAGACGTTTGAGATCTCGCCCAAGTCTGCTATTGTCCAGGAGCTCAAGAAGAAGGTCGAGGCCGATGGCGAGAACGACCGGACCGTCAAGTCGATTGTGCAGCTGCTGTTCGAGACATCGCTGCTCGTCTCCGGCTTCACCATTGACGAGCCCGCCGGCTTCGCTGAGCGCATCCACAAGCTTGTGCAGCTTGGCCTGAACATTGAGGAGGACGATGCGGCGCCCACCGAGGCCGCTGCCGCCGACGCCCCTGCTGCTGCTGCCGCCGGCGACAGCGCCATGGAGGAGGTTGACTAAACAGCTTGCCTCGAGGGAACTGACGCATCGACACCGGGGTCCAAAAGGTTGCACGGAGTTGAAGGGATGCTTTTTTTTCTATTTAGAGCAAACGGCATGGTCTTGCGTTTCGGAATTGTTTTAATGTCCTAACCGTCTTCTTCCACGCGCTTCGTCTATTCCCCAACGCGGTTTCCCGCGAGGAAAGGACTGGATGTGCTCTGGCTCGGTATCTCTATGATGACGCAGATGAGATAGATGCGCTGAATGAAACGAATCCTTAAGTTGTGCTCGTCTTGAGTGAAAGCATGTTGAATTAGCACCTACGCAGGCTAGTAACCGAGTAACCAAGACTTCGATTTCCAGTCAGACTTGCCTTGTATCACTGAATGGGGTCTGCGGCATCTATACAGCGCCTTCTTTCGATTGTGCCACTCTTGTTGATGCGATTGCTTCCGTGGTGAACAAGACCACTGCGTATTTAGAAAGGTGGAGAGACTCAACCTTTGGTCAACTTCTCCCTGAGGCTATAGGCTTCTAATCGACTGACAAAACCCTGTATTGTAGTATACATCGCGTATTCTATCTAGAGTACAAAGAAAATACAGCGCTCTGGCGGGTGACTGTTTCTTTCCCCGTCCAGGCCACTTACGTCCCTCTTCTTGCCGATGAGCCAGTCTCTTCTATACTAGAACGTACAAGGCGCAGATCTGCAGAAAAGCTAATCAGTACACGCCCACGAACGGAGGGTGGAGGAAACTTGGGGGGTTGCTGTGCGTACCACGCTGAGGCCGAGAATCATGGAGCACCAGAAACAGACGTTGTTGAACGTCTGCCTGCCGCGGACCCAGCGGGTGCGCTGCAGCATGACAATGGGCAGCTGCAGCATCTGGCAGACGAAGCCGTAGCCGCGGAGCTTCTTCGTGATGCAGGCCATGACGATCTCGTGGCCGACGGCCGAGATGAGAAAGGTGATGATGGTGGCGGCCATCTTGCCCGTGTGGGGACGCGAGGCGCTGTAGACGTGGCGGCGCAGGAACGAGTAGACGGGCACGTTCCACTCGCGCGAAAACTCCATCCAGTCGGTCGAGTTCCACCAGTCGGCGTAGAAGTGGCGGTCGCCGAAGCGGGTGATTTCCGCAAAGGCGCCGAGGACGTACTCGAAGATGACGAGGAAGACGAGGAGGAAGGTGAGCATGAAGGGGAAGAGCAGGCCCGAGATGGTCTCGGCGAGGATGAGCAGCGCCTCGGAGACGGAGCCCGACGTGGCCTGGACGGTGTCGAGGCGGTGCGAGGCGTCTACGAGGACGGGCAGGATGAACTCCTCCGAGGTGACGGTGAGGAGGAAGATGCAGCCAAAGGTGGCAACAATCTTGGAGATGAGCGAGGTCCAGTTGACGGTCGGGGTGCGTGGGTATTCGAGCTCGTAGCAGAGCGTCGGGCAGAGCAGGTAGTCCCAGTAGTTGGACCAGGTGAGGTTGCGCGGGTAGGTGATGTTGCCCATAGGGCTGGTGAGCTCGCGCGCGAGGACCTCGCGCAGGGCCTCGAGCTCGTCAGCGGCACGGGTTTCGTCGGGGTCGGGGTCGCCAGAGGGGGTGGCATCGGGGGGGGCCGAGACGCTTCCTCGGCGCGGGTCGGCGGCCGGGTACTGATAGGCCGGGCCGCGATCGACGGCGGCGGCGATGGGGTTGTCGAGGGCGCGGAGGCGCTTCTCCGACTCACTGAGGTGGCCGTTGTAAAAGGCATACGAGTGCATCTTCATGAGCAGGACCATGGTGTGCAGCAGCAAGAAGACGTGAGCCGTCCAGGTCCACTCGAGCCAGAAGGGGATGACGATCCAGGTGGCCAGCCAAACGACCTGGTAGATGCTCTGCACCGCCATGCCGCCGTTCTTCCAGGTCCAGGCGCCGCCGGCGGGGGCGCTCCTCGCCCAGCGGTGGAGGGGCAGGCTGGCAGCGGTGCTGGCGACCATGAGGAAGTCGGCAACGGCCAGGTGCCACAGCTTGACTGTGAAGAGGGACCAGATCTCGATGCGCAGGGGGTAGCCCGTGTCCTTGAAGTTTCGCAGCATGGTGGTGATGCCCATGATGGCGAGGCCGATCCAGAAGAGGTTGAAGAAGCCGTGGAAGTCGCGGTAGTCACTTGCCGGGTCGAAGTGGGAGACGCGCGAGGCGAACTCGATGGTCGGGAAGAGGCGGCGCCTCTGCTCGGCGCGGACGTGCTTGCGGACCGACGAGAGCGACTTTGCCGAGGGGGGCGCATTGTCGGGCACAGGCGTGGAGCGACCACTGAGGGGGCCAAGTCAGCGCATTGTCTCGTCAACAAGAAGGTCGGGGCCAAGCAACCTAGTCATTGCGCTGGCCGCGTCTATGTCGCCGTTCAGCGGGCCATCGGCGTCGCTCGACGACATGCGCGAGAGCTGCGACAGCTGCACATGCTGCGGCTTCCGGGGCCGGGGCCGCAGCACGTGGTCGTGGTCGCCGCTATTGGGCCCCAAGTCGGCGGCGGAGCTCATGCCGAGGGTCGTGGCGATGGGCGTTGCCCCTTTTCCGCTGTTGTCGGTGGAGAGAGGAAGCTGAGGTCCGATCCGCGCGCTTCACCGGTCGCCGACGCAGCGCAAAGGCAGGGCATAGCCAGACGGGCGGGTCTATCGAAGGCGCGATAAATAAATGCGACAGCGGATAAGGCACTGGACCCTATGTGCGTCTTGGTCGCTGCCGTCACGTCGGGACTCATAGGAGATGGTGGTGAATCGGAGCTGCTCGACTACGTCACTGCGCGGATGTTGCGAGTGGCGGGGCACCTCCACGTGATGGGCTGCGCCACAGCAGGCCGACCACGTCGGGTGGCGTTGCCCTGCGCCGGGTGAAGTGTGGCGAGCATCTTGCCAACCTCGACGCTCCACATCACGGACGACGTCAACGAGAACACAGCGTCTGCATCTCGCAAGTGAAGATGCTGACCAACAATTCACAATGCGAGTTGGTTGCCTCGGATCAGACACCTCCGAGACACGCCACGTGACCTTGACGGCCCTGAGTCAGAGTGCGAGCACAACCGACGACGACGCGAGACAAATGACAGCATAGAGCTGGCTTGCTGGGCTGCCAGATCTCGTGGGCAGTTGGGTGTATACACACAACACAGTATCCATGGTGTTGCTCGTCGCGATGGACGGAACCCCCGGGGAATGGTCTCGGGAACATGCGCTGACTCGCCGTCTAACAGACAGTACCTGGGGTCGAGCATGGCATCAATCTTCCATCCATCTCCGCCCTTTTGGCGTCAGGGACATATGCATGTCCCGCTGGCCACATTCAAAGCCTGGCGAGACATCGGCTTACCCAAGTCATGCTTGCTTGCGTGCAGTCCAACGGAACCTGCAAGGCCAGTGTCTTGGGCGGTACGAGGCTCCGGTGAAGAGTTACACGCCCACGACGATTGGCCGACTCGTTCATGCCCTCGCGGCCCGCGTCGTACCATGTTCCGCTCTAGAACCCGACCCTGCTGACGGCATTACTCTGTCCGTCCCGCGAAAAGGATGCGGCCGCCGGCGAGGATTGACTGGACAGCAGGCCTGATGCGCGGGCTCGGCGACAGCAGTGGCCCTTCAATTCATATATTTTATATGCCCGTTCTATTTTCGGCTGCTTCCGTTGTCGCACCGCTAGCATCGGTCAGCTCCTCCCTTCCCCCTGCCCTGCCGCTCTTCCCCACCCCCGCATCTTCCAGCTTTCTTCCGTTGGTTCGCACGACGCTGCCGCCCATCGGGATTGCCCCTTGTTTGGGGGCTGGGGAAGGCTCTGCCAACTGGCCCCGACGAGCCGTGGTGGTACTGTACAGGCAGCGAGGTTGGTCGCCCGACGGGCCATGCTCGGGCTGTCGCTTCTCTCCTTCCTGGATGCATCTGGCCCGCTCCAATCCGAGCCCCAGGCGAGCCACAGCTGAAAAAGATGATGGGCGCTCTCGTCGAACGCATCGGTCGTTGCCAAGTCACACTATTCTGCGCCACACGCCAGTATACTTCGGACCAGCATCAGCCGAGGCGATTCCTAAGACCGGCATGCATCATTGGGACCACGTACAATCCCACAGAAGGAAGGAGAGCAACGCGATGAAGACGTGAGAGGCCGAAGAAGATCATGACGATGGGGACGGGGTAAGTGCCCGAAAAGAAAGGGGAAAAGAAAGACATCTACGGTGGAAAAAGCAAGCTCTCGACAGGGACCTTGCTGCCCCTGTCGTCCCAGCCAGCTGGCCAACCTACCCACACTTTTGAGTTACCGTACCTTTGCCATGTCTCTCCCCAATGTCCTGCAGCAAGTGCCTGTGACGGACAAAGGATTGCATGGCATAGCTGCCGTGGCCGCCAAGTCGGTAAGTCATATACGAGATGTATTACGACAGTTTGCTTTCACGTCCGGGATCTCATTCCCGTGTCATCATTGCAACGTCTCCCTCTTTCTCTCTCGAGCTCGTGTCGTCAATACGCCAATCATGTCATCTATTACCAATTCATTTTTTTATTGCCAATCATGCTCAATGTTCATGCCGGTAGCAGTTACAGCCGTCTCGGCTGTGTTAGTTTGTTGACATGACTCTCGTCACAGCCTTGACGCTCAATATTCCTTCACCATCTCCAGTCTTGGGTACTATAAACCGCGAGAGCGTCTAGAGGCTAGCTACGAAGCAAGCACTACTGCAATCTTGCTCGTCTTGTTCCTGGCATGTCTCGGGGCTAGCGGGATAATTGTGAACGTCTAATAATAGCGCGCGGTTACGAGAAGCCTCAAATCGGCGGCCACACCCTGCGGCTACTCGTGTGTGCCCGACAACCTCTCGTTCCACCTCCATGCTGTTCAGACAGCCGCTCTATCATATTGTCAGCAGGCTATCCTTTCATCAGCTACATGTATTAATTAGCTCGAAAGGAGAATACGAGGCGCCGGAGCATGGGACCCAGTCAATTCCCCGGCTCCTTTGGCCCAACATGACGAGCTCAACTACACGCTGGCATCATCTCAGCTGGCCTGGCTCCTCCGTGGGCGAATGTCAATCACTTGTTCAGTCCGCCAGCTGCAGGGTCTTGCGGCCCGAGCCAACCCCTGGAGAGAGGGTCGCGACTGAGTCCGGAACCGAGCAGCCGAATCACGCGCACTGTTTCCTTGAGCTGTCCAAGAGCAGGGATCAGTGCTTGAGTCTCAGTAAAGTCGTGCGGCTTGGCCAAGGCTGCATGGCGCTCCTCCGGGACGGCTGGCCGTCTTCACGAAGGACCCGCGGCTGACCATGCATTCATCATGGAGCGTCTCTTGCCGGGCTTGGGTAGACTGAGATGTCTATATAAACCCTCGTCGGCGTCCTCCCCAATCTCCATTTTCCCTCTCATCCCCATCCGGCTCACAGACCCTCCTCTGGATATCCGTCGTTTCTACAATCAGGATCAGTGCCTCTTGTCCAACTTTCTTTTCCCATCTACTGCGAGCTCGCCTCCCTTTTGAGAAACACTCGCCATCATGCTTCTCAAGCAGTTTCTCCTTCCCGCTCTTTTCTCCTTCTCCGTCTCCGCCAACCCCGTTGCGGATGGCGATGCCGAGCTGGCGGCCCGCGGCGACTACGCCGTCAACTGCGGCAAAGATGCCTCGTGGAACGCGTATGCGAAGCAATGCATCTGCCACAACGAGCAGCTGAAGTATGATCAGAAGACTCTGACCTGCGGCTGCGGGGACGGAAAGACCTGGAACGGTCACAAGTGCGGCTACGACTGCGGCAGCGATGCATCCTATGATGACAAGAGCAAGGCGTGTGTCTGCCACGGCCAGGGCAAGTACTACGACACCAAGACCAAGAGCTGCAGCTGCAGCGGCGGCAAGATTTGGAACGGCCACAAGTGCGCCTACGACTGCGGCAAGGATGCTTCTTACGACGAGAAGAGCAATACGTGTGTCTGCCGCGAACAGGGCAAGCACTTTGACGACAAGTCCAAGACTTGCAGCTGCACCGACGGAAAGACCTGGAACGGCCACAAGTGCGCCTACGACTGTGGCAAGGACGCCTCGTACAACGACTACGACAAGAAGTGCGTCTGCAACAACTACGGCCAGAACTACGACCACAGCAGCAAGACGTGCAGCTGCGCCGGCGGCAAGACGTGGGACGGGCACAAGTGCTCCTACGACTGCGGCAAGGACGCCTCTTACAACGACAAGCTCGGCAAGTGTGTCTGCACCAAGGGGGACCAGAGCTACGACCACGGCAGCAAGACGTGCAGCTGCACCGACGGAAAGACGTGGGACGGTCACAAGTGCTCCTACGACTGCGGCAAGGACGCCTCGTACAACGATTACGACAAGAAGTGCGTCTGCCACAACTACGGCCAGCACTACGACTCCAAGAGCAAGACGTGCGGCTGCGCCAACGGCCAGGTCTGGGACGGCGGCAAGTGTGGCGACAAGTGCGGCAAGGACGCTACGTTTGACCACAAGTCGGGCAAGTGTATCTGCCGCAACTACGGCCTCGTATACGATGCCAAGAGCCAGAAGTGCCAGTGCGGCGCGGGCAAGACATACGACAGCCACTCTGGCAAGTGTGTCTACGGCTACGGCAACTACTAGATGTGAGAGGTTTGCCGGGCTGAAGGCGGAGTGGAGGGCTGAGAGCTGGTGTGCCAAGCCGGGAGCAGGAGGCTTGCTTGTTTTCGGGTGGTTGCGGTCGAATTGACCGCTTTTGACGCTCCCTTGCTGTTTCCTGAGGTTGAATCGTCTTGGTGTATCTAAGTTTTCGTGGGGTGAGAGGCATCAGGGGCATAAGGATCGAAAAGGCTCGTCCCCTTGTTGTCACCTGATGCTTCGGCCATGTTCAAAGCCTAGGTCTGCGCTGCAACCGAGATAGATTGGTAATCAACCTCTATTTTACGTACATTACGTTCCTGGCCTCGGCTGTTGGCTGTCTCCCTATTACACTGCAGCTGTGCCGGTTCATGATGTTTTGTGAGCGTGTTGGGGATTAGTTGTCGAGGAGACGGCTAAGCCGCATATCACACTGGGCTGTCTTTGCAGTCATGGCACGGGGTCTGAGTGATATTCTCATGCTTTGCGGATGCACGTCATTGGGATACGGAAAGGCCTGTTGGCGCTGGATCCGTATATTTCGGGATGGTCGTCTGGAAGCCGGCGATTCGACGGCATATCAACCCGACCAGTGCTGGCGATGCCGTGTTCTAGTTACGTTATTCGCACTTTTGACGTTTCACCACGCTGCTTAACCCCGTCAAATCGAGAAATATGTGATAGCATCCCGCAGCCCCGCCTTCTACAGGGTAGCTTGAGCCCTCACGGTGCGCGTGTTTTGGGGTTGGCCCGGGACATGTCAGTTTGATATCCGCGGCGTCACATTTGCCCTGCAATGTTACGAAAAATGCGGAGCCATTTTTGCGGAAAGCACGTTCTGTGTTGGTACGTACGAGGTAGACAAGTGGGAGTGAGGGCATCGTGGTGTAGGGCAAAAGGCCAGCACTTGAAGCGTTGGGCTCATGACCGGAGATGGATGGATGACAGCCTGACCTGACACAGCATTGCAGGGCCCGCACGATCTGGTTCGGTAGAGCTATATGGATACGATCGAGGGCGGGGGGCCTGTGGACGCTGGGAGATGCCGAAGCAGCTCATCCTCGTGCACCCAGCTCGTCGGATTACCTGGCAGCCTGTTTGCCACAGGGCAGGCAGGGCGTTGCAAGGGTTCGGGCCATGCGGCAAGTTTCGCTTGACTACTGTATGTTCTTGAACAAAAAGGTGAGTGTGTATTCCTGTTTATGCCCCGGAAGGTTGCCCAGAACAAGGTTCGATTTGGATCCTCAACTCGCGCATCCCCCACAACCACCAACCAGCCCATACACACTGTACAGACTCGGCGTCCAACGAACAAAGGGTGTGAGAACCGCATGCTGTCATCCCACACGCATGCCATGCCATGCCTTGTATGCAACTTAGTCGGTATGGATGGCTGCTGCACCGAATACGTTGGCGCCCTCCCCCCCCGGTCTCCTCTCTTTCCCCCTCCCTTTTTCGCGCCCTCATGCAGTACCGGTATAGCTGCTGCAGAGCACAGAGAGAGGCAAGGCAAAGCAAAAAATAAAGGACACAACAAGTGCCACGACAGGAAAAAAGAAAACCACGCCTCTATCCCCGCCGGGCCACTCCTCATTTGATTGGCCCTGTCGACGACTGCCTTTCCGGGGCTGCCGCCCGCCATCCATGTTGGCTGCACACGCACGAGCAGCTCGTGAAGCGTCCTCGCTTTGTCCGGCATGCATCCATCGACGACTCGTGCCACTTGACCAGTCGACTAGGAAGGCTCCTCCTGCAAGCCCCGTCCAAGGCCATCCACGCCGGTGGAACCAACAGGCTCTTGTGAACTGTCCAACACGTCGCACCGGCCACACTCGCACTCGAGCATCAATCCACTCGCATTACCATCGGGCTTCTATGCTCTAATAGACAACAGAAAGGAGCGTCCTCTTTCCTTGTCCCTCGCTCCTTCAGCCACTCGTAAACGCCTTTCGTCTCCCGCCGCACAAGCTGCGTCAAACTCCAGTGGTATCCATCCCTCCCCTCCCAAAACATGTGTACAGCGAGCGAATACAAACAGTCGAGAGCAAGACTTGGGCGATGAATGCCTCCTTCTTTCCAAGCTCCACGTCACTTGACAGCTTTGCCGGGGCACCGTGGCCTCCTCGGGGGGATCTGAATTTCTTCTCCAAATATCGTATCGTCATTCGTAAAATAAAACACAAGACTGTTCCTCGAAAGGCGGGCACCTCCGGCACCGCCCGATCCCAGTTCAGCCCTGAGAACATGCAGCATAAAAACCATACATGCAACAAGAAAACGAGCCGGCCAACGCCAATCATGCATATGCCGTGTACCCCTCGCGGTACGGCTTCTCGTGGTAGTTGCTGTACTTCACGTCATCGTATCCATACGCCTTGGATGTCTTGATTCTGGGGAATTTCATCCCCGGACCCGCGTAGCTGCTCTCACGTCCCGCCATGGGCGGTCGACTTTCCACGACGGGGATCCCGGCCGACGTCGAGTAGTAGCGGTGGGGGTCAAGCTCAGCCTCGAGCCGGCGAGAGTAGGTGCCCTGCAACTTTGCTCGCCCGCCGTCCACCTGGTACCGGGAAACGTTCTCGGGCTCCGGAGACCGATGTCGCCGACTGCTCCGGTGCTTGCCTTCGCGCTCGCGGGTTTGACGGTCGTACGCCTGTTCCGTCTCGGATTCCTCCTCGATCTGGGCATGCCTGCGCGAGCGGGCCCGGCCGCGCGCCGCCCCTTCGGCGAATGCGTTGAAAGCACTAAAGGTCTGCGCCCTCATGATGCCGGGGACGGGGCGGGCGGGAAATGCCGAGTCAACGGGTAGTGAGCTGGTGCGGGGAACCTCCCGCCACGGTGGGGAGCTAGGCGGCTGGGGAGTCGCCGAAGTTGACTTTGAAAACTGTGCCGTGTGACGGTTCGTCGGGGACGCATTCATCACGAGCGGCTCTTCCACCGGCTCCCGAGACGTGGCCCGATACGGTCGCTCCCTTGACAACCTGGGCCCCTCACCGGATCCGCGGCGGGGTCTGGCCGACGAGCGCCGCACGTCGTCGTCGGGCGCGGAGAAAGGCGACGACGGGCCAGTCATTGGCGGGGGCGTTGGGGCCGGTGGCTGTACCTGTCGAGGATGGTACGTCTTTGACCGCTGAAGGCCCGGGGGGGCACCCTTCTTGGCCCTCGACGCCTCGATGTAGGATTGGGCGTAGTCCATGGCCGATGAGTAGGACCGCTGCGGACCTGGGGGCGGAGGTGCCATGGGCGACACGTCTTCCTCCCGACCCGACGACCGATCGCGCTTTTCCTCGTGTTTCTTGCCACTGCTCGACTTCTTCTTGTCCGATTTCGAAAGAGGGGGTTCGTCGTCGAATGACTCGTTGTAGGGTTTCGCGTACCGTCGCTTCTCGTCTGCTTCCCGTCGAATATCTTTATCGCGCTGTTTCTCACGTTTGTTCTTATCAGACCGTCGCTGCTCCTTGGCTTCCTTCTCCGCGCGACGAGCATCCTCTGCCTTACGTCGACGATCCCGGTCCCGGTCCCGGTCTTTTGCATCCCGGTCCCTCTCTCGTTCTCTCTCCATCTCGCGTTTGGACGGCCGCTCAGGGTAGCTGGCCTCTCGCCGGGATGAGCGTGGAGTCCCTGCATCGAAGATTTGAGGTCCGCGGCCAAAGTCGTCCTCCCACGAGCGAGAGTGGGCGTAGACTTTGGAGACTGGGGGCGGAGAACGGCCCATGGGCCCGGGAGGCTCGGCCGTGTAGATGTTGTATTCCTTGGGCGCAGATCGAGGCGTCGAGATGTTAGCCTGGGCTTGGAACTGTTTGCGGAGCTCGGCCAGCTTGATCTGATCATCGTATTTCTGGCGTTCGCGGTCGTCGGAAAGGAGCTCGTAGGCCTGCTGGACCTTTTGAAATTCGTCTTGCTTCTGCGCCTTGAGTGCAGGATCTTGCACCTTGTCGGGATGGCACTTCAAAATGAGCTTGCGATGCGCTGACCTGATCTCGGGTATCTGCGCGTCTTTGGAGACGCCGAGAACCTTGTACGGGTCAGGACGCAGGAGAGTCATGGTTGAGGAGTTGAGGTGGGCAAAAGAGGCCGAAAGCGACCGGCGCCGTTGAGAATAGAAGAGCAAAAGGGGGCTATCAAAGCCTTGTTGTCATCGAATTTCAACAAGCGAGGCTCAAGAGATGGTCCGCAGAGCTGCACAGCGGGCCACGTCGGTGGAGTCGAGAGAAGGGTTAAAGTAGCGGCCAAGAGCGCCGATGCGCGTGATGAAGACACGGCAACGGTGGACGGCTAAGCTCTGACACGAGGCAGAGAAGTCGCAGCGGCGCCTATTTCAGAGCAGCCACGTGCAGAGTGATGGATTGCAGCCGACGGGCTCTCGTCCGGGTCTTGTTACAAAGTCGCACAGCCGAGCGCAGAGGCGTTGGTATCCTTTGGCCCCTGGGCCTGGGGGGAGAAGACTCTGGAAGTGGCTGCTGTAGGGTGATGAGGTCACGGGTTTTCAGGGGTCGAAGGGCCGCGCTGATTCGCCAGGGCCGGGGGAGGGAGAAGGGAGGGGGCCGACTGACGGGGGGGGCGGGTGAGGACCAGACAGCAGCGAATCCGAGGGCAGGGCGGATCCGTGCAGTGAGTCGGTGGATGTGCCAAAGAGAAGGGGGTGGGTAGCAGGCAAAGCAAATCCAGCAGGCGAGTGGTTTGACAGAGGAGGGTGTGATTAGGGAGGGCTCGGCCGCTGCTGTTTGCTGCGCTGTGACGCGTAGCGTGCGTGTGCTCAGCTGATGGGACGATTGATGGGTTGGATGCCGAGGGAGAGCTGTCGGCAAAGACGCAAAGAGGACGAGGCCGTGGGGCGGAGTAGTGGAACGGAGGAATGTTTGCTTGTCGGTGATTGTCGAGCGCGAACAACCGTCGCCGACTCCGTGCTCACTCCGGCGGCCTCGGGACTCGGAGGAGGCGAAGCTGATGGATGACCAACCCAGGTCTTGGTTGCGCGAATAGTCGGGGAGCGAAGCAGGGTGACTGATTGGTGGACGGCGAGCTGGAGGAGGACAATGGCGGAGGGTGCTAGAGGCAATACGGCTGTGTCGATGGTATCTGTACGGCGAGAGCTGTCGGGCAGGCGAAGAGAGGGTGGGGGGGAGCCGAGCTCATAACAGCAGGGCTTGAGTGGTACTTGGATTATTTCGTCCTTTTTTTAGGTGCCGAAAGTGGCGCAGGCGGACCGCGACGCGGAGACAAATCGTCTTGTCCGTGCGGGACAGAAATGGGACGGCGGACGGACGGGCTCGAGCGGGGAGCGAAACAAGAGCTGCGCGAAGGCGACAGGCAGGCAGGCAGGCAGGGAGGTGACACGTTGAGTCAGCAGCGGCGGGTAGCTGATGACGAGGCCCCGTCGCGTGCCGCAGCGTTGTATGGGGTAGGACCGGGGGGGAGCGAGGTGAGTGGTGAGTGGTGAGGTAGGTATGTACTGTATGTCGCTGGTGGTGGTGGTGGTGGTGGTGGTGGTGATGATATTGTTGGTGGACGAGAACAAAGTGGCTGTTCGCCTCTGGTTCGTGCACGGCGACTAACCGGAGCCTGTATCAGAACCTGTCCCGCATGCGATTTGCTTAGCAACACAGAGTAGCGCGACATTACCTTGATAGCTCGAGCACGTTGGTGGCGAGGCCGCGTCTGTCTCCCTGCCAGGACAGCTTGTGATGCGTATCCGTACGGGAGCAACGCAAGACAAGAGGCTGTGCAGTAGAGCGCGGCTGTTTGTTTTATCTCTCTTTCAGCCACGACGCAGCCGCCGAGAGCTCAATCATTGTCCTGGCGACGACATGTCTGAGAGACAAGCGGTGAGATGCAAAAACAGCTGATAGAGGCATTTCTGGAACAGTGTCTTGGCCGTTTGCGTACTGTACACGATCTGCTCTTTCTCCTGCCCTCTTGCATGGGAATCTACCAACCACTCGTGCATGATCAGCACTGTGCAAAGTACCATCCTGACAAATGGCTCAAATCACGTTGCAAATAGCTCATATCTCAGGTGCTGTTCCGCAGTCTTGCGCACTGGGTACAGGGGTCACTGTCGCTTTGCTATGGGGATTGATGCCGAGCTGCAGCCGCCTTCGCGGTGTCGGAGAGTCGAACAAAGAGGCCAAAGGAAGGATGGAGAAGGAATAGGCAGAGTGGAGAGAGATGGAAAGGAAACGGATCAGAGCTTCTACAACTCCCAATTTCTTGGACAAGGACACGACACGGACTCACGTTTCTGGCTACGAGATTCGCCGTCTACCAGATGCCAGGTTACCTGCCTTCTCACCTGACCGGGCTCCGCAAGTCAAGCCGCCTCTCCCCTTCATCGTATCATTGCCAGGGGTCCGACTCCTACCTACCATGGATGGGCGTATTATCGACTGCCCCTGATGCGAGGGACTGCAGTAGTGACCTCACCTCACACCTTGGTTTGCCTCCATCATCTGTCGTGGCAAGAGAGTGAGGAGAGAGGCATGGAGAAGCGGGCTGACATGCAAAAAGAGGACAGAAGGGCAGACAGCTTCCATCGACTACTGCCAAAAACCCACCCCAATGCCATCACACTGCATGGAAGCACCTTGTCCCTTGGGATGGGGCTCTTCTGCTTCCGGCTTGGACTTGGCCCTGCGTACGAATACGCATGGCTGAGAAACACTGCGCCCTCATTCGTCGACTGCTAGCCATCTTGCTGCCTCGTCACCGGGGCCCTAAGGGTGGGGAGGCACTGTGTCTGGCACCAATCCCCAGAAGCCTCATTCCACCCCGGCTACGTGGGCACCGACAGGGCCTCTCTCCCGATCAAGAGCCTTCTTTCCGATGGAGGCCCGCGCCAATAACCCACACGCAGTGCTCATCGAGGCGAGAAAAAAGGAGTCGAGAGACTAATAAGAGTTCCACGAAGCGGGCAGAGTCAGACGAGCTCGAGGGCCTTGGGGCCCGGTTGCCCCTCCAGGCCGAGAGGAGTGACCCAAAGACTCATTCACATATACAGTACTTGCATACTTGCATTGAAACTGCATGGCGTCGCGGATGCCGGGCCTGCAGCCCGCCTAATCGTTCCCTTGGATACGAGAGCAGCCCGGGTGAGGCGGTTGACGCCCCTCGACGACAAAGATGACGGAGTCGTTTTCAGGTCCATTCACACCGGGCCTGGCCAGAGCAACCAGATACTTATGAAAATACATCATACTAGTGTATGCAAGGATCATTCAACCGAGTACCGAGTAATAGTGAGTGCTTGGCTGACCGATTGGGTCAAGGGGACACAACGTGGGTCCAGCAGAATGCTATTCCCAGTTTTCCAATGCAGAAAAGGCGAGCTGCTGCCTCGTCCTCTCCAGTTGATGGCCGGCCAGTGGAGAGCCCTGCATTGGCTGGGGCGGCGGTCTCGACCTTCTGCGGCGGCGGCCACGCCCTCCTCCTCAAGACGGCCTTGACGCTCCGTGCTTCGTACGATGCCGGGTGTGGACTTGCGTCCTACGCCCATTCGGAGCAGCAAGCCCTACCTATCAATTGGTCAAGGCGAGGCAAGAGTGCCAGTTGCAGCAGGGCCCTCCCTCGTTGCCAGGACAGCAAGGATATTTGTCGAGCTCTGTCTCTCCGGCGCCGAGATTCACGTCAGAATAGAAAGGCGAGCCAGCGGGCTATGCCGTTTCACGAGACAGCGGCATCCCCAACGCGGCTGCGCCCGTTGACATGCAAGTACAAACCTGGTTTTCCCCGTTCCGGCGAGGGGTCTTTCATCTGGAGAGAGGATAACCCCGTCAATCTGCTAACTTGATGGAGCAAAGAGGGACAAGTGAGGCTTGGAGAGCACCATGTACTGTATGTAAGTTCGCGCGGCAAGGGTGCATAACCCCGGGGGGGTGTACGGCAGCCAAGACACGCAGATCGAGCGAGAAGTGATGCCTTCCCCCTCTTCTGTGGCAGCAATGGTCGGGCAAGACGAAAAAGAGGGCATGAGCCTAGCAGTGGACCATCTTCGTCTATGAGCCTATGAGAGTCGCGGGCTGGAACGAGAGGAGAAGTCATCCGTCATCCGCTTGGATCCAGAAGAGTAACGCTGCTCGTCCAACCAGCAGCCACGCCACCAAAGGACATGCTATCTTCAGGCATACACTCTCAGCAACGTGGGCACAGATCGGAGCCGGCCAAGGGAAAGCTGGGGAAACGGGGGCGTTGGGTCGCGGAGACTATGTACATCATCTATCATCCATCGTCCCTCCATTCATGCCCGCCTGTCTGCATTAAGCACACCATTCTGCCGGCTCCCCTCTGTCATTGGAACCCGCAGTAGGCCCCTCGGCGGGAAGCGGCAAGCGTTGCCGGTGGCCTCCAAAAGCCGTGGCCCTGTCGCGGCGCATGCGGACAGACGGGGCATGCACCACCCCCCCTTTCCATTGCTCGACCTGGACACTTGGGACGGCCGAGGGCGGCAGATGGACCCGGACGGCCCCGTCCCTGGTTGGCTGCTCCAGGAAGCGTGTCCACGTCAGAGACCCGATATGACCGAGCCAGGCCTGGGGGCGCACTGCGGCTGTGGCTTCGTTTCCTGTAGTGGTTCTGCACTTATCTCTCCTGCACCGCTCTACGTGGAGGCGTGGTTGGTGCCGCAACCTGTCAGCTCTGGGAGGGAAGCCTACATACGAACACTAGGCTGGCGATGCAAGCACCGTGTTCGTCGCTGCTATCTCATGTGCACGGAATTGGGCAGCCATCAAGCATGTGTTGACATACAGCACCCGAACCAGACACGACATGACCTCAATTTGCCGATGGCACAGCCCACCTCCCGATCTAGACTTTCTCTTGCCCCTTTCTCTTCCAATTCTCCCGATTCGGCCGCGAATCAACTCTGAACCGCTCTTGGGGTTTCGATCTCCATGGAGAGCCCACGTAGCCGTCCCCGTCTGTCGAAACTTGGGCGGCAAGCAATGGGTTGCGTGCTTACAGCGCCTGCGGAGAGGGGCCTTGTTGCTTGACCATTTCATCTTCCTCGAGATCGATACTGTTCTTTTCTTTCTCTTCAAACTCTCCATGTCCGGCCATGGCCTGGCCCCCATCCGCTTATGCAGGATATGAGGCCGTCATGAGCCCCCGTTGCTGTCCGGTGTGGGAGCCAAGCTCGACACCATCCGGGGGATGCCACAAAAATACCCAATGCTGAACCTTCAACCTTGGCTTATGACGACTATACCTTAATTGATAAGCTCCAGACACAGCTTCGTTGAAAGATAGACACTCTCTCAAACACTGCCCTTGCTCCCTCGCATGATAGCCCCTTGCTCCGTGCCTCCCAGACCTCGTTGAAAAGAGTCACAAGGCTGTTCTGACAAGGACAAGGGCAGCCTACGGCGCCTCTTTCTCGACACACTATTTAAGTGGGCCGCCCCGACTTATAGTAATGCTCTCAACTCTTGCTAAAAGCTGTTAGCCTGGACATGAGTTCTGGCCAGTCTTGCAAAGCGCTGCCCGATTCGCCTTGGCCGTTTCGCAAACCAAAAGAGAGCAGATACAAAGGGAAACATGGGATATTGATCCAGTCGGAATCTACGCCTCTAAGACCAAGCATATATATAGCCCCACTTTCATGGCCTGTGATGCCTGCTTGGCGCCTCTCTTCATGTGCGGGATGACCTTTGCCCAAGGTATATCGCCAAGATTATTCTATCGTCTGCCGCCTATCTAAACCTCTCCGACCACGATGGTGCAGTGGTGTAGAGGCGGAGGTTTCGTATTAAAGATGGCCATCTTCCCAGAACTCGGTCGGACCGCCGCTCACATCTTTGCCTCGCCTGTCTTGCTCTTTTCCGCCATCACCGTCATGATTTTGTTTCCAAATGCGTCTCCTATCGCTTTGAAGCCCACTTAGTCTGCTAAGCATAGCTTCTGCGACATTATGTGGCGTATTCAGATCTCCAACCAAGAGATTGACGAGCAACCGAGCATTTCTTACAAAGGACCTTACTACTCGAACGACGTCCCCCCAAAACGAATCGATCTCTGCCAATGTGCTTATTCATCTCATTGCACGCTCAAACGATTCCGAGGTTCTTGGTCATCTGAACTTGAGCAGCCGGGACTCGTGAGAAGCATAAAGGGATACCTTGCTTGCCACGTTGACGATTTCAAGAACTTTATGTTGCCGTTAAATCGACATGCTCAATGACAGCTTCCATCCAGTCAACATTCCCTCATTTTGATAAATGTAGATTGAACGCCCATCCACTCCTGTCAGGATAGTCATAACTATATTCTCATAACGAGTCGACTTCGTCGAGAAGATAGACAAAATCTAAATATCTAAACATTTTTATTGTAGAGGAGATGGCGTCGACAGAAATCCCTAGCAACCTGATAGTGCCCTGCTTCGAGAATGCGTGTACGACCGCTGAAAAGAAGGGCTGTTTCACGTCGCCCGTGAACTACGTCGATACGAAAGTCCAATCGATGGCTGTATTCTTGACTTGATCGTGGCTCCAGGGACCACGGATCCCTGTTATAGCGAGGCCTACGTTGCTGTCCACGAAGTTGGTCACTGTTTTGGTCTTAGAAATACGTTTTCTTATGGTGATGCTTCTGACGGAGACGGCTATGACGGTGTCGATGGCCTCGCTGATACTATAGCTTCTCTCTGCCTGCCAGTGGGGTGCCCTGTGGGCCGCGATTCTTGCCCCGAGGATCCTGGATTGGATCATATCCATAACCGCATGGACTACGCAGATAAGCATGCTTCACCTTACCGACGGTGTCAAAGATATGAGCTGATTTCCGATACGGCTCGTGCCGAACTAAGTTCACCCCAGATCAGACACAGCCCATGCATATTCACTGGCATTTTCTGATGAAACTTTCTCCCGGGTTATCACCACCACCAAGCATAATGTAACAGTTCAATACTTGGCTCGATTTAAAATTTATTGGCTTCGAATGGCATTGTCCAGTAGGAAAGTGAGAAGCTTGACAGTCACTAGGAGCGGTGCCCTGGAGTCGTAGCTCGTGGCGGCTTCTAGTGCCCCGTCTTCGTCTCCTCCACAACTTTGACGTTTGAGCGTTTTCGCCACGACCTTTGAATAGAATGCATCGATCAATAGGATGGTCTAAATCGTTTTTCTTAGATGTCTTCTGGGAATGAGCATCGGGCATCTTCTCGTCGGTCGTCTCCAGCTTGACGCAGCAGGAGTGTCCGTCGTTCAGACCCCACAAGTGTCGTCGATGCTTGGGTTTTATACAGGTCTCTAGTCAGCCTTGACTGCGTTCTCTAATCGGCTTTGACTGCATACCCTTTCTCGAAATGGGAAGCAGCGGGTGTGGAGCGAAGGCAATGAGTGGGGAGAGACGCGTTGGGAATTCCGTGGATTGTTCCTTGTCTCACGCACCCATTATCGAAATTGCTCGAGTAATCCGTTATATCTTCAAAATCTCGTCGCACGGGCTGAGGAGCTCTGTATATCACAAAGGCCGCGCATTCTTTAGTTGGCGGATCCAAATTGGTGACCGGGGGTGCCTCTAGACTGGCCAATGCATTGCCGAGAAGCAGGACGACGGCGAGATTCAAGGACTGCATCATGCGCGTAGACGATTATGGATGCTGTGAGACGGCAGGGGTTAAGTATACGTCGGAAGACTTTTAGCTTATCTTGATGGAGCATGCAAATCGAGCATCGGGGACTTGGTGGCTTACCTTGACAGTAAAGTGCAACTTGCTCTCAGATTTATAGTTGTAACGGGCAAGCCGCTTTAACGGCGGCTGCGCCGCCTAGCTTCTAGAACCTTCCATTGGCTCGAAGCTATAAAATGCTATTGTGCTCTCATGTAGTAGATTCTCTTTCTTTCTTTCTTTCTTCTCTATCTTGATAGTAAACAGCATAGGGACTAGTTAGTTGTATCAACTCACTAGAGGCCTTTCACATACTATCAAGATCACTGAAGACATTGAAGACACTGAAGACACCGAAGACACTGAAGACACCGAAGACACCGAAGACACTGAAGACACCAAACTGAGTCCCGTCGAACTATTAGCGTTCAGCGAAGTCGCGATGGCCGAAGATAACAACAACATGCAGCCGGACGTCCTCAGCGCCCTGGTTGCCGAGATACGAAGTCTGAGAGAAGAGAGTTCCCGAAGAAACACCCAGTTTGAAGAACGTTTTATTGCCCTGGAACTCCAACAACACCAGCAAGCCCGTTCGTCTGAACTCCTAGAGCCAACGCCATCTGTCACCCCGGCTGTCCCCATTGAGGACACTCGTGTGGTCGCCACTCACAACCCTCACCCAACCAAGCGCCCCAAATTACGAGACATACCGAAATTCGGCGGCGACAAGGCCCAGTGGCGAAGCTGGAAACTAGAAACCGAAGGAAAGCTACGAGTCGACAAAGAAGCCCTTGGAGATGCAGAAGGCCACTTTATGTACATCTTCATGAGCCTAGAAGGCAAGGCTAAAGACAACGTGACCACATTTGTGGAGATGCAAACCGAGAAGAAAACGTTCAATGTTGCTGAACTACTCAACCGCCTCGAATTGTTGTACGGGAGAGGGATCGCAAGCAGAGAGCTACACGCAACCTGCATTCGATTAAGCAAGGAGAGAATGAACCGTTCACGTCCTTTTACCCCCGCTTTGAGAGGGAGATCGCCAATGCCAACGCCGAGTATTGGCCAGATGACAGCAAGATTTCCTACCTCCAGGAGGCACTAAACGATAAAATGAAAGCAGCCCTCATAGGCTCTGACCCTCTGCCATCAGCAGCTATGTTGGGCTGGCGAGGAGGTGCGATTCGCTGAGCAGCCAGATGGAATTGTTGGGTCAGTGGAAAGGCCTCGAGGCAACACAAAGAGTTCGGACAACTATGACAACCACCAGAATCATGGAGGCCAGGCTGCCCAGAAACAGCCTGGCCAGAAAACCGAAGTTAGACGAGAGGATATGATGGAATGGGAACCAACTCTACAAGCATCCGCGAAAGTGAACGCTGCGCGCACCCGCAGTGATAAGAACACATATGGTTACCAATCCAAGCGACCAGAAGACCAAGCGCTGTTGGGCAAGCGTGCCAAGTGGGTCGACCAGGCCGAGATGGACGCCCGTTACCGTGAAGGGCGTTGCCTCCGTTGTGGAAGAGACAACTGCAGAATCGAGCGCTGTCCATTGGCTGCGCCTATCCGACCCGCAAACACGACCCGACGCACTCAGGTCAATGCCGTGACCCCGTCACGACCAGCGGTCACTAAAGCCGAGGTCGCCGAAGACGATACTTCTTCTCATAACGATGAAGATTCAGACTAGGGACACGCGGCGGCTGTGAGAGAATGGGATGTGAGCGGAAAAGCAAAAATGGACGGAGAACCGTTCATAGCAGACGTCAGGGTGAACGGCACAGACTTCGTGCCATCTCTTGTCGACTATGGCTGCCTCTGCTACGGCGCGGTTAGCAAGCGCACATTTCACTCTCTCCAGTTGCCACATATACGCGTCCAGCCGCGCATCTTGGAGAATGCAGCGGGAGACGGCAAGGAGGTCAAAATCGACAAGATCACGTATGTGTCGATCGACCTCGATGGACATCAGCAGCATCGTGTTTTCATGTACGTCATCGACGATCTGAACTGGGATATGATCCTGGGTAAACGATGGATGGAAGACCAGGATGTTCACATCCATGCGAAGGAAGGATATCTCGAGATCGGGTCCAATGGAGTTCAAGTACGAGACCGACGACGTTACCAGCCTCCACAGCTAGATGTCTCTAATGTCATGGCCGCAACCTTTTAGCAGAAGCACGCCGTGACAAACGCAAAGGCGGCATTGGAGTTCACTCGGTCACGATGGCGGATATTGACAAGGCCCTAAGACCGAAACCGAAGACTGACGTAATGGAGAAGCTGCCACCACAGTACCACAAGTGGTCTCGAGCTTTCTCTCAGCAACTGGCCGACCAGCTGCCCCCTCATCGGCCAGGTGTGGACCTGAAGATCGAAGTGCTGAAAGACGAGCATGGCCGAGAGAAGCCCTACCCTGGGGACCGCTTTACAGCATGTCCCGCGAGGAGCTATTGGTACTACGGAAGACTCTCACAGAACTACTCGACAAGGGATTTATTAGAGTCAGCAGCTCGCCAGCCGCGGCACCAGTCCTTATGGTGAAGAAGCCCGGCGGAGGCATCCGCTTCTGCGTGGATTACAGAGGTTTGAACCATATAACGAAGAGGGACCGCTATCCCTTGCCCTTACTGAGCGAGACCTTGCGAACGATAGCCAAGGCAAGGTGGTTCACCAAGGTAGATGTTATAGCAGCGTTCCATAAGATCAGGGTCGCCCCGGCGACGAGGAAAGACAACTTTCAGAACGCGCTATGGATCCTTCGAATGGCTGGTAGTTCCATTCGGCCTGACAGGCGCACCAGCAGCCTTTCAGCGGTACATTAACAGCGCGCTCCAGGATTACCTAGACGATTTTGTGTCAGCATATATCGACGATGTCCTGATCTTCTCCTCTGGAAGCCTGCAAGACCACCGCGACAAGGTCGGCAAGGTCCTCCAACGACTGATGGACGCCGGGCTGCAACTGGATATCAACAAGAGTGAATTCGAAGTCAAGGCTGTGAAATACCTTGGGTTTATCATCGAGGCGGAGTGTGGGATCCGAGTCGACCCTGAGAAGGTTGAGGCTGTGAAGGAATGGGCAACCCCGACGAATGTTAAGTCCGTGAGGAGTTTTATTGGATTCGCGAACTTCTACAGGATGTTTATGCCAGAGTTCTCGGTGATAGCGGAGCCGCTAACGCGGCTAACGAAGAAGGACGTGCCATTCCGTTGGGATGAATTGTGCGAAGAAGCCTTCGAGAAGCTCAAGGACTTGTTGATCACGGCCCCGATCCTTGCACACTTCCATCCAGAAAGGAGACTATCGTGGAAGCAGACGCTTCAGGATTCGCGTCGGGAGGCGTGCTCTTGCAGAGAGATGATAAGGATGGACTGGTACGACCTGTCGCATACTTCTCGAAGAAACATTCGGCAGCCGAAGCGAACTACGCTATCCATGACAAGGAGCTACTCGCCATTCTCAGATGTTTGGAGCAGTGGGAACCAGAGCTACGGGCAGTAGAGCACTTCAAGATCCTAACGGACCACAAGAACCTGAGGTACTTCTACTCGGAAAGGAGGTTGACAGAGAGACAAGTGCGGTGGTCGGAGTTCCTGTCCAGGTTCCAATTCGAGCTCGAATGGAGGCCGGGCCGCAAGGGCGGATTGCCTGACGCACTCTCGCCGGGACCAGGATATGCCGGCCAACTACTCCGATGAACGACTAAAGGGACGCATTATGAGGCTATTCCAAAATGATCACCTTAGAAGGGTCCCAATATCGACATTGTCTACCAACACCGAGGGTGCCCAGAAATCAACTTCGGAAAGAGATCAGGATATTTGAAGATGAGGAGTTACAGCAGCTGTGGCACGCCGCACGGCAAGAAGACAAGCTTTATCAAGAACTCACGAAGCTGGTAGCAGATGGAGCGAAGAGTGTGCCAACAGACTTACAGAAGGAGAAGGTTGTCAGCATTTCAGAATGCTCATTAGACAATAGAGGCCTGCTGTGCTTTAGAGAACGCGTCTGGATACCCGGTTCGGAGCCGCTACGTACAAAGATCATCCAGGAAACTCACGACTCTCATATCACCGGACATCCTGGAAGGGACCTCACGTACTCGACTCTGTCGAGACGCTTCTTCTGGCCGGGTGCCGCTAGCGATGTACGTCGGTTTGTGCGCAACTGCGAGGTTTGCGGACGAAACACCATCTGGAGGATACAAAGAAAGGACTCCTAAAGCCGCTCCCTATTCCGCAACGCATATGGAGCGAAATTACCATTGACTTTATTACTGACCTCCCACCGTCGGGGAAAGATGGCGCGACGAACTGCATGGTGGTCACGGACCGACTCACCAAAGGCGTCGAACTCGAAGGATTGAACGATATTTCCACAGAAGCGGTTGCAAGAAGACTCTTCGAACGACACTACCCTGTCCATGGCATCCCAACGGCTATAACCAGTGATCAGGGTCCCCAGTTTGTCAGTGGTATGTGGAAAAGTTTCTGTCAGATGCTAGGGATCGAGCAGCGGTTGTCGACGGCGTACCATCCACAAACCGACGGTGCAACAGAACGAATGAACCAAGAGGTAGAGAGGATTCTTCGGATATGGACGAATTATCTGCAGGAGAACTGGTTAGACTTGCTTCCAATCGCGATGGCGACTATTAACGAGAGGAAGCAACCTCCACCGGACTGAGTCCGTTCTTCTTCATGCACGGCTACCACAACGAGCCAATCCAATTAGTTGAGCATCGAAGAACGGAAGACACGACGCAGGGGGAAGCGACAGCGGAGGATTTTATTCAGAGACTACAGGACGCCACGGAGTTTGCGCAAGCAGCGATAGCTATGGCCCAGGAAATACAGCAAGCGCAAGCCAACAAGCACAGGACAGCCGCACCGAGATACGAGCCTGGGGATTGGGTATACCTCAACTTGAGAAATGTCAAAACATCGCGACCCTGCAAGAAGCTCGATTGGCTACATGCCAAATATCAAGTGCTCGCGGAAGTTAGCCCACATGCCTACAGGTTGGATGTGCCTGGGCGCATCCATCCAGTCTTTCACGTCGACCTACTCCGGCCAGTCCCCGGGCCCCATTGCCTTCGCAGAAACTCGATCAAGAGAGTGCCCCACCGGTGCTGGTGGACGGCGAAAAGATGTACCTTGTTGAAAGAATTCTGGATGAAAGAATGGAAGGTACGCATAAGAAGGTGCTCGTAAAATGGCATGATTACTCGCAGCCTACGTGGGAACCCCTTACTACTATTCGACACACCGATGCATGGAAGCAATGGAAGAAGCATAAAAGGAGTGTCACCTTCTCAAGTCATCTTGCCACAGATTGCCACGACCCCCCGGAAGAGGAAACGTTGGAAGGAGGGAGGTAATGTAACGGGCAAGCCGCTTTAACGGCGGCTGCGCCGCCTAGCTTCTAGAACCTTCCATTGGCTCGAAGCTATAAAATGCTATTGTGCTCTCATGTAGTAGATTCTCTTTCTTTCTTTCTTTCTTCTCTATCTTGATAGTAAACAGCATAGGGACTAGTTAGTTGTATCAACTCACTAGAGGCCTTTCACAATAGTCGACTTTCGAAGCTTTCATGTTTTAACCCCTAGCCGTACTACGCGATCTTAGCGGCTCAGCTTGTTGACGTACGAATTGTAACATACTGGTGGCACGGGTGGATTTCCACTCAGGTAGGGCTACCACCCAGATCTTGCATACAAGTAGGGCCACGATCCTCGGCTACGATGGGGAGTTTGTCGGTGATCCCTTCTATCGCACGTATCGTTGTGGCTCCCTTGGTCGACTTCCGCAGTCCAGGATCGCTATCAAAATCACAGCCGAGCTATTCGCACACACGGTCCGTAACTCCGGTCCCTTGCATAGCACGTTCGATTTCATTAAGACGAGAATAGAACAGCTGAACTCGTAAGAACTGCGATGCGCATTTTCTCCCATTTCTACACTCAGCGTCTGCAACTCTTGACAACGGCTTCGCGTTGCCTTCCTCCGATTTCGTCGATACTCAGGAAAAGGAACATCTCTGAGTTTTTACTCTCTCACTCGAGAGGATCTCGTGTCAAGTTTCCTATCGGTAGCTAAGCCAAGGGGGGGTCTAGACTCAGGGGCCTCTCGAGAAAATGGCTGTTGAAGCCTGCAGTTCAGACATAGTTCAGTCCAAAGGCTGCTACCCGGCAGATCTGCCTGGCAAGCAGCAAAGATGCCTATCGTTCCTTTCTTTCTTTTTCGAAAAGCTAGCATTGCGCGAACTGTTCAGCATCTGGAGATGTCCATTATTTGAATACGAACATCTCAACACTGTCACAGTCCCTGCTGCCCCCTTCGCACGCTGAAACCTGAGGAAGAATGGGACATGGCTCTCACACAACTTCTCCTTTCACCCAAAAGCAATCAATTGAGGCATGTCTGGGAAAATGTCACAGTGGAGCAGCCGATGTCGGATATCCATCTTTTCATATACCACCCTATGCCTCGGCATGACTTGATTCCTCAGTCTGACACACGGGCAGGTTCACATTCACGACAATCGGCTTGTTGAGTTGCTTCCCCCCTACATGCGGATATCTGCTCTTCATGATGGCCGCGTTCACCACACAAGTCTCTCTCCTGCCCGACATCCCGGTCTGCGCCTCAACGTGGCGGCACGAGACGAAGCCGTCGTTGGCGAGAGCGGGAGAGTGGCGGCCGGTGAGATCGACGAGGCTGAGCTTGTTGTTTCCCGCGCCCCCGTCGGTCCAGCCATAGGTGCTCTTCTCCGGAAAAGCAAAGTCACAGCCGGCATCGGCGTCCGTATCCCAGGTCACCCGTTCAGCTCCGCGGCCGTCGTGGACGTGGCCGCAAATTGCCAGTCTCGGCCGCACCCGCCAAAGAGCCCGCCTGAGCGCCTCGCACCCCGCCGCCCGGCCCCCATCCGTCGCCGTTCTGTCGCAATGCGTCCGGGGAGGGGTGTGGGTTACTACAATATCCGTCTCCTGGGGGATCGAGTCCCAGAGTTGGGGGAGGCCCGCGGCGTCACCGTAGGAAAATGCCCACAGGCCGGAACAAGGGGAGTAGGGCGAGCCGAAGATGGTGAACTCGGTACGTGGTCCGGCGGGGCTCTTCAGCCGAATGGTTGCCGAGTCATGATCGAGGTAGGTTATGGATGGAGAGGAAGTCAAAAGTGAGAGGCAGGCTGCCGGCGACTGAAGGTCCTTGTTATGGAAGCGAAGGCCGTGCTCTGCATAGAAAGCAGAGTCCAAGGTGATATCGTGGTTTCCTGATGATGAATGGGTTAGTTTAAACGTCGTCGTCGATGCGGCCAGGTCGATTACCGGCGACGACAATCTTGGCTTCAAAGTCAGCCGCCTCGAGCCATTTTATGGCCTTGGAGAGCTGCGACAAGGAATGGTATCAGCCGACTGTCGCCGCCGAGTAGAGAAGCTGGCTTGCCTCTGAATAGCTCCCCTGGTTGGTGAGGTCACCGGCGTGGATCAAGACGTGGCCCTTGGGCAGCTTGACGGTGCAGTTGTGGGTATCGGCGATGCAGACGATCCTCGTCGGGGCCGTGGCAGCCATGGCGACGCCTGTCTCGGTCCCCCGAGCGGCTATAATTAAATGTCAACTGGCCGTTTGCGTTGCCAGCGTCGTTGGGAATCCTTTGTCTCAGACACGTGGAAGCGCGGGTAAACGGTGGATGTTGGTGGCGGGCCGGAGGCAGAAAGGGAGGGGGCCTAATAATAAATGAGACTTAGGAGAGCCTGTGCGAATAGGCCTCGTAGGACCGATGACTGCGCCATGGAATCTTAGCTAGCCGAAGCGATGCTGTCGCCTGGCAGGGCGGCGATGAGGCGGGATAGGGAGGGGAATGACGGGCGACGCGCGACTTGAATGCTAATTGTCTCGCTCATATGCAAACTTCACAAATGAGACACAATGCCTTTGTGTACGGACTACAAGCAGCGGCGGAGATTGGTCCTGGAGACGCGTGTGTGTTGATATGTTGTTGCTGGCTTTTATTGACCAGTGCTCGAGTTGAACCGTGGCGAGCATGTGAGAGAGCCGAGGCTCGTTACCAAGGCGTTTGCCCTGCTTGTTACTTGCTAGTACACAAACTTCCCCTCATGAATGGTCGAAGCATACATGCCCACGCGTGTAAGTGGTGTTGAGCATGACACCACGGGGACAGGAATAAACATGCCACCCACACACTGCAGAGGATGCGGATCGGTCCAGCTGCCGATCCCTGTCAATGTTCATGCATGTCAATCAATCATTTGGAGATGAGATGCGATACCAACAACGCATCATCCGTCCACGGAAGCCGGAGTTTTCATTAGGGACGAGGGTCCCGGTGCCGCGAAGCCGGTATCTCGGACGTGTGCCGCGCAGGCTGTGCGCAACGTGTGCCTCTATTCTTGGGACTCGTCAAGGCATTCGAGGTCACAGACGTCAATGCTGTGAGGGTGGGGAGGAAAGCTAATTTATGCATCACCAATCAGTCACATGGGTGAGTAGGTGGGCAACACCGAGAGTGTGCCTCACTCATGCTTGGCAAGGTGAAGAGGACCGGGCGGTCGAACGGTTCACGCGGCCGGTATATATGCACGGCAAATCACGCCGTCGTCGAGATTGGAATTGTTTGCATGCGTTTTGGCACTGGGCAGGAATTCCACGGCCTCGACTCCGCATCACGGTCGTGCCGTGGGCCGTGGTGGCGGCTCCTAGACACGCAAACAGTCCTCGAGACCCTTTTCAAGAGTAATAATCAACACGAGCGGCGGTGGTCATAAAGGATGACTTGACCTTGACGAAAAAAAAACCCCCATGGGAAGTTGATGAAGCTGCCACTTGGGCTGTTTTAACATCAACAAGCACGCGTGGATGGCGCTCCGATTCACAGGGCATCGAGGCCCCGTTAGCGCTCGAGTGCCCCCCCGGCTCATGGGCAAAGACATTCCGTGGCGGAGCACGGAGATTTCTTGTCCTTGCAGGAACAGGAGGCCTGAATCTACAGTGGCTTGCGGGTCCCTTCCACGCAAAGCCACCTCCCTCGGGCGCCCCGTCCAGCCACTATCGTGTAGAGCGGCCTAAGCTGAAGGCTTCAGGGCTGTCAGCGCTGCTAGGCCCCACCAAAATTCCACCCCTCTGTTCAGCTCCATGTCCCCCCCAATTCACTGTGCAGCCCCCCTGTCCAGCTCAATCTGCTGCTTGTGGCGCCTCTCCTCCACCTTTTTGCTCCTCCCATCGTCGACTGCCCCCAAACCCTCCTCTCCGCGTCGACGCACCCGCCGCCCTCGCCCCCCCGGCAATTCCATTCATTCCGATCCATGGCCCGCCGCCCGTCGCTTTGGCTTCTGTGAGGCCTCAACCTTCTCCTCACCACATCCTCCGTCCCCCGCCTCCTGACCCGTCCTCGCCTCGCCTCGCTTCCGGGCTCCAACCCCCAAGCCTCCAATCGCGACAAGCATCATCATCACGCAGTCGACGCCAACGGCACCCGGGAACGACAACTCGCTGTCTTGTTGCGTTCCGCTTCCCCTCTCCTCCCCCTTCCGCCGTCTTGACAACCTCTCTGCGTGCCGGCCGATACTCCCCCTCTCCCGTTTACGCCATTCTCGCCGGCAAAGCCTCCTTTGCCTCGACCAATCTCGATCATCCTCTCCATCTCGATAGCCTGCGCTCGCCTCTCCAACGAGCGCCACTCGACGTGCCCAGGGGGAGCGGGGCCCCCGACCGCCGGTTCCATCGCCATGACCACCATATCGACGGCCGCGGCTGCTGCTACCGCCAGCGCCCTGACGCCTCCCAGCAGTAGCCATGGAGAGTCGCCGCGATGGGATTATCCCAATGACGACCAGTTTGAGGTGAGTAGACGGTCCATGGCTCGGCAAACGTCAACCTGCAATGGGCCCGTGCAGCTCGTTTGAATCGGTCGTTGACCGCGTTTTTCTGCAGAACACAACCGACGATCCGGCCCGCGCCGCCTCGCGCCTCCACCAGGCACAAGGGAGCCCTGTTTTGTCGCAAAACGGCCTCTCTTCTCACCCAGTCAAGAGCCACGGCCTGGACTCGGCTGTTCGCCGAATGCACTCGGTAGACAATCTGTCGGCCGCGCGCCGGGACAAGTCTGTGGGCGAGCGCGTCTTGTCCCCCCCCTTGACCGTCGACCACAGAACGGGACGTGCAAGCCCTTCCGACTGGCCTGTGCACAATCAGCAGCCAGCCGGCGATAACCGCAAACGACCGAAACACCAGGCTCCGGGCCTGGATGTGATGCACGGCCAAACCGAGGACTCAAAGTGGATACACAGGGACAAGCTGGCAAAAATCGAGAATGAGGAGCTTCAGGCGGCTGGCATCTTCGTCCCGAGAGCGCGGGCTCCCAGCAAACAGCGGCGGGACCGGAGTCAAAACCGGCTTGCTCGAGGCGTCGAATCGGCTGACTTTACTCACGCTCAATCCAAGAAGAACTCGGCGGCCACCATGGAGCCCATGTCTCCGTCCGAAGACCAGTCAGCCCCCCAGTGGGATCTGCGGACTCCGGAAGAGATTGCACAGGACGAGGCGACCGCCTACTTTACCTCCAATGGTGCCAAGGGCGGTTCTCGCATCCCAGTCGCCAAAATCAGCCCGGCACCGATACCGCTCGACTACTTGGAGCGCGGATCTCAAGCCGCGCGAAAACTCGCCGAGATGGACACGCTATCGTACGCGAAGCCCCGATCTCGCAGCGCCAGCCTGTCCGTTGGCGAGCAAATCAGTAGTACTGGGGCTGGCGGAAGGCGGTCTGTCACGGATACCTCTCCAAAGAAGAACGCGCCGCGCAAGCTATCCGTCACATCCAAGAGCAGCGTCTCAACGAGACCCAAGACGCGGTCGGGGCCGAATAGGGACTCTCCCGTCAATAGGCCATCCACCAGAACCAGCGAAAATGCCACGGCGAACAGGGCGCCGGACGGCGATCCGCCGTGGATGGTCAACTCGTACAAGCCCGACCCGCGTTTGCCCCCCGACCAGCAACTGCTTCCTACCGTCGCGCGGCGACTTCAGCAAGAGAAGTGGGAGAAGGAGGGCAAGTTTGGCGACGCATACGACACCGAATTTCGGCCTTTAAACGACAAGGAGCTCCTCAGGCCAACTCTGCCGCCTCTGGAAACAGGCGAGAGCAGCAACAACGGCGACGGCGACGGCGACGGCGACGATAACAACAAGGTGCAAGAGGAGGGGGATCAGCAGCAGGCGGATGAATGGCCGCTTAAGCAGAGCGCAGCCGTGAGCCCGACCCTGCGAAAAGGATCTTACTCCACCATGCCCAAGATATCCGACAAGATGCCAACCAGCCCAATCGCGAGCCCGCGAACACCCATCACGCAGCAGCCACTACCCGGGCCCGGGCCGCAGACCCAGGAAGTCAAAAAGGTGCCTGAGCCCGTCGACTTTAGCAAAGAGAAAGGAGCCTGTGGGTGCTGTGTCGTTATGTGAGGAATAGGGTCCCTGCAGGTTGCCTGGCGGTCATGAGGAGAATCGGCGTGATGCGCCGGCCACTCCTGCATCCGTCTCAGGAGCCAGCAACGGCAGTTCGGTCAGACTTCTCCGCAGCAACCTGACGACGTTACGAATATTGACCATTTCTATTGACCCGGACCTCTTTTTTTGAAGTCCCCTCGTCTCATCCCGCTGTAACTAGCGATCTCGACTACGGTTTCCATTTGTCGACCTGAACCATATTCATCGAGAAAGCCTGAGACATGGGCCGGTCGACGGGGGACGGGATGCCACGCAACACGTGGGGATATATCTCTTGCGTGATGCAGGAACCGCGCATCTCTCCTAGACGGCCCTGGCCTCGGTCCAGGCGTTAGCTCTTCCTATCTGCATTTGTTCTGTTAATCCCGAATGCAGCTTCTTACTTACACCCCTGTACCTCAACTTTTTTCCTTTCCGGTCTTGTTTTCAGCCCGCATGCCGGCGACCAGTCCAAGATTTCTTTTCCTTTTATCTGACAAGAGGGCGGATTCTGTCTTTACTTGTTTCCCTCTCGGCGCTAGAGAGAAACATCTACGACTTGGCCAATGTGGAGTTTGGCCGACTCGTGGCGACTGGAAGTTGGCGGAGGCGCTCGCGCCTATTGATGGTTGTGAGATCGGGGGAGCCGAGACTCATTCGTGATATAGATACCCTTCGTCTAGCGCCAAAAAAAATCGATTTGGAGGTTTGTGAGGTGGCGAGGGGAGGCCGGCCGCTTCGGAAGCGTCCTACTGACTAGACAAATCGAGACGGGGAATGACACTCGCTTTTGTATGAACGGTGATTGCACAGATTCTGGATGGATGGATACTCGGCGCTGGGGACAATGAGCTCCCGCCAGAAAATCATTGGAAGACGACGAGCGCATCAAGGCTCCAGGGTCTGCGTGATGCGGAGACGGCGAGGAGAATATGTCATCACATTTCGTAGCCGGGACTACGTCCCGCGCATCATACATGAGCGCCCGTCTCAGTTCTTTGCGTCGGCTTTCATGCCTGCCTGCACCCAGTTGCGCGCCGACTCGGCCTTCTTGTCGAGCTCCTCCTCACTTAACTTGTCGTTGTCAAAGGCCGTGTGCTGCGAGGGGACGTGGCGGCCCTTCTCGAAGCCGGGCCGCTCGAGGAGCTTGAGCAGCCACTTTTCGATGTGGGGGAACTCTTTGAGGCTGATGCCCGCCCAAGCTATAGATTTTGTGTTGGCAAGCATGCTCGAGGATGTGTGTGTACAAGCAAGGGTGGGAATAGGGGCGTGTGAATAACAGGGCAAAGACATACTATGAGAGGCAATCCACCCCCAACAGGCAATGTCGGCAATTGTGACGCGATCGCCGACGAGATAGCCTGATTGCGACTTTTCTAGGTGTGTTTCCATTGTCCGGTATAGGCGGCGAGTCTCATTGCCGTAGCGGTCGATGCCATACTGGATCTTCTCCGGCGCGTATCCTGGAGACGGCATCAGCCCACGCCCTGCCTACGGTTTCTCATCCCACGGGAATGAAACAAACTCTTGAAGTGGTTCGCTTGCCCCTGCATCGCCCCGAGGCCTGACATTTGCCACATCAACTATAGAGGCTAGCCATCAGCAAACACCCAGCCGCCGGCGTGATTTAAAGGGGGCGAACTCACCCAGCTCGTCACCTCCCAGTGCTCAGGAGTGTCCCGGGGGTAAGAAAGCTTATGGCCCTTGTCGTAGCGGTCGACGAGGTACTCGAGCATGGCACCGCTCTCAAAAACGCGAATCTGTCGGCCGTCGGGCAGCTTGTCCGTCAAGGCGGGGATGCGGCCGTTGGGGTTTATTTCGAGGAACCACGGCTCCTTTTGCTCGTTGTCCATCATCTTGATGGGGTGAAGCTGTAAGGGGAAACATGGTCGTCGGTGAGCGGGCGCATGTTCGCATCCGAGCAAGAGGAGGGAGAGAAGACCACGCTGGCTTGTGATGATTGTACCTTGTAGTCCAGCCCCAGCTCGGCGAGCAGGATAGAGGCCTTGATGCCGTTGGGCGTCTGTGCCGTGTAGAGCGTAATATCAGTCTTGGTAGGCATGGTGACGAGTAGCTTTTCAAACTGTCGGAGGCGAGATGGCGTGGAGCAGTGAAGCCGCAAAGAATATAGCCAAGTCAGCCGAGAGGGGAGCGAGATACGGGCAGGTGGACAGCACAGGCTATATGTATGCACTTTATAAAGCAGCGCGCCTTGCCCGCGAACCAAATGGATGAGCCTCGACTGAACCGGGCGTGCCGGCCGGTGCGGCGGGCTTGGTAATCAAGCGGCAGTCCGCTCCTGGAGAAGGGGAGCCAATAGAGGCGCGGGGGTCCGCGCCTTTAAAGTCGGCGCGGACGTCCGCGCCTGTTATGTAAGCCCGGCTGGCCATTGTGGGCGCCGCGAACAGCGCCCGCCGCGACCGCGCTGGCGCGCCAGTTTTACTGCACATATCTCCCGCACATCGGCAAAAGTACTCAACGGCCACAGCGTCAATTTGAGTGTCAATCGACTCAAATTTTTTTAATCTAAATTGCTGTGGTTTCCAACTGTGGCGCACTTATACAGACCGGTCCTAGCAGACGACTTATATGCGGGAATAGTTTGCCTGCTGTTCCTCCGAGTCTCTCGCAGTCAGCCCATATACCTGCAGTACCTCTTTCTCGTGAGAAAGGCTGCGCTTGCATTTCCTCGGCCACCCGGGCATCTAACCGCTCTTCTTCTGCCTTATCCCAATCAAGGTATGCCATCATCTCTTCCTTGGTCCATTTCCTCGAGCCGCAGCTCCTTGACATTTGCTTCCAGTCGAGGCACCAGTCATATTCAGTCTTGCTGTAGCGCAATGGCAAGCCCATTGCCTTTCGGTATGCCTGGTTGGTCTTGAGATTGCCGCGAGGCTGTGCTCTATACCAAGAGTCTCTTGCCCTGACATACCTCTGATAGATGGCTCGTGGGTCATCATATCGTAGATTCTCCGTAGTCTCTGTAGCTTCTGCAATTCCTGTCGAGACTGCAGCAATTGTAGACACCGTAGAGACTGTAGTGACTGCAACCGTGATTGTCTCCATGACTGCTGCAGTCTGTGCAGTCTCTGAAATTGCTACTGCTTGTGCAGTCTGTGCAGTCTGTGCAGTCGCTGCAATTGCTGCCGTCTCTGCAGTCTCTGCCGCCCGTGCCTCTGCCCGCTGCAGTATGTCGCTATAGCGTAAAGGACAATTGCGAGATGTCATGATGTGCCCTTTCTGGTGGCATTTGCTGCATGTAGGTGGCGCCTTTGGCCGTAGAACTGGCTCTATGGCTTCAAATGCACTTGGCTCGCGCTGTGTGGATGACTGTGTTATCCTCGATGTGGCGACAAGTTGGTCCAATCGCCGACGAGGCTCTATGAGGACCTGACCAATCTCTTTGGTATCCCGTCGAAGGCGCCAATGCGTATGAAAATGTTGTGGCCGGAGTGGCAGATCTTCCTCTATGAGCGGCTGTAATGTGTGCGCACAAGGGAGACCGTGAGACTTGGTGAAGCTGCCTGTGCAAGCAGGGATGTCTTTCTCGTTGAGGCGCTTGTGTTGCTTTGCAACCTGTCGCAAGGCTTCGTGTGATACCCAGCCACGTACCGTGCTATATACGGTTCCAGAGAGCTCAATTGGCATCCGTATATGCTGCCTGGCTTGGTTGGCTTGTAGCTCGGCCAGTTGGTTGAGAAGAGCTTGCTTGATTGCCCTCGTTGCTTCGAAGAGGTCTAGTGTTGACTTCTTAAGGTGGCTCTTCAATAATGCGTGGATGCCTTCCACCCGGGAAGTAGCCACATTGCCGAAATGAGCATATTGATCAACCCAGGCCTTGACGAGCTTTTCCTTATACGGGTCCAACCAGGTTTCCCGTATGTAGCTAACCTCCTTGACGTATCGTGGTACAAAGCGCTTCTCCAGCTCTTCAACTTGTTGATCGAATGTCTCCTCATCTCTCGAGCTCACGATTGAGTGCCAATACCCAAAGAACTCAACCCATTTCTCATCACTGTTAGAGTTCTCATCCTCACGGTCGAATGCTGGTTTGCAATAGCTAAGCACCGCCTTGTTCGCATGCCAGATGCAGAGCAGAGACCTTGACGCAGGAAAGCACCGGGAAATTGCGTTCATGCAGGCAAGGCAACGATCTGTAAGGATAACGGATGGCTGGCGAATGTCATATAACTCGTATATCGATTGGAGTTGGTCCAGTGCCCAGATGTAGTCATCTTCATCTTCACCACTGAGAAAGGCAAAGGCAATACAGAATGACCGTTGGCAGGCATCAACGCCGATCATATCGAGCAGTGGCATCTTATATTTGTTCGTCTTGTATGTGCAGTCTAGAAGTAGTAATTCTGGGTATGCGTTGAGGTATTCTAGTGACGCCGGGTGTGCGAATAAGACCGCTGTGACTCGGCCGTCATGGTCAAGCTGTATGCGGGTTTGGAACCCCTCGTTGTCAAGCTCATTGGCAAGGGCATGCATTGTGCTCTGCCCAGCAAGAAGCTCTCGTCTGCGCTGTGCGATACAGTTATATATGTCTTGCTGTGTCGCTCCTTGAGCAGTCTGAGAGCTCTGGCGCATATATGTCCGGATATCCTTTGGTGCTATGCCGGCGCTTGCGAGGTTCCCAATAGCTGACTGGTCAGTTGAGGAGAGGGCACGATGAGCTGGATGTGCTGTAATGTGCAGACTGGGCTCATGGTTGTGGACCGACTTCTCCTCGCCTGGGCGATGCCTGATATACCAGTACGACTTATCAAGGCTCTCTTTCGCATTGATGGAAAACTGGCATCCAGTGATACGGGAGCTTGTAGACCGTTGCCGTTCAGCTGGCTTCTGGTCCTTGCTTGTATGAGCCCCTGGTCTACCTCCACGATCACAGGCAAATGTGACTGTGCGTCTTCCGGACCGCGGGTCTCTCGTGGACTTGCCTGTGGTGAAGGCATAGCCTCTTGGAGCTGCCCACGCATTAATTGAGACAAGAAGGGACTCTCGCGAGTCGAATTGACCCTCAGGAGGAAGGCAATCGTCAGGGAATTCAGTAAGCTCCATATTGGCCTACTCTGCGTAAGGGGCGGCGGATAAATTGGGCCGCAATGGCGGCGCGCTGACCCTCCGTGGATATGGTCGTGATATGCTTGCCACAGTACGGAGGGCGAGAGAAAGGAGAGGACAGGTCGGGGCCGGAGGCGGGCCCGACTATCTTCCGGCTGGGCTTACAAAACAGGCGCGGACGTCCGCGCCGACTTTAAAGGCGCGGACCCCCGCGCCTCTATTGGCTCCCCTGGAGAAGGGCATGATTAGAAATCGGGACCTTTTATGTAACAGCGTCAGGACTCGGCAGATGTTCAGTCATGGACTAGGACTGTTGCATCTCGCGGGCAGGGTCTAAGTTAGCCGGGACGCTGTTTCGATCCAAGGGAAGCCTGGTAGTTGCAAACTCATCATATACTTATCTTGCACCTCCCCTATCATAATCGGATTAGTCCGACGCCCTTATAGCTCAGTGGTAGAGCGTGTCACTCGTACCGTTTCACAGCGTCATGACAAGGTCCGCCGTTCGATCCGGCGTGGGGGCAGTAAAATAATTCGGCATAGGATTATTTATTTTTGTTTTTTTATAGTAGCTTGTCTCTATATCGTCTTCTTTATCAAGTAAAAACCGATTGATCGAGTTGTTGGTCGGCGTGGAGGAACATGGGGTCTGGGTTCTATTCTTTCGGCGGGCATGGGTGCTCTTGCCGCTTAAAGGCGTAACGGCCCAGTGCTGGGTGTGTCGGTGAGTCGTGCTCCTGCCGTTCCTATTACCATGGGGAAATGCCTATGAGTACCGGGTTGAAATACTCGAATATGCTGACGGGGTTTAATGGCTCTGTCAACACGGGAACTAACTTATGGTCGACCAGGAACTATTATGTCTTTTACGACATCTCCTTCCCCTCCCTATCCGGCCATCCCAACCTCCAATGCAAAGTACTCAGCGTCCCCGGTTCGCCGAGGGGTCTGCTGCCCCGCTCCGACGAGGATAATGTCGAGGTGTCAAACGAGTCCCTGAGCATCTCCGGGTTGCCAGATGAGGATGGGGTCGCTGCCTAGCGGCATTTCATGAGGCATGGAGCGGAACCAATGAATGCTTGTCGAGTCTGCAGCCTAGAGATTAGCAACGGCCGCCTGTCAGACTCAGGAAGTTAGTGCCTGTAAGAATCCCCGCATCGCATGCCCTTTTCGCCATTGACTTGATGCGCAACCGACAGTCGACAAAATGAACGACGCTCACCGTCAACTCCTCTCCGGCAATGCCGCAGCGCAGCATCAGTCGCCGCTATTTGGCAAGCTGCCCGGCGAAGTGCGCAGCCAGATCTTTGCCCTCGCCCTGTCCGACTATCCGGATCCGGACCCGGACCACCAGTACGCCACCGAGACGTGCTACACGCGGCCCTCTTACTTTGCACCGCGCAAGACCGACACGGAGCTCCTCCGCACTTGTCGAGCCGTCTATACAGAGTGTTGGCACATGCCTTTCGCCCTGAGAGAACAGATGCACTGGGTGACGGACGCCGCCAGAGCACCGCCTGGTTCCGAGAGCCTCCAGCTGCGCCAGCGTCTCGCGCACATCGCCGAGCTGCAGGGCGAGACCGAGATTGGCAGCCTGCGCATCTTCGCACAGATGTACATGCTGGAAGAGGGAAAGGTGGCGACCCTGCTGGCGACTCCGTTCTTGCATCCTCGCACGGTAACCTTGACCATCCGGCATGCCGACTGGTGGTACTGGGAAACGGATGATCCCCTGTATTTCGAGGGAAGCTGGATTGAGGGCTTCTGCGACGCCATGTCTAGCTCTGTTCGCGAGGTACACGTCGAGCTCGAGTCCCTGGAGCGGAAGAAGCAGCAGGTCGACGACATCGCCAAGCAGATGGCCGAGCGATGGTGCTTCAAGAGACGGGACGGCGTGGTGCTCTACGCCGATGCCACCAAGGGTGCCGCGCAGGTGAGCCGATGGTCCGGCACCAGTACCTGGCTCGAAGAGAGGTGGGTTCGAGACGAGACGGAGCCGGGCCGGATTGACTACTACGTCGTGACTGTGTCGTTCCGGCCCGAGATTGTGCTTGAGCGACAGGGCGGGAGTATCGGCGAGAGGGCAAGGAAGACTGCTCGGCGTGGCTACTCCGACACGAGTCGGTTGAAGTTGCATCTGCCGGAGGCGACCAGAATGTCATATAGGAATCCGAGTATATACGTTGGGACTCCGGAACCGCCGGTGCACACATCGTAAGGGGAGGAGTGGCCCGAAGCATTAGTGATTGACGGAGACGAAGATGACTGGGAGACGGATGAGGAAGACGTGGGGGAAGACGACGAGGAAGACGAGGATGGGGAGAACGAAAACTATCAGCTTGGTACTCATAAATCATACCGATTTTTTTATTCGGAGCTCTACCTATATGACCAGGGAGAGGAGTATTTCCGGCTTCAGTGTTATTAGTAGCTCAGTCCTGAGGCTCATCGGATGTAAGCCATGAGCCATCTCGATCGGGCCTCGAAATCGAAGGGGAACCGTTAGAACCAGAGGTCCTACGGCCTGCCTATCAAGGCGATAATGCGAGGCAGCAATGGATCTGGGAGCAAAAGAGACTCGTGATTGAAATGATCTAGTGTTAGGGGCTCGTGTATGTGAGGCGCTTTGACTACTTTGACCACTTTTCCTTCCTTAATGTCTGAAGCATAGGGGCTTGTACACGACGGCTATATACTCTAATTAGACTGCCATATATGCGGAATTATTGTTCCTTATATTTGCGCTGTCGTGAAACTTAGGAGGGTGGAAAAGGACCTCGTATCGAGATAAAGATTTGCGTATGTGCAAATAGCAACGTACTTGATTCATCGCGACTAGATTCGAATCCGTGAGGCGAATAAGGTCGTTTATAATAACGCAAGTTAATATAAATGCCGAACTAACAGAATTGCATTGATGGTGACCCTGGATGCGCACCACTCGTAATAGAAATGCGCCTAGTATAGGGTATCTCTCCGGCCGGTAACTTCATGTGGCTCTAAGGGACGAAAGGTCGGCGTGACTGGAGCCTTTGGAGTTTCTGTAACTTCTATAGAAAACTGCCGGAATCATGTGTGTCGCAATCGCTAGTATATCGACACTGTCCATGTTGTTGTCATCGTCACACTTAGTGAAGTCGAAGAACAGGCGATGAGGTCGTATATACTAAAAGCAAGGGAAATGCTGCAGGACAAACGGAAGAGGGCGACTGGACGCCATTGCGCATATAATGAGTGATGATAAAAGACCACCAAGGCTTCGAGAGTCTTCTGAAATGGCACCGTCTGGTCAACGTTGTGTATCATTTAATTGCTGGTAAAGTAGTTGGCAGCGAGGATAGGCCCGAGCTGGGTTTTTCTCTCCCAGTCATCCAGGCTAAATCTCATTCTGGCCCAGTTGCCCACAATGACCCCCTCGTGCGCCGCGGCGTCGAACCCCGCCGGCTGCTCGTACAGGAAGAAGCAGTACCGATGCGGCGCGCTGCCGGGAGGCGGCCCCGGGCCAATGTAGCTGACCACCGAAGATCCGACGGCCTTGAGCCCCGGCGGCCCACTCCCCTTCTCCGACTTGAGGCCCGGCTGGATCCAGTGCAGGATGGGGCCGAGGACGGTACACGAAGGAAAGGGGGCGTCGATGTCGAGCCCCATGACGAGGTAAGTCCCGTTTGGGTCGGGGACGTCAAAGTGTAGTTGGGGAGCCTTTTGGGCATCTGGGGTTTCAATGCGCATATGAGTGAGTCTATTGAGGCTGACTGATGAGACAGAGATTCTTACCTGCTCGAGGGACATACAGCCCTGGTTCGACGGCGTGGGACCCGATTGTGAGCCCGAGGACCTTGGACTTGTCCCCGACCTTTAGGAGGGCCAGTCCGGTCGGCACACTATTGTTGGACGGCATCAGGAAGTACGACCAAGACGATGGCTGGGTGCTGAACTTTAATGGGATACCTTCCTCATCCACATCTTTGGGTAAGCTGGGAAACCATTGGCATTACTGATCCTTTTATTTCATCGCTCGTTATTCGTACCTTTGGATTTGGGCCTGCCGACGGCGGCGCCGCAGCTAGACGCGCAGCTTAAATCCGGCCTGTCTCCGCCGGGCCAACTCACCAGCTGCCGCTTGCTCGGGCCGAGAGCGGCAAGCTCCTGATACTGGGCAAGTGCTTGTGCATTTGCCGGATGACTGATGGCCCACTTGGGCCGCGGAAGCGGTAGATCTTGCACTGTTAAGTCACGCCGCCGTGCTTGATGCTGGACGTACTCGCCAACCACGCGGTAACACGCATATCAAAGGTCAAGTCACTGCCCGCAAAGTCCGTTGTGCTTCGAACATCGAAACGATGATCAATTATTTAGGTGGTTTAGTTTACTTGCTCACGGCTCAAGTGTTGAGGTTATGATTCGAGCTGTCTTTGCCCTCTGGCCGTTCGTCATGCCGCACGCTAGGGCTTTCTTTTTCGGCAGGCCACTCGCACAAGTTTGGTCTGAGCCGAGGGACCTATCAAGTCAGGACGTCGACCGGCCCGGAGGATAAAGTTCTCCGCATTCTCTTCGAGTCAAGGACTGGAAGAACCAAACCAACTCATACAATCAGTCTTCATACCAATGGCTGAGCAATCCAACCACGCCATCGTCTTCGGAGCGGCCGGCCTGCTGGGGTGGTCCGTCGTCAACCAGCTCCTCTCGGGCTACCCCCGCGCCGGCTCCTTCTCCAAAGTCACAGCCGTCGTCAACCGGCCGGTTTCCGAGGCCGACCTATGCCTGCCCGAGACATCCCCGCAGCGGCCCGCGTTGCAGGTCGTGTCCGGCATCGATCTGCTGCAGGGCTCTGGGGATGCTTTGGCGCGGCAGCTGGCAGACAGGGTGCCGGATGCGGGCCGGATCACACATGTCTTTTACTTTGGTACATGGCCTTGCGTGGCTTAGGGGCTGAGAAGATGCTGACGAATTGATGCGAGTCTTCTCGAGCTTCAATGAGGATCACGTACGGGAGTGCGAGATTAACTGCGAGATGATGCAGAGGGTTGCCGATGCTGCCAATATCCTGACCTCCTCGCTGCAGTCGTTCGTCTACCCCGGCGGCACACGAGTATGACCTCCCCTGTCATCCGGCCCTCCTGAGTCAACCCCTGACAGCACGGGTCGTTGCGGGAGACTGGCTGAGAACGACTCAGGGATATGGAATTTACGTGCCGGGCGGGACATTCACGGCCCCATTGCAAGAGACACTTGCAGACCAGCTGCCGGAAGACTACGCCAGGACCTGCGCGTACCCGTGGTTTAGACAAACTCTCACCAAGGCAAGCCGCGGCCGAAGCTGGTCCTGGACAGAGGTCTGCCCAGACGCAGTCGTCGGGTTCAGCCCCCACGGGTCAGCGTTTTCCCTCGCCTTGCACTGGGCGCAGTACCTCTCTCTCTACGCTTTCAACCACGGTATCCAGCCCGGGAAAGTCCCCCCGTCCGGCAAAGAAATCCGCGTCGCGTTCCCGGGCTGCCAGGAAGCTTTCGACAGCAAGTTTACGCCCGTCTCGGGCAAGATACTGGGTCGCATCTCGATCCACGCAGCCCTCAACCCGGGCACATGCGGAGGCAAAGTCGTCAACATGGCTGACAACGACCGGCCAACCTCGTTTAGCAAGGTGTGGCCCGCCATTGCCTCCTGGTTCGGCCTGGTGGGTGTCGGTCCCGCGGGCGACGAGGGGGCACTCAAACCGGGCGAGTATGTTGCGAAGCATAAGCAAGCCTTTGCAGAGCAGAATCGGCCCAAGGCACTCAAGTGTGGCGTGGGAGCGGGGAGCGCGCAGCTGGATGCCGTGGGCTGGTGGCTCAAGTTTGATCGCCATCTGAGTCTCGAAAGGCTTCGGGTCTTGGGCTTCCAAGAGCAGCGGGATCCGGTGGAGGGATGGCTGGGCGCGTTTGAACAATTTAGAGCTGCGGGTATCATCCTTTGACAAATCGAGGAGAGCATGCGTAGATGTTAAATTTCAGGACCCGACGAGCAATGCTACGTCGAGTTCAGGAAAACAGATGGATATGTATATTCTGAGCTTGGTATCACATCAACATTCTACCCTGTTATTCATGTCCATATCATTCTGTTTCTTCGCTCGCAGATCCTGAGCCCCTGATCCCCTGAACCCTGTCCGCCTGGCTTCATCGGCCGCTGGATCATCTTATCATCTTGTCTCCACCGCCAGCAGTTCTCCGAGCCTTATTGACATGTATACGGCCTCGGCGAGAAGGAGAGAAATATTTGCTCATCGGCGGATGCAGCAGCACTTCTTCTTGAAGAGACCGCAGCCGTCGCCGGTCATGTGTGAGAAGCCCCGGCGGCCGCAGTAGTCCTCGCACTTGCCGGCCCAAGAGGCCGAGCAGGAGCTTGGGTGAAAGCAATTGTCGGCCCGAGCCTCGACAACCTGTGCATATGACTCTGAAGGAGCGGCGAAGGCGCCGGCGATGGTGGCGAGGATGACGAGACCGAACTTCATGTTGGTGAGGGAGGTGTTTGGACTGGGCCTGTGGTCTCGAGGAGTAGAGTATTTGAGGTCTTTGTGATCTGTTGTTTGAATGATGAGCGATCCGGAGTCGGGAAGACGCGAGACCGTCCGCCTGTATTTATATCTTAGGCAAGTCTGCGTTGGAGTCTCAGCTCGGGGTATACCTCTATTCATGGCTCTATGCCGGTGTATGCCCATCAGAGGCGATCCAGGTTTTCCAATCTCCACAGGGGGATAAGACGAAGACCTCCTCCACCCTGTTTCGTGGTAGCATCGGGCTGACGGTCTCGGCTAAGACCTTGAGCTGAGAGACCAAAGCACCGGCCCGGCGGGGCCAAGGTTGGCGTCGTGGTGAAGCTGACAGGATGTCGATCTCCCAGCTTCCTAATCTAATGCACTCAGACATACTAGGCTCCGGCTAGAGACAGGGGACGGCTGCAGTTGTGTTCCGGGGTTGGTCGGCCGACCGCCCGAGACGGGCAGCGTCCGGTCATGTGCCAAGTTTCTTGTGAAGACATCTCGGACGCCCCGCTGCGCTCTATTCCAGTTGTCTCTACTGTATGATTCACGCTCTACAAATGTCTTTGTGTCTTTGCTTTGGGGTTGCAAAGCATACCTTATTGATATTTCCGTCTCAAGATGTCGAGGCTGGCATTAGAGGCACATGCGACCCGCCGCCCAGCGCGTTCGCAAGGATCGTCGTATAGCCCGTATTGGCCGACTTGTCCTCGTCGATCCCATGCCACGCCGAGTGCGGAGGCTTTTGCTGTCTTGGAGAAGGCATTGATTGGCCTGTGAGTCTAGGAGTGACCGAGTGAAAACCCTTGTCTTGCCATGCCTTTTGAGGCTGAACATGCACACCGTTAGCCGGAGGGTGAGGCAAGAAAGCATGTTTTGGCTAAAAATATCCGCGAGCCCTCCAAGCCTAATCACAAAGTGCAGGACGGGAGCGCAAGAATAGCAGTAGGGATGGAGCGACGCCAGGATTCCACAGTAGCACGACGACCCTGCCCTGATCTCTTACAGCCTCATTGTATGACCCGTCTATTCCATTGGTTCCCCAGGATTAGCGGCTTGCATGCAGATGAAGCTTATCGGCCGGGTGGGCGGTAGCTGTCACACCACCACCACATCGTGCATGTACTTGGATGGGTTTGTAGTTCTTGATCCCATTGTCACCCGCAGAGTGCAGCGTACCACGCATGTGTCTGATGTGACATGCACCTAGGGACTCCCGGAAAAAGGAAAAAGCCTCCTCTTACCGATTCGGCAACCTGTGCGGCCATCTGGTGTCATGAGCAAGCGCCTCGAGGGCTGGCCTTGGGCATATATCGTGTGGACTGGACGCTCGCTTCGAAAAGGCATTCCCTCGACCCTGATTTAGCCGGACGACCGTCACTTTTCCCGTGCTCGTGCTCGTCGTTTACACGGGGCCGGACAGTTTGATGGACCGGGTGACTGCGCGGAACCGCCATCTAAGTCCCTGCACATAGAAATGGGCACCCCCCTGTTTTGGGCACCCCAAAAAAATCACGACCATTTTCAACACCATTAATTCAATCCCTTCTCACTGCCCACCACCGTGCACTACGATACAATCGTCACCTATTTCTGAAACCTCAGCTTCGGTTTCATCAGATTCTTCATTCTCAGCTGCGTTCACCTCCTCCTGCGCCCGTCGTATTGCCTCAATATTGGCGAACCTCGAATTCGGGCTCGTGACCACCCTCTTCCTTTTTTTTCGGCTTGACGGCCGCCAATTGTGTTTCCAGTGCCTGAATCTGCAATTGAGCTTTTGCTAAAAGGCCATCCTTCTCGTCAAACCCTTTTGTGATCTTCCTGAACAGCAATCTCTTCGTGGGCACGTCGTCGTCTAGCTGGTTGAATTGAACTACCTGAACCTTCAGATCTTGCGAGCGCCTCGGGGTCGACCACGCAATCTGGGATGTGTCTGATTGCCAGTCACTGGTGGGTAAGTGGCTATTGAATGCATTGGCCACATTTTTCGCGTTCTTTTGCGTCTGTTGCTGTTCTCCAGCAGAAGAGGGCTCAAAGTGGCTTCGCCATCGACACCGGCCACAAACCCGTCGCTTTCCAGCCACCCTTGATGTTTGACACAGTGAGCGCTTGCTCGCGTGCTTTCTGGTAGCAGGAAAGAAAGTTTTGCTTGCCGACTGGGCTTGAATCGGTCAGGAGGCTGAGAAATCCGACCTGTTTGCGGTAGTAGTGCTTAAGAGCGGAGAAGACAGACAAATCGAGCGGTTGCAACACATGAGAGGTATGGGAGGTAAGAAAAGAAGGTGAATCTGATGCTGGTAGCATAGATACATGAAGTCAACCGTCTCGTGACTTCCGTGGCCGTCCAATACTAGCAGTCTTCGCTCCGAAGGGTCGGGTGGCTGGGTTCTTGGAATGAACACCTTTTCGAGCCACTCCACCGCAGTTTGGTCCGAAGTCCAGCCGTTCTTTGTCGCAGTGAATTGCCAGTCACTAAAAGTACTGAGATCTTCTGGGAACCACTGTTGCTGGACCGATTTGCCCTTGAAAATGACGAGTGGAGGGAGGAAGGTGCCGGCAGCGGACACGCACTCGATGAACGACGTCCAGACCCGAGAACCAGGCGTCTTCTTTTGTACAGATCGTTTTTCAGCACTGCCAACGACCAGGCCATTCTCCCCAAGTCCTTCCATGATGCCTGCTTCATCCATGTTGTACCTGTTCTCCGGCTTAATAGCCAGAATCTCGGAAGGAAGAAATTGTTGAACCAAGGCCGAATTACCTCGGTAGAAGCGCCGTTGACACGCGCAGAGTCTCTGTGATGGCACTTCTGGGTCCGAACTGCAGGATTTCGTCTTAAAAATGCTTGCATCCAGTGTTTTCCGAGCGTGTGTGGTCTCCTTTGACGGCGAGCATGCGCTGCGCGAACTGCCTGATCTGCGAGTGAGTGGGAGGAAGGCCCAAGGCGTCCTGAATGAGAATCCATTCGGTAAGTTGCTTTTCCTGTGTCTGAGAAAGCCTCTGAAGAGCAGAAAATGCATCCTTTCTGCATTCGTGACCATGCATGCGATTGTAAAGAGTTGCCCTCAGGACGCCCCAATCGCGAGCAGCCTTCTTGGCGGATCCGCCATTGGCGATTGCCTCAAGGGCGCTGTGAATGTCAGACTCTGTATATTTCATCAGTAGTGGCTTGAAGACACATGCGTCAATTTTTTAGCAGATTGGATGCGTTTCCGCGGTGAAATTTGCTGTTGAAGTTGACGCAGCCGTTTAGGTTGGGCACCCATCTTGGGTGCCCAAAACAGGGGGGTGCCCATTTCTATGTGCAGGGACTTACCAACTAAGGAGCAACAGAAAAACGACGGAGTGTCGCAGCCATGAGAAGGAGATCTGAGTCTTATTTGCCATATTTTTGCTATAGCTAGAAGTGCCTCTGTATTTTATTGAGCAACTGCTGGCAGAAAGCTTGCCCTGAAAAATAGCCGTCTTAATTATTGCACCCGAGTTACAGGGACGAAGATGGCGGATATGGACATCGGCCGGCAGGCCATACTTGGTAGCGACATAAAAAGTCAACGACTGCTAAGATGGAGATGGACGTGGGAGACGTCGGTTGTTTGATTATATCGGCTGACCGGGTTTCGTTGGTCTGCACGATCAGCCGCCAAGGCATCTGGGCTTCCGCTTTGGAAAGACCGAGGCCGTCCCACCCAGGACCCTGAAGAAATTGGCGACAGTGACCCTCTTTCTATTCACCTGCTCGGTCTAAGAAGGCAAGCTGGGCCGGCGGGTAACTAGATCGTCCGTCTCTCTAGAAGCATGGTCGGATGGTTGGGCACTTCCTCGACTGTCTTCGTTTGCCTCGACTAGCTGTCCGTCGTCTCGTTCTCCGTAGGCGCCTGATAGCTTAGCCTACTAAAGACGGGCTCCGTGGATCTTGGCAGCGACGAAAAAAAGAAGTTTAGGACCGCCGGGATAGAAACGGACCTTGGGTGTTACAAAAATCTAGTCCCACCCATAGGGACTCCTTCCCGACCAGTTGAGTTGGCCTAGACAAACGAAGGCCTCAAAAAATAATAATTTTGTAGCAAGGAGATTGATAAGGGCCAGAGCCGTAAGGTTGGGTCTAAAGGTAATTAGGGCATGGCAAAAATGTGGTCCCGCTGGGGCTCGAACCCAGGATCTTGAGGTGGCTATTACTCAAAGGAGATGTGATGGATCACTCATCCCAGATTATTAGTCTCACGCTTTACCAACTAAGCCACGGGACCTCAATGATTTCGATGATAGTCATAAAGCTTATAGTGGTATATATAGCAAATGGCCGAGAAGCCAGAAGTCGACTTTCGATTTTTCGTTTCTGGTAGTTAATAACGAGAAGAGGACTTAACTCTCTTCAAGGGCCTTAGAGCAGCTAGCCTAATGCTACTGCCAACTGAGCTATAGGACCTATTGCTTTCTGTTGGAAGCAGTATAATTATAGCTCGTGACATTGGGACTGACTCAATGGGCTGTATAGCCACCACAGGCACAACACAAATGCAAAAGATACTAGCACTTAGTTAGCCAACGTGGAGGACCAAGCAGCAGAAAAGGGGGCAAAAAGAAATGCTCGCTTGCAAAAGCTGTATCGCTCTCGTAGACGATTTTCGGGCAAGACGCGCATAGATTTTTGTCGACCATTGCGAGCAAGCTCTCTTTGGCCATGTATCGGTGACAGTCTAAGGATCAATCAGGAGAAGGAAAGCGTTGTAAGTTTGAGGCGGCGCGGTCTGTGTTCTTCCCGACACGTGCTGTTCTGTTGGTCGGGCTTCACACTGAGCACCCGCCAGCCTTGGAGACGCCTTGTCCAGGTGGGCACGAACTATTTCTCTCCAAGGATACTCGGCTTACGAACCAAGGCTACTGATGATCGGCAGAGACTCACGAGAATGAAGCTATTCATGTAACGTTTATTTATTTGTGTCCCGTGTGGTCTAGACCCGGTTTATAGAGCGTTTTGCGCCCCGTTTGATAGTATCAACGTGCCTTCATTTAGGATGTTTCTCTGGTGTCAAAAATACCCTCCCAATCAACTTCAGCCAGGAGTCCAGCTGGGGGGCGCTTGGGGTGTCTGAGGGGATCGTCAGGTTGTATGCAATGTTAAAGGCGGGCGCCTCAACAGTCTTCCAATGGGAGTCATCTTGGGCGTCGCCAAGAAGACCTAGGACGCGAGCAACAAGCTTATACCTGCCGGGAGGAGCGTCCTCGCCGGAAGGGAGCGCGCCATTCCACACAATCCACTCGCTCCCTCTGCATAGCGCTTGGATCGACCGGGAACCTGACCAATAGTCTTGATGCCCTTGATGTCAGTAATCATAGACTCGGGGACACAAGCACCAGTCGAGGGCGACGAGTCCGTCTGGTTGGACGCAGCAGGTGCGGGCTCCTGGCTGTGGTCCGCCGGACAGACGTTAAGCGGCACAATGTAGACGTCTACTTGGGGGCTTGCTAGTAGGAAGTTTAACGCAATTCCGGGTTTGGCGTAGGTTACCAAGTTCGGCGGAGACGTCACACAGCCATCCGCCTGGGGTACCGGTGGCGCTTCCCCCCTGAGAACAAATGTGTGGTTCTCCGGGACTCCTACCCACCAGTCCTCATTCAAAAATTTCCCTTGGTACCTCGTTGAAGGGGCCAGGTCCTGGGAATTCGAGGTGGAAAGGAGCGAGCCGGCGAGGCCGAGGTACGGGACGGTAAGCGAGGTGCCGTCGGAGCCGTTGACGGCAACCCAGCCAGACCATAGAGGCAGACGCTTGGAGTCGACTCCTTGGGGATCCGAGGCGGAGACGTCAATAGTGGCCGACTGGCCGGGTCCGATGGTGACGGAGCTCTTGCTGAAGTTGATGGCAGCCTCGGCTTGAATACGTCGATGGGGATGCTGCTTGCGCTCGAATTTCTCCCCGTCGAGTGTGTACATGGTGTCGGCTGCAATGTTGGAGAGCTCGTACACTACCTCGGACTTGGCTGTATTCTGAATCTCGAGGCTGATGGAAGAGGGTCGGTGATCTGTATCGTTGAAGTGGAGGCTGCCGGGCTTGACCAGCGTTGCGGCGTGGGCGGCGTTCCAAGCCTGGACGAGGCCGCCGCCCTGCTGCATGACGGTGAAGAGGCCCTTGGGCCCAGTCACCTGGCTTTGTTCGACCTGCGGAGCAGCGTTGGCCATGAGCAGGCTGTTGATTTCGGCAGGGTCGAAAGTTCCGCGGGCCTCGGCGATGAGGGCCATGATGCCACCGACGAGCGGGCAAGCGAACGAGGTGCCCGAGTCATTCATGTACCCGCCTCTCTTGAGCGGGACTGGGACCGAATTACCAGGGGCACCTACCTGAGGCTTGATATCCAGGTCCCAAGTTGGCCCCATAGATGACAAGGAGGCGATGCTGGCGCGTTCAGTGAAGGAGTTTACAGCCGTGACGCCGCGGCCGGCGGCAGGATTCAGAACGTCAAATGGGGCATAACCGGTGTTTCCAATGGCAACGACACAGGGAATGCCCTTTTCAACTATGCGCGAGACTACAGTTGCGGCCAGGCTATATGGCCAGCTGAATCCCGGGAAGCCCGTCGACGAAACGATGATCTTGGCGCCTTCGTCATACGCCCTGACCCAGCCGGCCGCAAGCGTGTCCTCTTCCACTTGTTTGTTGCCTTTAATGACGCGATAGACGGCAAGCGTTGCGTTGGGGGCCGCGCCAACGAATCGATTGTCCTTTTCATCGTATCCGGCCAAGATTCCGGCCACCTTGGTGCCGTGGCCGTGGCGGTCCATGGGGTCGTTGGGATCACCGTCGTTGGGCACGAGGCTTGCCCCTAGTACCACCTTGCAGCCTTTGCCGAAGCAGCCGCCCAGGGCCGGGTGGTTGTAGTCGACCTGCCGTCATCAGTCTGTGTCAGTGGCTGCCATCTCTCAAGTACATGTCGTTGACGAGACTCACCCCCGTGTCTAGCACGGCAATCTGAATGCCCGAGCCCCGGAAGCCTTTCTTGTGTAGCTTGTCGATCTGCGTCATGACATGATTCCATGAGGCCTTAAGGCCCTTGGTGGCGCCCCCGCTGGTGTCGTTGGTCGAGTCCGCGCGGCGGGCCATGCGGCGCTGCTGCGTCTGCTCCGGCTCCTGCTTCTCCGGCTCCTCCGGCTGCTTCCCATCCTTGTCCTCCTCTATGGTGTGGTTTAAAGTCTGCACCGGCCAGGAATTCATATCGCCTGCTATCTGTTTCATCTTGGCACTACTTTCTGTCGGCTGCGTTGTGTTGGCCAGCTGGAATGAGACGCCGCAGAAGATGTCCGAGTTGAATTTATGGCGTATCTGTCCGCCCTAACTCAACAGCCTTGGCCAGTGCATCTGCGCTCTGGCCATTACTGCATTCGAGGAAAGCGGCCGTAGTGCTCCCAACAGGAACTGCCGGAGGGCCCCCATCAGGAACTGCCGAAGGGCTCCCATCAGGGGCTGCCAGGGCAGACTGAGCGACGGCTGCAAAGAGCCATCCAAGCGTAGAGAGCGACTGACGAGCCATGGTGGTTTTGGAAAGAATAAGAGCGTCGTATGCTGGTGCAACGAAAGAAGGAATAGAGCGAGTGATGAACTCTGGGTGAACCAACACTCGATATAGACTCGGTCCATGTTATATATCTTTACACAGCTTGTTGTTGCCATGGCTTCACATCTAGGTCCGCTGGCTACACTCGGCGACTCGTGAGCATAATATGCATCCCTATGCTAATCTCGTGTCTAAGTAACACGTTAGCCTTGCATTATAAGAGAGTGTCGACGGATAGCTAAAAGAGAGGCATTAATTTAATATTACGTAAAGCTTTTTATCTTACGAGACAAGTAAAAGAAAAGTAGTAGACTATAGTATATATACCTAAAAAGGAAAGATAATATCTAGGTAGCTTATATTAAGCATATTAAGTTATTAAGGAGTAGGTATAAGGGGCTAGAGTTATACCTAGTAGGCCTAATAGTAATATATAAGGAAGCCTACCTGTAGGAATGTATCTATCTAGTGGTGTGACCAACCATGGTTGGCACGTGACCCGTACGGTCACGTGTGCGGCTGAGGGCAGCGTGCCCCCTTTCTCCACGCTGGCCTCTGCCTCCTTAGATAGAGAATCAAGACGAATACAACATCAGGTTAACCTAGTACCGTCTCATTGCAGCAGCTGCCGCAGGTGCCTACCACACTGATCAGTGACCGGCCCACGCCCGTCACAGACAGCTAAGTAGAAGAGACAAATTCCTCAACCTTCGAAGGTGCTATAGTCCGCGTCACTTTACTGTGGCCCTGAGTAGCGCTCAGAAGAAGGTTATTTGTGCTAAGAACAAGGAATCTCCCGCTGGTTTGCCCAGCCGCGCGAGAGTCCTTCCAACTGTTGATTACGATCGCCCGCTAGTTTGCCTAGCCGTGAGCACCGGAATCGACAGGCGACCACATCGCAAACAACTAGTAAGAACGTTCGACCCTTGACGTTAAGTAGCAAGATCCCCGTCAGTTCAGTCTGGCCGCGAACGACCTACTTAGTACGCGACGCTCGACCTCCTATTAGCGACAACTCGTATACGAAGAGACCAATACGAACCCCACATCGTCTCATTCATTTGATCACGATAGCCCTGACCGCCCGAGCTATGTCCCCAGAAGCCCAGCTCGAAGAAATATGCGACCAGATGCAGGCACTAGACATCCAAGCATCCGCATTCCGACAAATTAATATCGACCTTTGGGACAACGATATCACACACGACGAAAAGGACAAGATCGCAGTAACGACATATGTGGCAAAGTTCATATTCATCGTTCAATCTGGCAGTGATCAAGGATACGACCTCCTTGGTTACTTCCAACAGCATTTTGAAGAATGGACCGAAGACACATGGGACCGCGCCCCGAATGAATACAAGAGAGCCCTCAGGAAACTACTAAGGAAAAGAGGTATCTACACAGGTTCACAAAGGGAAATTCGCAACACAATTTCTCATATTACAAACTATCGAGAACCCACAAACCTGGCCAGAGCAGGAGTTTACGGAGATGGTGTTTGATGAGAGGACTGCTGCCTTCAGGAGGCAGACAGCATTACTAGGATCAAATGCTTCCACTAATCCCCATCCGTCTCAACCTCCTTCACCATCAGTTACGCCCTTAGCAGCACCTCATCAAGGTCTTAACGAACCACAACCTATTAAGACCCTAACGAGCCCTCCTAACGCACCTACTCCTGCTCCGACTATCCAAGATAAACCTGCTCCGACCTCTCTTACTATTCATCCGACTTCCTACCGCTTCCAGAACCCCGATCTCGTCCAACCCGTCACCAACCCCATCCCCGAACACTTATCCGGCCCTGCAACCTTTGGAGAATACATGAAACTCCCCCCGGATAACATCCCGAACGCTATCGTCGATAGCGACATCCAGCAGAAGTTTATGAAGACCTGGAACAAAGATCGGAACTACACAGGAGAGCCGTACGATCTCCTTGATGATAAGCTCCGCCTCTTCTTAAGCAACTGCTCTCATATCCAAGTGAAACCGTCACAATTTCACGCACTCTTTCCCCGGATCCTTGATGGAAGAGCCCAAAGATTCTATCTTGATAAGATCACATGGGCTACGACGTTCCGACAAGCGTATGATATCTTCAAACAACACTTTGACACGGAAGTCAACCATGTCCACTACCATACTGACTGGACAACAATAACCTTTAACTCCATCCGTGCCCAAGATGCTTCGAAGACCCCCCACGAAGTGCTTCAAATCCTCTTTGATAAGCTTCAGCTCTGCCAACGAGCCCTTGGCAGGGAGTACGGAGGAGACCTTCTACTGCGTACAACGCTTATGAAAGCATGCCGTGGAGTACCCGAACTCCAATACGCTCTTTTCAAACCCGCCGATAACGTCGAGCACCTTCTTGCAGATCTTCGTGCATCCGTTGAAACCCATCTTGCCCTCATAACAACTTCTCAATTTCCCCTTGACTTTGCTGGATCATTTGATCATAACGATCCACACCATCAGTACTACCTCGACCGTCGATACAATAACAACCGCTCTCGAGGTAGATACGGATATTCAGGTCAACGACCCAGCCGCGGATACAGACAAAGCTACAACCGTGGAAACTACCGGCCTCAAAGCCGTAGTAACTACAATCATAGCTACAGTAACCGAAACTGGACGAAGAAGTGTTTTGTTTGTGGACAAGAAGGCTGTTGGTCAACTAAACACTCTACGGATGAACGGCAAAGGCCAAGGACCAACATATCACTCAATGTCACTTCATAGGTGTACAACTCACGGACATCGGAGGCTATATTCTAGACTACGAAGGTCATGAGATGAGCAGCTTTGATGACACTGAAGATACATGGGAAGAACATGACAATAGCACCAACGATCACCCGGAACAATGGCAAGCAAGCCAAATGCTCTGTCAACAGGCATTCAATCATTTGATCACAGGAGAAGACGTCTATCAGACGGATCAAACCGTTGTTCCAGCCTCGCAATTTATTATTGAAGATCGCTATTCAAGGGATAGATTCCAAGGTATCATGATCGACACAGGTGCAGCAACATTTTCCACAGCAGGATACTCTCAGTACATCGCCCTACAACGAGAAGACCCTTCTGTAGCTCTCGACAGCTCCACATCCGGCCAGGCCTCCATCAAATTCGGCAACAGCGACGCCATCCACTCCTCGGCACAGTCGCCCTTAACACACCCCTCGGAAGGATCACGTTCCACGTCCTTCAAACTCCCTTTTGCTCTGCCTTGCTGATATGGACCGGCTTGGTATCTATTTCAACAACATCACAGATACCATCAATTGTACTAATCATTGTACTAATCGCCCTACAAGCATTCCAGTCGTACGCAAATGGGGACATCCCTGGTTCTTCCTTACGAAAGATGAAGAGTCCATCTCGTTTCTTACGGAAACAGAGATTCGTACACTTCACCGACGCTTTGGACACCCAGCAGTCCCTAGGCTCCATCACCTCTTGAAGCAAGCCGGGCACAGTGACGTCTCGATAGACACATTAGAGACTATCTCTAAGTTCTGTCACCACTGTCAAATGCACTCACAAGCCCCACGCCGCTTCAAGTTCACCCTTAACGATGATCAAGAGTTCAACTACGAAATCATCGTTGATGTGATGCACCTAGGAACACCACAACGCCCTGTTCTACACGTTGTGGACTCAGCTACTGCTTTCCAAGGAGCCAGATTTTTACCGTCAATGTCAGCTAAAGATACATGGAGACCCTCCGGACCCTCTGGATCGACACGTATCTTGGACCTCCTGATACCCTCCGTCATGATGCAGGAACTAACTTTGCTTCTCTCGAATTCCGGAACGAAGCAAAGATTATGGGAATCAAATGCTCTCAAGTACCTGTTGAGACGCATTGGTCCATTGGAAAGATTGAACGCTATCACGCACCCTCCGACGCGCCTTTAACATCCTCCATGCTGAGATTGGCCACACCACTTCCGCCGAAACAGTCCTTCAAATGGCTGTTAAAGCAATCAATGATACGGCAGGACCTGACGGTCTTGTGCCTACGTTGCTTGTTTTCGGCGCATACCCTCGCGTATCTACAGACTCGCCCCCTTCCGCTTCTACCCTCAAAAGATCGGAAGCTATGCAGAAAGCGATGAAAATGCTCCGCCAACTCTCGGCAGAAAGACGAGTTAAGGATGCCCTCCATGCACGCAACGGCCCGAGCACGACAGAAGTGCTATCCCTCCCGCTGCAAAGTGAAGTTCGCGTTTGGAGAGAAAGACGGTTGGCAAGGACCCTTCAAGATTGCATCGATTGATACCCATAACATCACCATTGACACAGTCAACGGCCCCAAGTCTTTCGATCGACCCTTGTACAACCGTATCTGCGTGATGATACCACTCTTTCCGACCCTACACACGACACAGACCCTCAGGCATTCGTTCAGATCTTAATGAACAACCGGCTCAAGACCCCGTTAAGACCCTAACGGACCTGCCTGCCCGACCCGAACCCCGCCCCGCAGAGAGGACGCCCACCAGGATCAAAGAACAAGCCAAAGGATTTGATCATGATGGCCCAAACCGTAGACCAGAGCTTCTTGACCCAAAGGAGGAAGATGCACAAGCTCTTTCCCTCAAGCTACGGTCTGATGGCATAATCACCTCTCCTGGTGACCCTT